TATAATAGATCTTTGAAATTCAACAAACCAAATGGGTAAAGTTAGTAAAAATGTATATAAACCTTCGTTACCTCTGGATTATACACATAAAAATTTGCACAAAGGATCATTTAAAAGACATGAGTTAATTATTTGGACAAAGCGAATTTGTGAAATTCATACCCTTAAGGAGTAGAATAGGGAATGAAAGTTTGCTGTACGAAAATGCATTACTATTACATCCAGTATAGTATAACATTTTATACAAGGGTTTATTTAGTGACATCAATAATATTGTCAAGGTCAAAGTGTATGTAGCGCTAAAATGTATTACTGGTTGCCTGCATAACCGCAACGTGTCAAGAAAAATGGCGCATCCGCCAGAAAGTAAAATACATTTTTAGGCGCCATCTTTTAATCAAGTCGACAAATAAGCGAATCAGACAATGGAATTGTCCAGTATGAAGTAGAACGCTCTCCGAGAATTGTAGAAGTTTCGAAAAGCAGTGAATAGAGTATACAAGCCGGCGTAACCGGCAGTTGGGACAGTTTTTGAAGTTTGAAGATACCGCGCTTTAAATTATTACGAATCGGACAATTTGGCGAAGGAATTTTATAAGTAGTTAATTGTGTGTTATTAGTATAAATAGTTAGTTATTGTGTGTATAAAGTGAGAAAATAAATTAGTTAAGTATTTATCCACGGAATCCGTAACAATATGAACAAAATATTTCTTCTTCAAATCATCCTTCTAGGAATAAAAAATAACGTTTAAAGAGTGTGTTAGTGTTCTTGAAAAATAAAAAAAATCAGGGGAGTATATCAAGAAAAGCGACAATTGAAAACTTCAAATATCCAATTAAAAACTTTATATGTCGGAGATATTTATTTTAGTAATACAGTTTATATGTATTCAAACTATCAAACCATAGGTAGGTTCTATCCATAGAGGGTACATAATCATTTCACTATTTATGTATTTCGAGAGATTTTCTTTTTTCAGCTTTTGCAAAATTGCGACTTTGGTTTTAGTCAAAAATAAGAAAATCGATTTTTTGAAAGGATATACAGGGCGAGTCTTAAATAAGTGCAATTATTTTTAGCGGTAGTATATTTTGACCCCATGCAGAAACACGATTGTAATTTTTTTTTGGAAAATTTGGAATTTTTTGAAAAACTTTTTTTAATTTTTTTTTTACCAGATAGAAAAACCGGAAAAGCTTCAGTGGTTCTCAAAATTTAAGCATAAAATATATTTTTTTAAATTTTTTAAGTAAAATAACTCGGTTATTTTGGAGTTATTTGAAAAGCGGTAAAGAGAAAATATGTTTCTTTTATCGAGATCTACCAGCCCTGAAAATATCTGCACTTATTCAAGACTCGCCCTGTATAATGACCAGAAAATCGACAATTGCTAACTTTCATATGAAATACGAGTAGTTCGACCCTTAAAAACATAGTTTAAATTGTGCATTTGTAAGACTCACTAGCTCTATCTATAAAGAAGTAAACAATCATTTAAATCAATGCATGAATGATTCGAGGTGTAACGCGACCGTAGTCGCGGGAAAAAGCTAGTTATTTTTTATTTCGCTACCAAGTACGAAACTGCTTACAACAGTAATAAACCTACCACAACGGTAAAAAATTATCAACAAACTAAGATTACTAGATGCAATATTGACAATTTGATTAGATTGAACTTATAAATAAATAGTAGGTAGTATATCAATAAGCGTATACCCCGCAATTATAAAAATAAAACCATTTCAAGGAAGTTATACCGTATATGATCGATAAAAAAACGGCATCAAAGATGGCTAGGGAATGACACTCGATGATAATTTTGGCGAGATCAATCTTTAGACATCATTTACTAAATATTCACATAAACTTGTCAAAATTAACATCTATATAAAAATTAAAAAATAAGAAAGATCAAAAAAAGAAGATATTTTTACACTTTCTTCAATTTATTGTTATACATTTAAAAATATTACAAGCTATTATACAGGATGAGTCAAAAATAAGTGCAAATAATTTCAGGGTTGGTAGATCTTGATAAAAGAAACACATTTTCTCTTTACCATTTTTCAAATAAGTCCAAAATAACCGAGTTATTTTACTTGGAAAATTTCCAAAAAAATAATATTTTGCCTAAATTTTGAGAATCACTGGATCTTTTCTGGATTTTCTTTCTTGTAAATTTAAAAACCTATGTTGCCATATTATCAAGAAATTATGTTTTTTAATTAAAGAAAAAATCCAAATTTTCTGTTTCGCGAAAGAAAAGTCATAATTCGTGCTTCTATGGGGTCAAAATATACTACCCCTAAAAATAATTGCACATCTTTAAGACTCACCCTGTATAATATTTTAATATTATAACTTTAATAAATGAAACTTAATTATCTTAGATAAAATTGTATCGATGCAATAAAGAAAAAAACTCGATAAATTTCCCTGTAGGTGCTGTTTATATCCCTCAATCGTTACTGTGTAATTTGAGAATAGAAAATACTAATTTTGTAGCTTCAATATCTCTGAATTTTTCATGAATATTACTACATCAGTATTTAGAATCGACGTTCGATATGATTTATTTATGAAATATGACTGGACACGCTATCTACTTCAATCATACGTGCTTTTCCTTTGTTTAAATAGTCCGACAATATTTGTCAAACACGGGACAGAAATATGGAAATAGTAATCAATTATTATTATGTTTTTTTATGATAAACAAGATTTTTAAATATTATAATAATTTGACATTAGACTAAATGGGGGTTCTCACATATCAGTCTGACTACAAGGCTCATCAATGTCATGTAATCAGACTACCTCTATTAGATTACCTAGTTTCAACGTGTCGGTATCTATACCCGAGACAAAGGTCTTTTTTTCATAAATCTCAGCGAAATAAGTAAACCTAGACGTATCTACAATATCTGTTGTTACCATGATATTTCGTTAATAATATCTCGTTTTATGTTGATATATTATATTCCACAAGATTAAGATCTGTTTTAGATCGATTATTTAGATCATGCTCAAACCACTCAACGTAAGAAGCTCAATTTTTGCATACAGGTTGATTCTAGGGTGTAAAGGTTCGATAAGAAGGGATTTTTCGAAATTCCAGTTCCAAGAGGGTGAAATCACCCCTTAAATATTACAATATTTTTTAATTAAAAAACGGTCAAGTTTCCGAAAAAACGCTTAAACACGTATATTTTATTTTGTTTTTTTACATATTTTAGGATTTTTTAAAAATGTATATAGGGTGTTTCGAAAAATCTTGTCATTGATTAATCACGATCTTGCTTAAAGCGCTTGACGTAAAAAGCTGATTTTTGGAAAACAGATTGACTTTAGGGTGTAGAGGTTTGATAAGAAGGGATTTTTAGAAACTCGAATTCTAAGGGGGTGAAACTATCCCTCAAATATTAAAATATTTTTTATTTAAAAACCGGTGAGTTTTTCGGAAAAACTCTTAAACACGTATATTTTATTTTGTTGTTTTACATATTTTATGATTTTTTATAAATTTATACAGGGTGTTTCATAAAATATGACCATTGAGTAATCACGATTCTGCTTAAACTGCGTGACGTTTAAAGCTGATTTTTGGCAAACGGATTGACTGTGGGGTGTAAAGGTTCGATAAGGAGGGATTTCTCGAATCTCAAATTCCAAGAGGGTGGAAACGCCCCTCAAATATTACAATATTTGTTATTTAAAAACGGTTAGTCTTTCGGGAAAACGCTTGGACAAGCATAATTTATTTGTTTTTTTACATATTTTGAAATTTTTAAATTTAAAAAATCATAAAGGGTGTTCCAAAAAGTTGGGTAATTTCTTAACCACGATTCTGCTTAAACTGCTTGACGTAAAAAGCTTATTTTTAGCAAACGGATTTTTCGAAGTCAAATTCCAACGAGATGAAACTACCCCTCAAATATTACCAAGTTATATAATAATATCGCCATATTGTTTTTTCTCATGCTGACATAAATGTGAGAAAATTTTATCCAGTTTGTGTGTTAATGGACATTCTTGCTTTGCTTTATCATCACCATTACAAATGATTAATTCGACGCGAACGAAGTCGCTGGTACACGCTAGTTTATACATATATAAATAGTAGTATGTATTTTATTATAATAAATTAGTATATAAAATTGGGCATATGTTATGTTTGTTTACGGCCTTAATTGATTAATACCCAGTAGTATTGCTTGATGAGTAATACTGGTAATATCATCAAAATATATCGAGCTGATTGGGAAAATTATTGATTGACCTAATGTTCAGTAAAAGTATGGTCCACATATTTTTAAAAAGCAATGATTTATTATTGTTTTCAGAGAAAACTGTAAAAGATACTTTTGTTAAAATAGAACATGGTTTGATATAAATCCATTCAAAAATAAGAAATATTTAGGCGATTTTATAAATAGTTTAACACTGTGGATTATAACCTATAAAAGAAGAACAGCCAGAACAGTTATAGCCACTGTTTTCCTGCAGTTTTACGATTGTAGTTAATAATATTAGACAACGATTAAAACTAAATATTCTTATGTAGCCTTAGAGGAATAGCGGGATTATTCTGAATTGATTAAGTAATTAATTTAATTAATCGACATACCACTTATTGTCCTAAGATATAAATAAAATAGCTTCATATTTCCCTAATGAGAGTATAGTGAATTGACAAACTTCACCCCAATAAAATTAGATAATAAATTACTCCACGTTAAGTGTATTAAAATTCGATTTAATAATAAAATCGATAGATTTTAATTTGGAATATTACTCAAAGCCTAAATATGTTGCTATACGAGTAGGGTTTACATACAATTTTTTAGAAATTCCCGAAAAATGATTCTCAAAATAATTTATGAATTTACAATAGACTCTACACTATACCAGCTGATGTATAAGGCTTTTTTAACACCCTCTATTTATTTTTTAAAGAAGCATTTCTCCTAAATACTTTATTTCTTTAATTGTAGATACCTAAATAAAGATGGAGAACCGAGAATTCAATGGGCACATTTCACGCAAATTAGAAAGAAACAGTAGCCAGATATGTCCCCAACCCGAGGAAGAACTCCTCCTTGCTGTACTGTCCAATGACACGTTGAAGATAGAAAAACTTGTCGGATCTCAACCCAGTTTGCTACAGCATCGTTATGTGGAAAAGGTGGACAACACAATTTTGTTGGTGGCTTGTTCCGAAAAAGGGGTAAGGGGGGAAACTGTGAAAACATTGCTAGATCTCGGTGCCAATAGAAGGGACAAAACCTCGCAAGAGTGGGAAGCACTGCACTGTGCCGCTGGTAAAGGTGATTTCAAAACACTGCAGGAAGTTTTGAGGACAGAGCCTGGTAAAATTATCAATGTCCCTGCGGGTGGTAAGTATCACGCTTCTTCATTCAGTAGTTCAGTCATTGGGGATCAAAAAAGTAGCCTGCTTGGAAAAAAGTCCGGAAGTTTTGAAACTTTGCAGGTTTATAGGTTTTGGGGTCAATAACTAAAGTCCGTAAAATGCACATTTCCAGATTTGCCGCCGGCGCCGCCATCTTGCCAAGAAATCGATATTTTGTAAATATCTCGAAAACTATGCGTTTTTCGTAAAAATTTGAAGAGAGAAAAATTAAAGAGAATAAAATTTCCTATAAAAAAGATTCTATGAAAATTTTTGCGAAAGTCAACCGTTTAGGCACAAAATCCCTGAAAATTTTACAATTTTTCGTAAAGTATGATATACATATGTATAGTCGATTTTCCGAAATCAAATGTCGATTAGGGTTCACTAAAACTAGTTTTAGTTTAGTTTCTTCAATTTTGTCATAAAACAGTGGCGTATAATTAATTTGTTTAATATAATAATAATTCATTTATGAATAATTAATTGTCTTGCTGGACAGCATTCATTGCGAACTTACCACCAGGTTCAGCATTGGTCTGTTTGTACCAAAGATGCCGAAGAATGGGGTTGGAAGAAAAGAAAAACAGGCATTAGTCCAGTCACAACGTTGACAGATCCAGCTACAAAATCCCTATTCGCATTTTCATCCTGTAAATGCAAAACCAACTGGTGGTACAGCCTGCGGATGCAGAAAAGCTGGATGAAAATGTTCAATGATTTGTGCATACTGCAATGGGAAATCCTGTGACAAAATCACTGAAGTGTCACTCGACGAATCCGATGAAGAGGAGTTGGACTTGGCTGTAGATATCCCTCTGGCGGCTAAAGATGAAGAGTTGGACGAATTGACAGACCACCCTGATGAGCCCAGCACAGCAGACACGATCGACTTTACAGCAATGAGCCAGGTCCGTCGGGCTTGTGCAGATAAGTTAAAGTTTTTAATTTACCTAGTGAAATAGGCCTCGGGGGAGACCACGTTAAAATAAACGCGCTATGTACTTTATCTCTTGGGTGGTGTGGAAACAAGTACACAGTTTCAATAATTAAAATTAATTATTCATAAATTAATGAGCGAATTAATGATACGCCTCTGTTTCATGACAAAATTGAAGAGACTAAACTAAAACTAGTTTTAGTGAACCCTAATCGACATTTGATTTCGGAAAATCGACTATACGCAAATATATCATATTTTACGCAAAATTGTAAAATTTCCAGAGATTTTGTGCCTAAACGGTTGACTTTAGTGAAAATTTTCATAGAACCACAGATAACACATATTGTGATAGAACCTTTTTTATAGGAAATTTATTATCTTTAATTTTGCCCTCCTCAAATTTTTGCGAAAAACGCATAGTTTTCGAGATATTTACAAAATACCGATTGAATGTCTGGAAATGTGCATTTTATGGATTTTAAGTTAGGAACCCCAAAACCTATAAACCTGCAAATTTGCAAAACTTCCGGACTTTTTTCCAAGCAAAAATCCCCAACGACTGAACTACAGGGGAACCTTGTAATTAGTGAAATGCAAAAAAAAAAAATTAATTAAATTAAATTACTATAAAATAATTTTTATCGTTAAAATATACAGGGTGTTTTAAAAAATATATGATATCTCTCCTAGGGAGATTTCTCGCGTAAAAATAAGATTTATTTTTCATATGAACATATAGGTGCGATTCTGCTTTGTTTCGTAGCTACAGGGTGTTAAAGTTTTAATATTTTTTCGATTTATTATAATTTTCTTCCAAGTACATTTAGTGTATCGAATGAAATTGTGAGGGTAAAAGTTACTATAAATGCGATATATTTTAAAAAAGTGTCGACATATTCACCAGGGACGTGCATATAGGTTGTCACTGGAATATTTTTCTAAAAAAGCATGTACGCTACTGACTTTTTTTCTCTTGTTAGCGAAATAGTGTAAGCAGTTTAATGCCGATTAAAAGTTGTCTCTTGATTTTTTGTCGATTTCGGGCTCCTTGATGTGAGATCAACGCAATTTTATTAATTTGCCTTGATCCAAGTCTAATAGCAACCTTTAAAAAGATTAATATCATTAAGTTGCGAAAGTTTTAAATAAATACTCATTGATTTCTCATCAAAAAATATGAAAAGTTTCTATAAACATGGGTATGGAAATGCATTGTACAGGGTGTCCCACTAAGAATAGCTCTCGGCTGTATCTTGGAAAGTATTAGCCGGAGGGGCTGCGGAAAAAAATATTTTTACCTAAAAAGGCTATGAGAAATTGCTGGAAATTATTTTCAAGTTTGTAGAACGACCGCTAGGGGGCACAACTGCAACAAGAAATAAGAGAATGGAATTTTTACACCATTTTTCCTATATAAGGTGTACTATAAGTAATAGCTATATAATCTTCAGTAAATTTTGAATATTTTTTGTTAGAACCATTTTCACCTATCTACCAAAATAAAGTGGTGGGGGAAGGTTAGATTTGTTTTTATTTAAATATTAATCTCTGGACTGTATGATCAGAATTCAACAAGCGGTGCTCGTTTAAAAGAGCGTTTCTTACTCTATATTGTACCATATAAACAATAATAATAAGCTTTTGAACGTAGACGCTAGGGGGCGTTGTCTTACAATTTAACAAACATTGCGCGTTTTTTCAAAAAAATTAAATGCAATAGTATATGTAATTTTAACTGATAGTAAAGAGTAGTAAAAGCTTAAAAAGTCAGCGAAAACCTCATCTTGATATCTTCTTTCAAACCGAAGTTATTAGCAAAATTATAATAAATACCAAAAAATAAGCCCTTAATTACCTTATTTTTACAACACGGTATCAGTAGCCCTCTTGATTATGACGATTAAATCGACGAAATAATATAAATACCATAATACCAGAGGTATTAATATCTATTAATTAAGATATTAATAACAGTGAACAAGAAACGATGATTCAGTAAAGTCATGGTATGCTTTGGAAAAAAGTTTCTTTTCACGTAATAGTATAAACGTCAAATTGTTATTAGATCATCATTTTGCTAGTCTTAGCAGCGTTTATTATCTTTTGATTGCTTTTTCAAAATGCCAACAACTTCAACTACTTCAAATAATGAAGGTATTTTGAAAAAAGCAATTAAAAGATAAAAACGCGGCTAAGACTATCAAAATGTTTATCTAATAACAATTTGACGTTTATACTATTACGTGAAAAGCAACTTTTTCCAAAGCCTACCGTGACTTCACCGAATCATCGTTTCTCTTGCTCACTGTTATTAATATCTTAGTTATTACATATTAATACATCTGGTATTATGGTATTCTGGTATTTCGTCGATTTTAAAATAAACTAACTGTTTCTATCTTATTTTTTTGTTAGAATGGGCATAATCAAGAGGGCTACTGATACCGTATTGTAAAAATAAGGTAATTAAGGTCTTATTTTTTGGTATTTATTATAATTTTGCTAATATCTTCGGTTTGAACGAAGATATCAAGATGCGGTTTTCACTGACTTTTTAAGCTTTTACTACTCTTTACTATCAGCTAAAATTACATATACTCTCATATTTAATTTTTTGGAAAAAAACGCGCTTTGTTTGTTAAGTTGTAAGAAAGCGCCCTCTTGCGTCTACGTTCAAAACTTCATTATTATTATTTTTATGGTATAATATAGAGTAAGAAACGCTCTTTTAAACGAGCCTTCGTCTGTTGGATTCTGATCATCCAGTCCGGAGTTATTAACATTTATATAAAGATAGATCTAACCTTCCCCCACCACTTTATTTTAGCAGATAAGGGAAAATGGTTCTAACAAAGAAAATCCAAAATTTACTGGAGATTATGAAGCTATTATTTATAGTACTCAATATCTAGGCAAAATTCTGTAAAAATTATATTTTCTTATTTTCCATAGCAGTTGCGCCCCCTAGCGGCCGTTTTACAAACCTGAAAATAATTTCCAGCAATTTCTAATAGCCTCTTTAGTTATAAATATTTTTTTCCGTATGCCCTACAGCTAATACTTTCCGAGATACAGCCGAGAGCTATTCTTAGTGGGACACCCGGTACATATTACAGGATATTAAAAGTTTTTAAAATTAGTTTTTTTGTAATTATTATTATCTTAGTTTTTAATTTAATTTTAATTTTTTTATTTAAAGAGGTTGGAGTTGGTAATAAATAATAGTAATAATATTTATTAATAAATTAGGTAAAATATAGATTTTATTAATTTTACTTTAATTTTAATTTGATTAATTGTGATTAATAAAATTGCGTTTATTTCATCAAGGTGGCCGAATTCGACAAAATATCAAGAGATAACTTTTAATTGGCATTAAACAGTTTACACAGTTTTGATATCAAAAGAAAAATAAATAAATCTTATTTTTACGTGAGGAATCTCCCCACGAGAGATGGCACATGTTATTTTAAACACCCTGTGTATTCTAATTTACAGGTTTAAATGCACTGCATGTTCTTATTCGATACAGTAAAGTCGATCCAAAAGATTTATTTAGATGTGCAGAATTGCTTATCAATAAAGGAATAAATATTAATCACGGAGACAAAAACAATCGAACAGCATCATTTTGGGCTAAGAAAAAGGGAATGAACAATATCGAACAGCTGCTTGAAAATGCACTAAATACACAAACAAAAGTAAGTAACAACTTTGGTAGAGAAAAGTAACCTGATATAGAATAATATCTCCCAGTAACATTACATAAATCATAAACACTATTTCATAGGCCTGTTGACTGTGTTTTAATGTAAAAATTACGAAAAAATGTTAGTGTTTTCTTCAAAAGCCAATATCTCAAAAAAAGCTATTGAGAGGAACCAAAAAATAAACTATCGAAAAAAGATGTATATAGATGATAACATGATTTTAACATTCCTTGCTTTTTAAACATATTCCTCAGGGTGTTTCACACTTTCACCAAAATAACAACATTTTGTGTGTGAGTTTGCCTCGTATAATTGACAGATGGAAACTTTAATTTTTAATTTGGAAAGAGATACTAAAAAGCCAAATAATTTAGCTACAATTTGCTTAAAAGAGCATCAAAATCGGTCCACTAGAATATAATATATAAAACTTTAAATGGCATCAAAATTTTAAGTGATTAATGTGATTTATACATCTTCCTCTAGGACGAAGAAGATTTGAGCTCAGAAGAAATCAATCAGCTATCAGTTAAAGACAAACTAATAAAATATTTGAAAGAAAGGAGAGAAGATGATCTATTGAGGATTGAAGAAAATATAGATGATGTTGTGGACGAAACTGACTCTGAATCTACGCTTCTTCAAATTTGTTGCGAAAAAGGATTGACTAAGGCTACAAACTATTTATTACAGAGGGGAGCAGATGTAAACAAAATTACCACAATAAACCAAAATAAACCAGTAAGTATTCAATAAATTAAAATTTGGAATTAGGGGTACATTTCTGAAACGATATATTAATTATTGTCACTGAAAAAAGGTTTCTGACTTTCATTCCCAAGTAGCATTTTCACGACTTGCGACCACATGTTTACTAAACACAACGTTGGATTAGTTACAAAAAATAGTTAGCTCCCTACCTTAGGTATTAAAATAAATTTAAACGTTTTTATAACGTTGTGCCGACGTTGGACTAGTACTACAGCAAAGTAGAAGCTTCTGCGACGTCGAATAAACGTTGTCTTGTAACCTTTTTTGCTTAAGTGATCTTTAGGTGATTCGGACAACGTAGTTACAACGTTGGACAATATAGAGTTTTCCGACGTCAGTTTCAGGACCTATTCCAACGATATGCAAACGTCGTCTGTTTTACTAATTCCAACGTTGTTTAGATTTCCTTATTCTTACGTTGATAGGACGTCGAGCCACTACCTTTTTGCAACTGTATTGAACCAAAACCTTAAATTTTAAATTTTCTCTTCATTGTTCTGTTCAGTCAGACAGTTCAGTGCTGTTTTTGTTTTTATAAAAAAAACTTAATTAAAATGGGACATAAGAAAGGTACATATAAAACTAAATTTAAATATACATCGACATATATTACCGATAATTTATCCACTCCCTCGTTTATTTAGATTATAGAGGGCGGCACAAGCTAGACTCTAGGATGACTAAATTAGGCAATCTTGCGACTAGTATACTACCTGTTAAGGCCGAACTGCGACTTTATTAGTCCAGTATGCGACTACTCGAACTACTCCATCTTAATCTCCAAAACAACAAAGTGAAAGCCGCCATGTTGTTAAATAAGAAAATGTTTCGTTCCTAAAACAGCAATTCCTGCTTTTTCAATACATTAACTTGAAATATTTGACCCTAAAAAACACGCGGAAACAATTTTTTCGACGGCGAATAAATTATTCTCATTTTACTAAAAAAAAAATTCAAGAAATTTTTTAAAACTTCTTTAATTTTAAGGCCCATTAGTATTTTTCAAAGTAGAAACAATACATTTATCAATAAAGTTGTTTGCGTTTAACTTTTTTGCCTTGGGTAACGAGTTACAGAGTCGGTTAAAGTGTTTCAATAATTATGATCTTCAAACATCCTCCACACTTAAATACTTTTGTTTTGTTTTCCTTCACTGCCATCTGACATATGTCTCATATGACTAAATCATAAATATAATATTTTTACTATAATTATCCTAATTTAGGATAAAATGCGACTTAGACGCCATATTAGTTTTGTATTTCTGTGAATTAGGACTTTAAACAACGTTGCAGTTTGTACTAAATTAGGCTGCTAGCCAACGTCGGTATCCAACGTCGTTTCGACCCAAAAATTATTCTCCAAACTAGTGCAGACTAGGGTTGGCACGAGGTTGTGCCGACGTTGCGCCCCGACGTTTGGTCGCGTGACACAACATTGTCCCGACGTCCAAATGCTGCTTGGGTTATTCTTTCAGTAACAGTTTTACTTTCAGTACTGAAGCTTTGACTAAAGTATCTGAAGTACAAAAAATAATTTTATACCTCTATTATTTACAGATTCGATTAGCAACAGAAAATGGCTACAGCAAAATAGTTAAAATTTTGTTAGAGAGAGGGGCACGGATAACCACGGACCTATTATGTATATGCCTTAAAAATATTGACAGCGTTACCCACAACTATAAGGATTGTTACGACGAGTTAATGAAGAATCTAGTAAAAAAAGATCCCGACGAACAATTGTCAATTCTAAATGGTAAAGATCAGTCTTCATATAGTCCTTTGCATTATGCCGTCAGGTAAGGGCCAAGAGTGAAAGGGGGGGGGGAGTTGTTCTTATTTCATCAATACACTTAATATAATATATTAAGTGTATTGACGACTCCTAATAAAATAATATACTTTTTTTTCCAACGTCACAAAAGTATTAATTTTTGTGACGTCGTGATTGACAATATAAAAAAGTCATTTTAACGCCTAGGCATAAAAGTGAAGCACTTTGTTTAAGCATAAAAGCACACAGATTATAAACTTATCGTCAAAAGCATTGTTTTTCGTGGTTCCAATTTTCGGAATCGCGCACTAGTTAGATTACTAGTTTGCGCACAAGCACGCCCACTTATGGCCTCTAAAATTGTGCACAGCGCCTGATCGGCACAGTTATTAGAGAGATATCGCGAAACCTAATAGCGTCATGTAGTATTTACGCGTACCTTATCATGGTTACGACAAAGACTACACCCTGTCTACTATTTTTCAGATATGCCGACTCCAATACCTTAGAGGAACTTTTGAAATTTGGTGCATCTCTAGGATCAAAGAATAATTACGGTATCATGCCAATTGAAGATATAGAACCTAAGATATTAGAAAAACATTTAGATAATTGTGTTAGATTCGACAAAGATAAGAAATCCGAGAAAGAAGACTTCCAAGTTAGGTTCGATTACCGTTCTCTTATTCCGCCATATTTGAAAATATTGAACTGCAGCAGCCGACAAGACGACAAAATATTAATGTTGAAGCAACTGCAAATCGACCCAGAAGCGTTTGATTTAAAGAAAGAATTAGTAAATGAAACAGAGGTATTGAGAATTAACACCATTTGATATTATCACAAAACATCCCCCTTTAGAACATTTTCTGTAATGGCAATGACTGGAAGTAAAAGTTATACTGTGCGAAAAAACACCAGAGGCGCTGCTAGTCATTAAAAAGTTGACAAATATTCATTTGTTTTTTAAATATGTCAATACTTTTATTTCGTTGTGTTTTGTGAATATTCAGTGTGTGATTTTGGCAATTTCCTCATTAATTACTGGTGTATATGCACTTATTTTACCAACGTTCGATCGGGTATTTATATAAGCATTTTTTCTATTGTGAAAAAATAGGTATATTAAAATTAATTGCAATTTTTTATTGTAATTTTTAATATACAGGGTGTCCCACTTAAGATGGATACAAGCCAATATCTTGGTTGCTTGTTGAGCGATCTTTTTCATTTTTGACAGGAGGCTGTATGGCTATAAAACGTACATTTTGCCCAGTGTAAGAAATGCGATACCTCATAGACGTACGTTTTAATGGGGTTTGATATTTTTCGAGTCAAGAGTAAACTACCCTTAGGACAGTATTTATTTCAAATCTGATAAATTTTATTGAATCCTCCTTACCTAAGATATTTAAGTTCTAATTTTAAGAAATATTGATACAGGGTGCGTCATTAAAATTAGACATTTTTATTTTTATTATTATTTTTTAAGTACTTACGACGCCATTGGACAAACAACAGGTTTATTATGAATAACCAATTATCAATTAATAATCGATTTAAGTTTTCAGATGGCTTCCATAATAATTAAGATATGATACAAAAAAACTAAATATTTTCAATTTATTTTGTTTATCAAAGTCAAACCTCTGAAGGCGGGTAAGGGGACAAATAACTCACAATCTAAACAATTATTAGATTGTGAGTTATTTGTCCCCTTACCCACCTTCAGAGGTTTTACCACAGATAACACATTTATTTTTTTGATTATGTGTTATCTGTGGTTTTACTTTGATAATATGTACTCACACTGGGTTAGAGAACGTTTAGTTTTATTTTGTTTACTTTAAAAAATTGTTTTTTAAGTTTGCTAATACAAGTGAATAAAATGAGTTACAAAATACTTTAAAACCCCAGTTTTCAATGGAATCTGACATATGATTTTTATTCGTTTTATTGAGGAATGTTTTAAAAAATCCAAATAGTTAGATATTTAAAACAATCATTATTAACTTTGAAAAATATGTTCTAAACAACTAGTACTTAAAAAAATTATAATAAAAATAAAAATGTCTTATTTTAATGACACGCCCTGTATCAATATTTATCAAAATTAGAACTTAAGTATCTTAGTTAAGGAGGATTCAAAATAATTTATCAGATTTGAAATAAATACTGTCCTAAGGGTAGTTTACTCTTGACTCAATCAAACCCCATTAAAACGTACGTCTATGAGGTATCGCATTTCTTACCCTGGGCAAAATGTACGTCTTATATCCATACAGCCTCCTGCCAAAAATGAAAAAGATCGCTCAACAAAAAGCCAAGATATTGGCTTGTATCCATCTTAAGTGGGACACCCTGTATAATATAATATTAATATACCTATTTCGTTACAATTAAAAAAATGTTTCCGTAGTATTCAAAAACAATTAAATTAAATATAGAGATCGATATTTCATGAATTTAGTGTGAGAACAAACTAAAGGGGGATGTTTTGTAGTTATGGGGATGTTATCAATTAACATATTGCGTTAAATTTTTAGGTTATCTATTTTATGAGCACTGCAGCTGAGTTTAAGCACCTGTTGAAACACCCCGTCATATCCAGCTTTTTGTTTATGAAATGGAGACGCATCCAATGGTTATTTTGGGTGAACCTTTGGTTCTACGTCGCTTTTTTGCTTTCTCTAATTCTCTATATTTTTACAGATTACGCATATTACTCTTCAACAGAACCCATTCCTTCAGTTAAACTTATTGGTCGCATCTCTTATGTTGTATTATTCGTAACTTTGTTGATATTAGCTTTTAGGGAAATATTTCAAATGGTAATCGCTACCAAGAACTATTTTAGAGCCTACGAAAACTATATTGAGATAGTGTTGATAATCATCACAATAACTATAGTGTTTTGTGAGTCTTCCTACGACACTAGAAAACAGCTGTCTGCTGTGGCTATTTTGTTAGCTGCTTTCGAATTAGTTTTGATTCTAGGTCAGCATCCTTATTTTTCCACCAACGTGGTAATGCTAAAAACGGTCTCATTTAATTTCTTTAAGTTCCTTGGGTGGTACTCCATACTAATAATTGCTTTTGCTTTGAGTTTCTTTCTCTTGTTTACACCTTCTAATATAACAGTTCAGGAAGCCATCAGTGCCGTAGGGAATACTAAAAACGAATCTTCTAAAAGCGATGAAAAAGAAGAAACATTTTTTGACGACCCATACAAGTCAGTTTTTAAAACTGTCATTATGTTAACTGGAGAATTTGATGCTGGTAGCATAAATTTCAATACATTCCCTGTTACGAGTAAAATAATATTCGCTTTGTTCATTTTTATGATCGCAATTATTCTGTTGAATCTGCTAAATGGTTTGGCGGTTAGCGATACTCAAATGATTAAAAACGATGCAGAATTAGTCGGTTACATCGCTAGAGCAAAACATGTAAGGTATGTGGAAACTATATTGCTCGGGAATATAGTCCCTGTAAACTTTATGGAGAAAATAAGTGACATATGTTGTTGTTTGCCGGTTCCGAAATTTTTCCACTGGAGTATATGCCGGTCTTTTGCTGAATATGCTTGTCTATTTCCGAAATATTTAAACTACGAATTAATACTATACCCTAATCGGCGTGGAAATGTACAAGTAGACACTGGAAGCCAGAGTAAAGGTTACAGAAAAAGTTGCTTTTCCTGCTCGGGAGTATTTTTGGACAGGGAAACCGTAAGAAGAACTCAAAGCATCATTCAGTCTCAAAAAGAGAGAAATATCACGGATAATATCGACTTGCTGATGAAGAAACTGGACAGTATTTTAAATATCATTGATCCCAAACGTCAGCTAATGTAGTATTATTTAGATTCAGTAAGTTTATATTTTAACGCTATAATTGTAAATAAATTTTCTATATGTTAAATATATTAATAATTTTATTACCTATCTCGAAACTAAAAGAAATAAAAAATTAATAAATAGACCCTTAAATGTTCGAATTAAAGAACATAAAGATTATTTGAGAAAGGGAGATTTTCACAAATCTAAGATTTTGTCAGCATTCATGGGACACAGAGCACAGAATAAATTTTAATAACGCCAAAATTATAATGAAAAGAGCGATAGCTTCTAAAAGAAAATTAAAAGAGGCTTTTTTAATACAATTTAATAAAAATAAAAGTATTGCTCATGCATATCTGTAGATGTTAGTAATCTATGGCAATCGCTTCTTTGATTTTAAAGAACATAACATAAATAAACATAAAATACTTAAACATTAAAAATAATTATACAGAAAGTTTGGGTTTGTTTGCTTTTACCTTATTGAGTAATTGTTATCAGATAGTAATTGTTAATTTTGAAGTTTAACTTAATATAATGTCATTTTAACAGAACGTCAACGGTTTTTATACACGTATCTGTTTAAAAAAAACTAAAGTGTTCTCGAATAGTTGAATTTAAATATTTTAAATAGTTTTTTTCTTTATTCTTTGTATTTTTTGCTTCCAACGACGGGAAGAGATAGACTTTGTATATTGTGTATATCTGTAATTTGTATATCTGTAAACCTAACTTCTGACAAGTAGTTTCCGTTCGGATTAATGCAGAAGTGTTTAAAAAAATAACTATTTTATTTTGTAGATTTTCTTCCAGTGGCGAAATACCCATACCCGTCCGGGTATGGGATTTTCGGACTTCCATTGCCTTTATTTATTTTGATTAGCACAACGTTTCGATCGGAAGGATCACTGACCCTTATCTAAAGTAAACTAATCTAATTCCTTAAACTATATGTCCAATGTCCATTAGAGTACCTTTATTGGTGCTATAAAAACGATTTTTTTAAATTTACGCTTTTTCGAATGTTCCCTGTGGAGAACCCGAGCTTCCCACCACTTTATATTATGCTGTTTTGACCAAATATGGTCCGCAATACCTGACTTCATTATTTCACCTTTTTGTACATGCTTTTTGTGCTCGCCATGTCGTACATTAAGAGGACGTTCAGTCTCGCCAATATACGACTCACCGCATTCACAATGTACCTGATAGATGTACTCTTTCTCTTGTTTCAGTGATTCCGGCCTTGTTTTTGTTAGGACGCTTCTTAGAGTCGATAGAGATTTGAATTTATTATGTTGAAATGCAGTACTAGGTATATCTTGCCATCTTGCCCGGTTTTATTTATTTAACGTTATACAGTAGTTTTGTATTGACTGTAGTTGAACAAATCAGTTGTGAGCTTCTACAACACTTTTAAACCGATTTATCCACTTTAAATCGCCATAACAAATATATTTTTAACTCTAAAACTTTGAAACCAATACTTTATAACCAATATTTCAATATTACAACATAATTAAACTCTTTCAATGCCTTAAAACACCTCAAATGCCACTTTTCAACGCGTGAAAATCATTTTTAATCATTTAAATTAAAAACAATGCGCGGGTAACTGGTTACAGCGCCATGTAAAACTTGTGGAGTTTCTTTGAACTAAACACTCTGGTGGTGCTAACTATCGGGAAGTAGGCAAACCTGTAATTTTTTTTTACTGGTTTCTGTAATGAAATACCGTGGCGACATCTAATTATTAGTAACTGAACTTAGACATAATTTAAAAAATTCTATAAATTTTAGTGCCCTAAGAGAATGTTAAATTGGCGCCATCTCTGAATAAAATTTAGAACTATATTTTAATGTGGTGCTAACTATTGGGAAGTAGTCAAACCTGTTATTTCTTTTTTACTGGTTTCTGTAATAAAATACTGTGGCGACATCTAATAATTAGTAACTGAACTTAGACATATTAATTTAAAGAATTCTGTTAATTTTAGTGTCCAAAATGGCCCAAAACTTAGACAAGGAAAGACAGGGGACGGGTAACACGCATATTCTCCAGAGATATGGAAGTGGGAGAATGAGCTTCGACGAGTCAGTGCCTTCTATTAAAAGATCAGCCTGCGGGCGAGATTTATGACGTCACGCTAGTTAGATATAACGGATTAATAAATATGTTGTAGAATACATGGAAAACATAATTATTCCTCAGATTTTTGGTTTGTATTTTAAAAATGATATAGTTTAAATGAAATATACATAATATACAGTTAATAACTACAACATATATACCTATTTATAGTAATAAATACTTTGGCAAATAAACTATGAACCATACAAATGCAGCAAATGTTTTACAATGTAAAATAATGTATAGGTACATAAGATAATGGGTAAAATGTAAATATATTTTAAATTTTGGGGTTTGAAAATCGATCTAATTTAACAAAAACATTTAATATCTACTAATAGTGATGTATTATTATTTGCATTCACAAAATTTATATGTATATTTTGCAAGTATCAATGTTCGAAAAATTATATTTACAAATAATACAATATTATCTAAAAAGGCGTCAGCGATGGCTATGAAATGAAGATCGCTGGCATTTTATATGTTAAATTATTCTAAAATTTTTGATTTTCTTGGGATTTTTTAGGTTCGGGAAAAACGCTGATTAAGTTTTTCATTTGGGTTTTCATTATTTTATTTGGTTTAAAAAACGTTTCGGCTAACTATAGTTTTCACAGTGTTGTGTCATATGAGAAAATAGTGTCGAATATAATCCAAAAAATTACATATACAATATAATTCACACCTCATAATGTTTACTGCAATTAATAAACTAATATAAACTTATCAAAAGATGACCACATATTTTTTAAAATTATTATTCTTAACACTAAAATGATCTACATTGACTATGGAGTACGCAGTAAACATTATGGGTATACCACATTATGTGCGTGGTGTGAATATTTTATATGCAATTTTTTGGATTATATTCGACACTATTTTTTTCATATGACACAACACTGATGGAGGCTATAATGTTAGCCGAACCGTTTTTTTTTAAACCAAATAAAAATAATGAAAAATCAATCAGCGTTTTTCCCGAACCTAAATTCCAAGAAAATCAAAAATTTAGAATATTTAGAATCAAGGTTCAAGAATATCAAATTTTCCAAGATTGTAAAATTCTAGTTAATTATTTTATGTGTCAGTTATTTAGGGAATGTCATCAATGTTCATTTCCAAGCCAACTAGACGCCGATTTTTTTCGATGATACGGTATAATTCTTACGTAAAATGTAAATAACATTAGACCAATTAAAACAAAGAAATATGAATTTCTTAGTATTTTTAGTAACACCTTTATACTTAAAACTTAATTTTGTATTATGCAAATATACCAATTTTATTGTTATTTTATTCACATTGTATTCAGCCATCACTTAAAATATTTGATATTTATTTGGTATTATAAATAATCAACACTATTCATTAAAAATTACTGAACAAATATATGTTATGCTTGACATACATTATATATTATCAAACAAAAACACATTCTTCTTTTAAACTGTATCAGTCTTGTCTTTAGAAAAATCTTTTTTAAAATTTGAACTCAAAATAATAATCTTTTTCATGATCTTTAATACACATATTCTTTATTTTTCCCTAGATCATAATACCTACTGACATGTTTATCTTACGTGTTTGAATCTATCAAAGCTGCACCAACAACACTTGGAATGGAGATTCCACAATATGAATAAAATAAACATAATTGTCCAGTTTTCATTAATACTATCATGGGAGAATATTATTTTTAAATTTATTAAAGATATTTTCAATAGAATTCTCTTGATTTATAACTCGTACCCATTTTTCTTGCTCTTCCGGACACTTTAGGCTGCCTAGTATAACTATCCTTTCCACCAGGAACACAACAAAGATGAGGCATAGCACAAAAACACACTCCACTTAAGCTTTATTGATGAATTGTTAGAGTCTTAAAAAACACACACAAAAATCACGATGAGTAAAAAATGTATGGGCACTTTTAGGTTAAATCACTTACACAACGTGTAATTTTTCAATTTTTCTATTTTTTTTATGCGAAACCGAGAGTGACCATATATCTGGTAGTAGTTTATGTCACTTCAACACCAAAATAATTAGTTTTTTGCACTACAATAATAAATAATACCAAAAATCAAAGAGTTAAAACCAAAAATCAACCGACAAAATATGAAACGGAATCTAATCCAATATCTAAGTATGTACAGCTGATGAAGTAAACAAAAGTCCGCCCGTAGGCCGATCTTTTAATAGAAGGCACTGGACGAGTGCGCATCCAAATTTTTGTCGACGGCAAGATGGCAGACATGGCAGACATCTTCCAGGTCTCGCTGTCACTTCTCACTTCCCCTCTTTAATTGACATCTGTTTGTTTTGTTTTTTTTTTTCGTTCGTGTTGTTATCTAGTTAAAATTTATTATTATCTCAATCAGAGTCTCAATTATTCTAAACACTAATTCAAAAAGTCTTATTGTATATTGTCATAGTCATTCTAAGAAAGCTAATACGCCGGGAAAAATGATTAGTTTTCATGTTCCAAGATCCAAGATGATCCAAAACTGTTTATTTTTAGTTTTCCTAAAGGCTATTTGTAAAAATCGTGATTGTAATTGGGATTGGTCAAAAATAAGTGTATGATGTGGCCATTTAAAGAGGATGTTTTTATTACGTGTGGAGGAAGAAGATACTTGGAATCAATGTTCATGCTTCTGTAAAACAGTGCACTCTTATAGTGTCCGTGAAAGCACAAGTTCAAGTGTACCAGAAATATGTCAAATAAGATTGGTCCTTACTTGACAAGAAGATTATTTGGAGAAAAAGAAAACATAAGATAGGGTATTTTAATCGAACAGCGAAAATTTAACATTTTTATTGTAAAGTTTGTTGTAGGTAGTTGTAGTTTTGTGCTAAATATTTCTAACATTAGCAGCAGCAGTGTTCAGAGTGTCAAGAGGAGGAGAATTCAGTTAATTAGATTTATGCACAGTTACAGGTATGAAGGCTTTTTCAAACATAGTATCAAGTTCTATAGTCAACATTTTTAGTATTCCTACAACTGTAAAAACAAGGAACATTGGACTGAAAAATGGCAAGATTTATATAGGAAGAGGGTATTATGCCAATAAGAAAATTAAATCTGTAGGCAGAAGTTTCTTATTTAAAAACTGTTATGGGGCATATATTAATTTGTATCTGTGCCACAAATCACTGAGAAAAATCATATAATATTCATAATTGTTAACGAGATGATATTTAAAGAGTATTAAAAATGAGACTATTAGTTATGAAGCTTACAGTGTTACTTTGTTTCAATATTACACTTTTATTCTTGTAAAATCTATGATGAAGTTCAAAAGCATTTTGCAATGGCCTTAAATTGTGAGCCAGGATTTATAGCAAAGGTATTTGATGCAATGAAACTTAATCGGTACCTTCCAGTATGTATTTTAGTAAGGGGATTGTCAATCCCATGTTTTTAAATAGATAAAATACAGGCCAAAGTTGACAATATTACAGTTGAGAAGAAACTATTTTATCTTAAAATTCTGAGATCATATAATCTAATTTTCTTAATAATAAATTAGGTATATGTATGTTGTACATACAGAATTTTGTTATGGACAAATAAGGATCGACAAGCTTCTTTTTGTGCAAAAAATAAATGATTTTTTCTAGTATTTGACAAACCATAATGTGTTTTACAAACTTACCGGTAACAGTTTTTTTTATAATAAAATATTTAGGAATAATTTGGGTTATTTATCAATATATTAATGACTTGAATTTTGACAAATTGAATTTGTATCAAAATAATTTTACGAAATATAAAATTGATGTTCTATTACAAGATTGAGTTTTTATTGTCGACAAAAACAGGATAAATACTAATAATAATACCCTTAATAAAATCAATGATGTTTATGTATTATGAAAATATTTGTCAGAGGACATATTATGTAACAGTTTTTGAAACACCAAACCCATTTGAGGGTGCAGCCACACTATCCTAAAAACGGCGTATCGGCGTAACGGCGTAATGACCTTGAATCGATTTCCAGTAATTCTATTGGCTGAAATTTTTGACAGATGAATTTGACAGATAAAATTTCTGACAGATGAATGTTTCAGCCAATAGAATTAATGGAAATCTATTCAAGGTCATTACGCCGTTACGCCGATACGCCGTTTTTAAGATAGTGTGGCTGCACCCTGATGGGACGAATAAAAAAAATAAAACAAAAACATATTTTTTCTAGGTTTATATTAAAAATACAAGGTAGGTAATCATCAAAAATAATTATGAACCAAATGTTTTTTATGAATATACAACTTGAACAAAAAGGTGTTTAGAACAATTTTTACCAAATTTGCAAAAATTTTAAATTGAAACGCGTAATTCAGTACAAGTAAACATGAAATATTGTAAATACTTATTTAATATCATTTCGAGTGTTTAACGACGAAAAGGTCATCTGTCCGTAGCGTCTTTTGTCAGAATATTCATATATTTAGTGTATTATATACCAATATTGTACGCAGTTTTGAAACTGATAATTAAATCATATTAATGTTAACTAACCATAATAAATGATAGAATTTCACTAAATTTAAATTGCCCCCCGTATGGTTGAAAACAGCAAATTGATATTTGATTACTTATAGATTACCACCTATATACAAAATGACAGGAAGACCTGGAATATGGCGCCCAACTTGATTAGACCTTCTGCGCATGTTGACGCTCATTCTCTATCCCTTCTATTTCTCTGATATTCTCCCGTGATCGGTTTGTGAGGCCAAAATTCGATCGGCGGCCATACTTTGGTGACAAGATTTCGAGGTGACACCGAGCGAATTTTTATGTTTTTTGTGACAACTGTTTTGTTTTAAATTTATAAACTGTGTTGTTTAATATGGTGAGATCTTCAGCGTATGGCTGCAAAGGACGAAGCGAGAAAAAAGTGGCTGGAATTACATTTCACAGGTAAAAATCGATACACAACTTTTGTTATGTGGTCATAAAATGTACATTTTTTCATTATAGCAGTAAAAATATGTCTAATGCTTTTAATATGTCTTGTACCACATCCAAACCAGACTATTTTTAATAATTCCAAGTAGTATTTTCAATATTCTGTATTATAATTAATGTTTGAAACTATAAATAATGCTACTCATAAAATGGAATGCCCTATTGGTTGCACTGTAAGCACACCAATGGACTGATGCACAAAAACGAATCAATCAAAGAAACGCGATATAGTATCGTCTTTGTCAATCACGCTAACATTTTAGAATAAGTAGGAGGAGCGCAGGCAGATGATTAGATCGGGCTTTAAAAACCTACGTCTGCGGTAAAAATTTACGTTTTTAATGCAAAAATGATAGCGCGCGTGTCAATTCTAACTTCATCAAGCGATGTATCACTCCCAAACATTCGTGGTGTTTACTATACCCTATTTTTTTTTTAATTATACATTATACACACGTTAATAAATAAATAATTGTCTTGATAATCAGTCCACTGTGACTGTAAAATAAATTTTGCGTTATCGACTTAGATATTCTAATATTATAAAGGTGAGACTATAAAATACAAAATTGTATATGCATTACTCAAAAATGAACGATATATTAGTTTACGTTTTAATAAATATTTTGTACCGTCTAGGTACAAGCTAATTTCTGATGCTACGCCATTGGAAAATTTCGTCTAAAATAGTGACTGGTTTTTTTCCCGATTGCGGTTCGATATTACCCTCCTTAAAGGACATTGGAAATATTGTTTGTTACGCTTGTTCGAAAGAGTACAAACCTGAAAGCGTTTATTATAAGTTTGCTGATCTTTATTTACAGATATTATTCATGTTTTAGTGTTAATAGACGAAAATAGTACGGTATATTACACTTTAATTCGCGCTATGTACAAAAGAAAAGGAAATTTGAAGGTATTCGATGACGAGGAGGAAGGTGAAGGGCCCAGGGGCGGATACAGTAATTTATTTTAGGGGGGGCCCAAATAAAAAATAATGCCAAATATGCCTTTTAGGGCGCCATTTTTAACCCAAAAGCCTAATATTTAACCCAATTGACAGATTTTAGGGGGGGGCCCCGCCCTGTATCCGCCACTGGAAGGGCCTATAGTTGAGAGAAAATGCCCTAAATGTGATAATAATAGAATATCTTTTATGCAACAACTGAACTTAGGTCTACCAATGAAAGGCAGACAGTATTTTATATTTGTAGAAAATGGTAATACACTCCAACCATACAACCATAATCTCGATCCGTGTTATAAAAAGACCAGAAAGAACTGTGAAGTAATATATTGTAAACATTTTAAAATATAATAAATAAAGTCAGCTTAACCGGACGATCCATCTATTAGTCCTTCTCCAGTGTAAAATGAATTAAAATTCAATCTAAAAAAAACAAGTCAAAATTATTCTCAGATCAAACAGTAATGCCGGGTCCAGACCAAGGCGACAAAAAGTAAACACGATTGTGAGACAAAAACAAGAAAAACCTGTGACAAAAAATGGAAAATTCTGTCAAGAAAACTTGACACAAATTGTCAAGGGCAAAAGTACAACAAAGTCAAAAGTTTAGTTGTTGCAAATGAGTTTTATTAACCATGTGTGATTTCACTGGTCTCCTACTGTTGGCAGCACTGGCCATCCACACTGCGCCGACAACTTGTCGTAAAATATACGAACAAAACATTGAAAAGTCCCCAAATTTTGAAACCAACAAAAACGAGAGAAAAATATCACAGAAATGTATTGGATTTGTCGCAATTTTGTCGTAAAACATGAATGTTTCTATCTTGTTGTTGTTTTGTCTGTTTGGTCTGGACCATAGACAAACTAACAAAAGCAAGACTCGTCAACGCTGTACTGCAAAACGGTAACAAGTTTGATAAGAGTTTATTACCGCGCTTGCGTCAACTGGCCTTTTAGACGAGGACGGTTTACTTATGGATTGTGTATTTTGTAGTAGCCTTTTAGACAAGGATGTTTAATTAAAAAGCGTTTATTAAAATCAAATAAATTTATTTCCATCCGTAAAATAAACAATAATTTCTGGACATAACAGATATAAAAACAAAAGTTAAATAAACGAAAACGTATTTATAAGGTACAAAAAAATAATTATGTATATTATAATATTAATAATAGGAACAACAAGAAACATCTTAAAAATATACAACTTTTTCAAATATAAAACAAAAATATAAACTTCACATTTTCCCAAGAATTTGCAAAAATATTAACATTTCGAATCTATTATAAAATATAAAGCACGAAAATTCAAATCATAAAAAGATTAAAAAGATAAAGATTCTTATAACTTACAGTCAATTTGTAGGACCTTCGTTTTGTCTACGTTAGCGATGTAATCACAATAATAGGTATGTATAATCACAGTAATTATTATGTTCTTCATAAATATAAAATGTATTAAATTATTTGTTTTCGTTTTGTACGCTAATAAAATAATAGTAATAACCAAACAAAACGCAAAATCAGGAATTCAACAGTTCGTTCAAGGATGGTTCAAGGCAAAAACGTTTTTCGTTTTATTTAGCTTAGGTTTGACGAATGCGACTGCGCGATGATTTCTGACTCAACTGGCCAGCGCAAAAACAATAATTCGACTTCCTCAATCCATTGAAAAGTCTTGCTTTTGTTAGTTTGTCTATGGTCTGGACCCGGCATAAGACACAAAAAATGTGATAGATTTATCACAATTTTACATTAAGAACAATTTTCATAGATTATATAAAATGAAATTGTTTTAAAGAAGTTGATGAAGGTGTTGTTATTCTTAACAAAATAGTCCAAACAGAATAAAAAATCACCTTCAAATATTCATTTTACCATGTGTTTAATAATATTCTCACCAAGAATTTGATATTATTTTATTCCTAAACTTGCACATGCATTACACTACTATATTTGGAATAGTCTAAGCGAAGGCTAAAAGGAACAGAGGGATGGGTTTAAGGGCTAAACTATAGACATCGCATGCCAAAAATGTTAACTTGAATACAACAATACCTGTATAATAAATTAAAGAGACGGTCGTGCTCACTGGTGTCTCTATTTAAGTCGTTGATTTGTGCCAAAAGCGATCTTATGGCTTTCAAAAACTCGCTGTCGTACAGGGTTATTTTGCCTTTAAAACTTAAGTTTAATTCCTGGTCTTGAAACGTTACTTCATTCTATAAAGATAAAAATATCTGTAGTAGGGTAAATATAATATAAAACAAACCTAAGATCCAGATTGTTTAGATTTTTTCGTGTAGTACGAAAAATTAAATCCAAATAGATAACATCTTAAGGTGCGTTTACAACGGCTGCGCCGCTCCGCCCTGCGCCTCGCAAAACATTTTTTTAACATGTACTTTTGAAGTGTATTTTTTTAAGCGCGTACAAAAGTATTTGTTAAAAAAATTATTTGCGAGGCGTGGCGTAAAGCGGCGCAGCCGCGATGAACGCACCTTTACAATAGGTAACGGCCTTATTAGTTACAGTACGTTTGCTGGATCTGTGTCTATGAAAGGAATGCGGACAAAAAATATTTAAATAAACAGCAATATATTTTATACGTCGATTTGACGAGTGCGTCACCGCAAATCGCTCCGCCCACTTATTTTATTGGCTACTTGCAAATTTGTCGATTTTATATTGATGGGACGCGTCGTCTATTTTTTTACGAAAAACATCGAGAGAATATCGTTTCCCCTCTCACGGATACCCCGTAGCTACAGAACGGACAGACGTACTGTACAGTAAATAAGATCTATAACCGATACCGAATAAACTTTTAGTTACGTCATCGAGGGCGCGATTATTATATTCATTGTTGCCAACCATGGACATATTCGGCGCCGGGGTGACTAACTGGAATTAAGATTTCCCGCTTGCGATTCAGGTGGTAGCTCTGCTGTAAAAAATGTCAAGTTGTCACATATATTTATTTATTTCTTGACATTCTGATTCATTTTGACTCTTTTTAGTTTTGTATTACGAGTTTTTGGTTTAAGTGAATTGTGTTGTGATATTTTAAGCTTAAATTTTTTTCGAAATTGTTTCGAAAAGTCGAAAAGTCAGTCGAAAATTGTTCTTTTTAGAAAGTTTTTGAGTGCGAAGTGTACAAGATGCCGAAGCAGCTTAACACCCGTTGCAAAAAACTCCATAGCCACCTTTATTAGAATATTTTGAATAGGGAAGCGGTTGTAATGGTCCTTAATGTCTCTTAAATGCTGTTAAGGAGGTGAGTTTTCTTGATGTAAATAATAACTGTTTAGATATTCGTAATTAATTCGAACGGCCCAGCTACGTCGAAACAACGGTTCCCATTAGAACACCGAAGTTAAGCGACGTAAGGCGATACCAGTGGATGGACGGGTGGCTGGTTCGAAACTCAGTATCGTGCTGTTGTCCAAAGGCAAAAGTGTAAAATCTATTGACACACACTGCTCATTCACGCCGCGCCGGTTCGAGGCCGGATGAGATCGGATATCTCGTGAGTAAGAGTCGATTTAGACACTTGCCAAGTCGGTAGGCCATCGACCATGATATGGCCGAGGACCGCGGTTCGGATTCCGCGTAAACAAAGTAGGCCCCGTCCAGATTAGCCCTGGCAGCAAAAAGGAGACGTTAACTGAAATCTTTAATTACTTTAATTTTATTTTTGTTTCCTAAAATATTTCAATTAAAAGAAAATATGCAAAAGCTGGCAACGCTGTGCCGGCAAGCTTAATCACATGACTAAAAGTTTATTTGGTATGATCTATAGGTATACCATCGTAGCGGGTTCTTTACTGAAGCGTAAAGGAGATTGGAACTCCCTCTTTGATGTATATCTCCCTATATATGATAAATTTAGCCAGATCAAGCCCTGCTAGATGTCATTATTTGGCAGGTACTAGGGTTGACCTCGCCAAAATTATCATTGATTGCCATTCCCATCCGTCTTTGAGGCCGTTTTTTTTTTCGATCATACGCTATAATGGACTGATTTAAATAGAAAATTAGTTTGTGACAGGAATGAACAACCACAAATAATTATTTTTCACGTAAAAAATATATTTAGAAAAAAAAATTAATTGTTATAAAAAAGTAAGAAACATGCATAACAATACATGAACAATAAACAGTGTGATCAAATTAATGTAAAAGCTTCAAGCATAATAATTATAGTAAAATACCTGTGTGAAGGAATCGTAAAGCGAATTTGGTAACGAACCCAACTCTGCTTCGACGAAATAGCGTTCCATCCGCTGAACAAAGCAGCAAATTCAATAAAAAATTAATAGTTTATTCCTTTAGAATAGAACTTTTTAAAACTAGTGTAGGATAATGTATTCAAATTTGTTCATTCTAAATAACACCCAGACAGCGTAAAACCGTGCTATTAACATTGGAAATGTTTATGTTCGTATATGGGGGCCAAATTTCGAGTTACACATTTTTGTTTGTGTTTTGATATACGAGGTTTAATTTTGTTAGTCCCGACGATATTACTTGGCGACTATGCTACGGGGGGCGATTATAAAATTGAATAGATTGATACTGATATTTGCAAAGGTTACAAAACAGTACTATTTTCGTAATGTTGTTTGTAATGAAACAATATTTTTATTTAGGTATTGATCAGTAGCGTGCCGTGGGTAAAAAGGCGGGGTGGGCGAGCTATGTTGAGGGCGCCGCACAGTGCTTCGTCCCATGAACAAAAATCAAAAAATAAGTTAAAATTTACTAATATCTGAATATACAGGGTGTCCCAGAAATGAGTGCAGATATTTTAAGAGGTGGTAGATCTGGTCAAAATAAACATATTTTCTCTTTACCATTTTTAAAATAAATTGAAAATAACTAAGTTATTTAACTTTGAAAATTTAAAAAAATAATCGCAACATTTTGAGAACCGCCGGCAGATATTGCCAACTACATCCAATTACCCGGATCAAGCCCGGATTTCAGTTAATTCGACGCACTGTGTTGCCATATGGACAAGAAAGTATATGTTTACAAGTAAGTCATAAAATCACAACACCTGAGGAGTTTGCATTACATTTTTAAGATTGTGATATTATTACATAAAATAAATTAAAAGTTAAATGTTTAAAAGTTAAATTAAAAAAACTTACCCAACATTAAAAAAGATACTTATGACAGATCGATGTAACTGCGACAGTTCTCTTTTTCGATACACACTTAACTAAATACACTTCATTGTGCTGCTTTACTTGTACGTGCTATTATAAAAACTGCTAAAATAACAGTCCCCATTTTTAACTTAACACATTATTTTCGTATAGGTTTCATCACAATTTGAACCACTGATTTACAAAACACCTTGAAAAGCACACATTACACATTACTTTGAATATCTTTCTGAATGAATAAATGTTGAGAATTATTGTCTCTTACCGCCACTTTACGAACTACTGTCAATCTAAGAAAATACATGTTTCACTCAACAATTTTAAATACGTATTTTGCTTTTTCGCTATTTTTTCGATGTATTTCGACAATTCCGTCAACAGTCCAACCGTCGGCCAAGACAGCCACGCATCACTGGTTGGTAATTGCTCACTACTTCTTTGTCGCGCCGGCGTGTCGAGCTTGCGTCATGCGAGGTTGCCGCAGTTTCAACAATTTCAAATTCAAGATACTCGAAGCAATCAAATTCTTATTAAATTTTAAAAATAAAACAGAAAAACATGAAAGGAAACAAACAAAACACAAATGAATTGATTATTGATAAGGTCACAAAAAAGAAATTTCTAAAATGTTTATCGTAATTCAGAATTCAATATATCGAAAACAGCCCGACGAATAATCAATTCATTTTCGTTTTGTTTGTTTCCTTTCATGTTTCTCTGTTTTATTTTTAAAATTTAATACAAATTTGATTGCTTCGAATCTCTTGAATTTGAAATTGTTGTAACTACGGCAACGTTGCTTAACATCGTCGTCTGACGCAAGCCTGCCACGACGGCGCGGCTCAAAGGACCAGTTCACACGTGGCACTCTTGGCCAACGCGCGACGGTCGGGCTGTCAAAATACATCGAAAAAATAGCGAAAAAACAAAATACGTATTTAAAATTGTTGAGTGAAACATGTCTTAAATTGAAAGTAGTTCGTAAAGTAGCGATAAGAGAGGTATTCAAAGTAATGTGCGCTTTTCAAGGTGTTTTGTAAATCAGTGGTTCAAATAAAACAGAGAAACATGAAAGAAAACAAATATTGAATTCTTAATTACGATAAACATTTTAGGAATTTCTTTTTTGTGACCTGGTTGTGAATAATATGATGAATCATTTTCGTAAACGTCATAAACGTAATGTTTTAGTTAATTTTCGGTGGTTTTTGTTAAGTTTTCATTGAAAGGGTAAGTACTAAAAATAATTAATGTGTTTTTTTTCTATAATACATATTAATAATGAGCACTGATAAAAATTTAACATTCCTAATTTTTGAGTAGAAATTTTTCTATGAATTTATAAATGTAGAACTATGTAGAATGTGGATAACATAGGAGGTTGCAACACTGCAAGGTTTAGATACACCGTAGAGAAATCTCAGGTGAATAAACAAGTGGCACTAAAAAGTTTTTTCAAATTTCCCGGAAAATGTCAAGAAAAATTTTAAATTTTCAACATTTTTTTTTCGCAAAAAATACCTCATAGGCGTGTTTCTGGGGTTGAACTATACTACCAGTTAAAATATCTGCACTTATTTCTGGGACACCCTGTATAATTTTATACTTATAGCAATGTTCAACCATCCTGTATATTATTTTTCATAAACAGCGTTTTTAATAGCAAATATTTTCACTAAAAATAAATTTTGCGATCATTATCTCATCAGTAAAAAGAATAACATTCATAGTAGTTCTGTATATTACGGAGTTAAACGAATTTACGCACTTAATTGAAAGCCACTATGGATATTGTTAAACAAGGTATGTAACTTTAAATTTATTTCTAAACAAGTTCGTGATTGTGTAGTTTTTATTTATTTTTAAGATGATTCTTAAATGGGTATAAAATTTTACGTTTTCAAACTTCAAAAGGCATTTAAAAAACATATCAAAACATATCGTATTTATTGAATATTTTTGTTGCCATATTCATACACTTTTAATTTTTGTATAGTTCACCTGCGTCTGCTTGCGACGAACTTTATTTTATAATACTTTTCAGATGGAGTAAAATTGATAAGCAATGCCGATCTGGCTAATACTTGGCTTGATCATAAAGACAAGAACTCAAAATTATTTGTATTTCAAAAAATATGTTCTTATTAGATATTGATGAACCTTCCAGTCAAATGAGACACCACTGGTGCCTGAAAAAGTCCACTATGTTGGAGCGAAACGTCGCATAAAAAAAGTGTCCATCTTTCAATTTATTATATAATCTCATACCCAAGAAAAGGAAAAAATAATATATGGATATGCTGTATTAAAGAGGTAACTATTAACATCCGAACCCCTCATAGCGACAAAATGAACAGTAACAACGCGAAAAAGTAACATATTAGAAAATGATGTACAGAAATATCTTATATGTGAGGATACTTCATCTACCTGATTTGGATACTATAAATTTGGAAGATTCTGTCAGCAGTAATTCTTCTGAATCAAAGTAGTTACGATCTATGCATTTTGTTGTCCTAAAGTAAATTTATAGTATCTTAAGTTTTTTTTTTAATTAAATATAACATTAATGTTTCTTTTTCATTAAACAAAAACATTTTTATCTTATCTTACGTATTAGGCTTATATTGTAGGAATCATGTTCTAATGTTATTTCAATTCTTTTTTATCACAGGAATTTATTTAATACTTACACCGTTTTCATACTATAACTTATTATTTGCTTAGATGGAACACAGCTCCAACATTATTATTATTTATTAGATTTTTTTTTCATAAACGTGGGACTAAGAACATCATCATTTAGTACAATGAGAGTACTCATCATTTGTGTCAAATAAACCGAGTTTGAATAAATTGCTTACAATAAAAGAGAAGTTTTGGATTTTTGTCCTCTAGAGCCATATGTTCGAAGCACTGTGCGCCGGGTACATGCAGAGTAATTCAAATTGCCGAATTCAAGGTGTTCAGATTATGGTTCATTTAACACGATTGGGGCGCTGGGATTATAGGATTATACAGTACTTCGGATTATAGGGGTTGTATTGGGATGTATTTGTTCATACATTATTACATTACTGTACTACTAGGGAAAATACGAACAAAAAAATAAAACTATCTACTTAATTAAAATTTTAGGCATCTTGTTTTTACAGACTTAAGTTTGTTTAATAACTTATCATAATCGACTAAAGGCGCGAAATTCGATTGGACAAAGCAACCTTGCCAACCGCTCTTACAAGAAGTAGTGTGGGTCAGGAAAATGTCGAATATGCAAACAAATAAAAAGACTAGACCATAACGTGATCGTAGGATGAGAATAGTTAGATTGTACGTACAATTTTTCGGTGGAATATGTTACGCAGGGTCTAAACGCCAAGCGGGGCACTGGTCTTGTCATGTTTGACATCGAGAAGGCCTTTGACAGGGTTTGGCACGAAGGCCTTGTGTACAAGCTTCACCACGTTTTCCACTTTCCCCAGCAGATCACTCTCATCATCAAATCCTTTCTTGTCGTTAGGAGATTCCAGGTCCGCATCAGAGACTCTCTCTCCTCTCCTCGTGCTATAGAGGCGGGGGTGCCGCAGGGCTCTGTCCTGTCGCCCACACTCTATAATACGTTCACATCCGATATCCCTAAATCCCTGGAGACTCGTCTTGCGTTATTCGCAGACGACACCTCCACTGCCTCGAGCAATGGAATTCAGAGCAGGCTCCAACCCTACATCGCCCAGCTGCTTGATTGGTTTTCCCACTGGAAAATCAAAATCAACGCAGCAAAAACCCAAACCTTGTTCGTCTCAGGACGAATGAGGCTCCCACTACCTCCTCCTCTAGTCATAGACGACGAAGAGATCCCTTGGGGGGAAACCGCCAAGTATCTCGGAGTCACACTAGACCGACGGCTAACCTGGATCCCTCATATCGACAAAAAAATCTCTGGTGCCCGTGCCACTTATGCTAGCCTTCATGGCCTCCTCAGCAAAAAGAGCACCCTCTCCCTCTCAAATAAAGTCCTACTGTTCAGAACAGTCATTCGCCCTCAGCTCCTCTATGCAGCCCCAGTATGGTGTAGAGCCTCTGACAGCCAAATCCACAGACTCCAAGTTTGTAAAAACAAAATCCTCCGCTATATCACCAGAGCTCCCTGGTATATACGCAACTCCGACATACGTACCGACCTACGCATCGACCCCATCCCCAAATACCTTCGAGATCGTGCCTTGAAGTTCTACGAGAAAATCGGTACTATCCCCAATAGTACCTTCAAATACTCCCATCTTAAAACCATTCTTCTAGACAATTAATTTTGTCCCCCCCCCCCTTCTCATAATATAGTCCTCCCATCACCCCCACAACACCCCCTCTCTTTCTTCCCCACATATTAGCAGGAATAATAGCTGACCATTCTTCGGCGGCTGATTCCTCGGAGGTGGACTTTTTTTAGTGGGTATCAACCGAGTCCCACACTGTCTAGGGGTTATTTCTAGGACCGTCTCTCTCGAGATGGTTATGGAAATGATCACTATTCGTCTATGAAAGATTTTTCAACCACCCCCTCACCAAAAAAAAAAAAAAATCGACCGGACAGTTCTGTTTTGAGTATTTGTTTTATTCTGTTTTTGTATTTACTTTTTAGTTGCTGTTTTATGTTGGCATGCTCTAATCCTGTTTTTTGTAGGTATCCGAGGTATTTGTATGTCTCATCCATTTCCATATTCTGTATGATATTTGAGTCTTGTAGAATGTATTCTTCCTGTATCGTGTGTTTTCCATTTATAATGCTGTTTATTTTACATTTATCTGTTCCTAGTTTCATTTGGATGTCTTCACTGTATGTTTCTGTAATATTGAGAAGGTTGTTGAGTAGTTTTCTAGTTGCTGCATAAAGCTTTAGGTCATCCATATATAGCTGGTGCGAGATGGTAGATGGATGTGTGAGTGAGGATATTTTATAAGCATCTTGGGGCGTTTTGTTGAGTAGGTTCGATAGGGGGTTGAGCGCAATACAGAACCAGAGTGCACTGAGGAGTCACCCTTATTATTATATTATTATTATTATTATTATTATAAATTTAAGTATACAAGGTCGGTCATAAAGTCGTGGCACATCAAAGTTTCATTTTTTTAAATGGAACCCCCTGTATATTATTGCATATTTTGGTTGTTCCTTCAATTCTAAGCAAAAATCGAAATACACACAATGCACCTCAAACCAACCGTTTCCGAGTTATTGACTTTTGAAAAACAATTTGATTTAATTAATTTCGATATGTTCCGTTTAATTTAACGATGACATCAAGTTAGCATTTATAGATGTATAAAATGAGAGTATATCTGGTCTGGAAATTACAAAATTTTCGTTTAACATTTCAATTCTTCAATTTATGTACGTTGTGTATTACGATTATTGCTTAAAATTTAAGGAAGAATTGAAATATGCAATATATACAGGGGGTTTCATTTAAAAAGAATCAAGTTTGATGTGACACAACTTTATGACCGACCCTGTATAACTAAATTTACTAGTAGCTAATAGGAATTTAAAAAAAAAACATTACAACAGTATCACAGTTTCGGCAGAGTGGCATCACTAAATCAAACCCAACACATTGAAATTAATTAAATCGAATTGTTTAAGTGATATATTCAAAAGTCAATAACTCGGAAACGGTTGCTCTGAGGTACTTTGTGTGTATTTCGATTTTTGCTTAGAATTGAAGGAAGAATTGAAATATGTAATAATATACAGGGGGTTCAATTTAGAAAAATGAAACTTTGATGTGCCACGACTTTATGAAAGACCCTGTATACTTAGATTTATTACTCGCTAATAGATATTTAAAAATCCTATAACTTTTGTATTTTTTTTTCGCTACCTCCTATATTTTACCTAATAATCGCCCGTTTCCATACATAAAAGCGACCCTGTATAAATATAAAACAACCCCAGAATTCCCAACTGGCAAAGGTTTACGACAAGGAGACGCGATATCCTGAAAGCTGTTTACAGCAACACTAGAAGAAATCTTCCGTCAACTAAGATTCGCTCATGACATAGTCCTAATTGCCAATAGTCCTGAAGAACTACAAGCACAAATTAAAGAACTAAATACAGCCAGCAATAAAGTAGGTCTCAAAATGAATTTACCTAAAACTAAAGTAATCTACAACGAACTAGTAGACAGAAAAAAACATTGTAATAAATAACACAACACTGGAAATAGTAGAAGAATACATATATATTTGAGACAACTAATACACAGCTCGGGATCTCTACTACCAGAAATCAAGAGAAGAATTAAGTTAGCATGGAGTACTTATGGAAGAAACTCAATCATATTCAAATCTACAATACCACTTTATCTAAAGAAGAAAACATTTGACCAATGTGTACTACCAGGCATGACCTATGCATGCGAAACCTGGATACTTGAAACGGACGTTATAAGGAAACTAAAATATAATCGTTGTTTCTGTTAATACATTCTAGAACAACAGATATAACTGCCAAAAGTACCAACCAATTGCGGTACTTTATCAATATTTGAAACAACTTATATCTATTTCTGGTTTATAAAAATCATCATAGTAAAATTCTTCAAATAAGTAAAGCCAGCTAGGTGCTCTTAAATATACCAAATGTCTAATAATACCTTAAAAATACGATTAACAATTTGAAGAATACCTACTTGCATAAACTTGGAAAATTCCACACATATATTTAGGATCTTCACGATTGTGCTGAGAATAGCTGGAATTGTTAACATGCAGTCCTTTAAACAACTGTCTAGAAAATCACAATGACACGACAAAATTTCATCAACATTATGAACCTGAAATAAACATATAATATCCTATGATCACATAAATAATGTGTCCATTAAGTGTTATAATAAATAACCTTTAAAAATAAGAAAAATTAGATGCATTAAAGTACTGTATGATCGAAAAAAAATCGTCATTTGCTTTACTAAAAAAAATTGGCGCCGGGAGGCACGTATAGAGTTCTTTTAGTTTCAAAGTAAAGGAATTTTGCCAATTTTTTTTTATCTCAAACACTGCGACTTTGATTTTGATGTTATTACAAATTTTGTTGCAAATATTATTCCTAATCTTAAATTGAAAACCGCGTTTCGCTAGCTACTGTAATTTTTGGAGTTACGATGTTTTTAAATTTTAACCCCCTCCCATACCAACCCCCCACCCCCACCAAAAACTAATGGCCAGTTTCTCGGGTGCCAAAGTATTTTTGTGCCAAATTTGGTTAAAATCGGTTTAGGGGTTTTTGAGTTATGGTGTGTGTTAAGTTATTGTGTTACAGACAGACACCATGATAATATTTTGTATTTATGTCATTTATGACCCAAATAACTCATTTTGAGTGAAATTAAAAAAACTTTTTTTTGTCGATCTTAATAGCCTACCATACCTATTAGCACAGATTAGTTATCCTATAAGTATACAGATAAAAATCTTGTCCCTAATTCGTGGTACGAAAATTGTTTTTTATGACGATGTGCAAACGAGTCAAATTTCCTGTGCGCAAAAATAAACTCGCGTAAAATAACAATAAACAGCGTAATAGAGAGATATCGCTAAACCGAATAGCGTGCATGGACGTTAATAAGGCCAGGTGTTATTTCCTTTACGTGAGGTGGTATTAACTCTCTTCATTTATAGTTATCGGATCGGAAAGAATTCTGATCGCGTCGCGTCCGCTATTTAAACTTAACCTAACTTTGAATTTAAAACTTTGAAATTGTTTTGTTTACTAGGTATTTTAAAACTAAAGGGCTAAAGTGCTTATTTCCAGTGCTTTATTGTTCAACATCTGCCAATGGGTTTAGGACAACAAGCAACAAATTCTCTTAGAAGGGCTAAGTCGTCATCTACTGTAAACCTAAGACTCTTTATAGGTTCTTTAATATTGGAAGAGGTGGAATCCATATTTTGGACCATATTTATTTAATTAAAACTAATCCCAGCTACTTAAATATCAAATTACCTAATAAAACTAAAGCAATAATTCAAAACAATTCAAACATAACCTAAAATAAAAGATCTCGCAGGCCGGCTCCGGTTGTCAAATACCCGCACGTGTCCATTTAAGCAATTTTTAAACGTTATCAGAGGTTATTTAGAAAGAGCTTGGTGTAATTGATCCGCAAATTACGTCAGGCGGTAACGTTATTTGCTGTCCTCCTTTCACGCAGTTGGGCAGCTCTGAACTGTTCAAGAACGCGATACTCTCACTCCATTCAATTGAGTCATAAAGTTCCAGAACTGTTCCGCGCCATATGGAGGCACCAGGCTATCGCGCACCGCTCCTTTCAGAACCGTTCTCGAGTAGCCTCAGGGCGTAAAGCCCGGAACTCGAAGTTCGCGAATGGAGGACAGCAATTAGCGGGTGTTGCGTTGACTCGCGCAAATCGTAACCATGATAAGGTACGCGTAAATACTGGATGACGCTATTTGGTTTTCCGATATCTCTCTAATAACTGTGCCGGTCAGGCGCTGTGCACAATTTTAGACGCCATAAGTGGGCGTGCTATGTGCGCAAACTAGTCACCTAACTAGTGCCCGATTCCGAAAATTGGAACCACGAAAAACAATAAAGAAAAAACAAAGATTATAATCTGTATAATCTGTGCTATTAGTTTGGTTTTCCGATATCTCTAATAACTGTGCCGGTCAGGCGCTGTGCACAATTTTAGAGGCCATAAGTGGGCGTGCTATGTGCGCAAACTAGTCACCTAACTAGTGCCCGATTCCGAAAATTGGAACCACGAAAAACAATAAAGAAAAAACAAAGATTATAATCTGTATAATCTGTGCTATTAGTATGGTCGACTAAAAATATTTTTTACGCCTAAAAAATAGTTTATTACGTGTAACAAATAGTTTTATACGCGTAAAATAATAAATTATAAAAAATTAAAATATGAATATTTTTGAAAACAGCAAATTGATATTTGATTACTTATAGATTACCACCTATATACAAAATGACAGGAAGACCTGGAATATGGCGCCCAACTTGATTAGACCTTCTGCGCATGTTGACGCTCATTCTCTATCCCTTCTATTTCTCTGGTGTAATTGATCCGCAAATTACGTCAGGCGGTAACGTTATTAGCGGGTGTTGCGATAAAAATTGACTCGCGCAAAGACTCGCGCATATCGTAACCATGATAACGCGTAAATACTGGATGACGGTATTCGGTTTTCCGATATCTCTCTAATAACTGTGCCGCTCAGGCGCTGTGCACAATTTTAGAGGCCATAAGTGGGCGTGCTATGTACGCAAACTAGTCACCTAACTAGTGCCCGATTCCGAAAATTGGAACCACGAAAAACAATAAAGAAAAAACAAAGATTATAATCTGTATAATCTGTGCTATTAGTATGGTCGACTAAAAATATTTTTTACGCCTAAAAAATAGTTTATTACGTGTAACAAATAGTTTTATACGCGTAAAATAATAAATTATAAAAAATTAAAATATCAATATTTTTGATAAACACGTGGACTGCTCACAAATACACGTCGCGTCACTACGTATTTCTAAGCTGTAGACTGTCCTTACCGCTTTTCGTCTCGCTAGCTTGTGTGTCACGAGTCACGACATTGAATGTTTACTCCCAGCGCGTGTAAAAAAGTTTCACTACAAAAATTGACACTAATAATTATAAAAAAGATTAAAAAAGGATAAAATGGAAGAGCCATTAAAAAATAAAAGGTTCGGGCTAAATAAATGACTCTAGGGCTTGACCTCCCCAAAATTTTAATCGATTGTAATTTCCCAGCCGTCTATGACGCCATTTTTTTTTCGAACATACGGTAATTTTTACTTACCTTATGAATTTTCTGTATAAAACTACACCAGTGTGGCTCGATAACCTCGACCATCATATGGTACTCTAGATTTTGAACGCAGTGCAACATTTTTTGTCTTAAAGCAAATGCTTCTCTGTAGTGCCTCGCATCGGAATAGTGGAATTTTTTAGCAACTTTATTTGATTTCCACACTTGACACAACAATCTCTCCACGTATTTCGAGTAGAATAAATGTCGAAAAATCATTTGATAACAAGCGAGAGATTTCTTGTTGAGAATAAGGGACAGGGGCCAACGGACTTCATAACTAAATGCAAACGATTCGATAACAGATAAGTTCTTTGGATCAAAACATGACCAATAATCTGTAAACAATATCCGACAGTAACAATATTTTCAAAGTAAATCTACTAAAAATTACCTTGTTCTGAATTTGTTTGAATACTGAGTATCTTAAACATTTGAAACTGCAAATTAAACGGTAATAATTCAGTCTTCAGGTCTTCTCGATAAGGGTCATTAGCAGAACTGGATAGTCTCAGTGCCAAGTCCATTAAGCTCTCCAATCTGCTTTGAATAATATCAACGACCATTTTATTAAGCTCTTTTTCGCATAACGTGAGAAACGTGACGATAAAATCGCCCTTATCCAGAAGGAAGTAATGCTTGACGGATTTTAAACGACCTATAAGATCCTTTTCGGTAATCACAAGATCCAAAAGAGTTTTGCTAGCAAACATATATGCTTTCTCTATAGCCTCAATGTAATGTTTTTCTTCAATTCGATACAGTATCGGACAGATTTTTGTTCTTACCGGTTTACCTGGTAATAAATCCCATAAAAAATGTGTTATAGCACAATTAATATATGTATACCCACCACACTGTCTTATAACATTTAAATATTTTCCCGCTTTTAATATAATATCTGCGACAGGTTCTAAAAATTTTGGTATTCTATCCCTTCGTATGCAGTATTTTTTGTCCCAATAATCGGCCGAATAATCGACAGGCATATCCTCTTTCTGAATAACTTCATTATCCTCAACTAAGAACTGGAATTTTTTATGAGAGACAGTTAGGTATACTAAAAATATTACAGTATTTACTTCGTTAATAGGATCTGATATGATTCCCATGTATATCCACATGCCCAACATTTTCATGTAAGGCACACAGGCAGCTCCCATAAGTTTCAAACACAATTGTTGATTACGTTCATCACCAATAGAACTTATAACGTTATCATGTAGTAAGCTTAATACCTTACCACCTTTCGCATCAGACTAAAAATAAACTAAATTTAATAAAAATGTATTTACTGGTTTGATAAATGTGTTTATTACTTTACTAATACAAAATGCTATATCTGCTGCAATTCCTAAACATTGCATGTTTCTTTGTGTAAAGAACCATAACTTCTGTAATGTCAGATTACCAGCTCTGAATTCTGTTTCTAATTGTACAACAAATAACTACAAATATTACTAATATGAATATAAAATTGTTAAAATAAATTATATTTACCATATGATCCTTGTTTAAACATTGCATTGCCTCTGCCAAAGCATTATTAACTTGCCCAAATTCAAATCTCATTTTTTCCTCAGTAAACCTTTGTATCATCGAATAATGACTGGCCAATGGCAATATCTGCTTTACAAGTTCTTGCAGAGATATAGGAACGTTATCATTTATTCTGTAACAAGTTTAATAAAAAAAATTTCACAATAATATTTTACTTTATTACTTAAACGTTCGAGGTCCATATGGATCCTTCAAATCTTCTGGCTCTATATAACATCCCGGCAAGCCAATCAAACAGTTCAAGAGATCTTCGATTAAAACATTTTCTTGTGATATTTCAGGTACGGTAGTTAAGCAAGTGCCAAAACTAGTTGTTGAAAAATCAAAAGACATTGTAGGTTTTCTTTGTACCCAAGACATTACTGAAGGTGTTGAAGCAATTGGAACAGATGAAGATATATTTAAAACACTGCTTAAGTCCCCTACGGGACTATGTTTCACTTTTTCTTTGAGAATATTTTTTACCTAAAATATCTAGTGATAATAATATGATTAACATGTACTATATGGCTTTGATTACTAGGGGTAAATCATCTTTGGTAATGTTTGTTTTCGCACTTAGAGTAAATTGTTGCCTTTTAGTCTTAGCTAGTAGTTCCTTTACTCCAGTATCTTGGATAATATTGTTTAGTAACTGCACAAACAGATTTAAAGAATCAACACTGAAAGAATGAAATTGGAATACTTAGTTGAGATCAAAATAAAAGAGAACTTTTCATATTCATACTTTTTCTGTTTCAAATCATTGTACTTGGCAATGAATGGTTCCTGATTTGATAGTTTTCCTATAAGATTATTTATTTGGCCTTTTTCAGTGATTTGAGCTCCTGAACAACCAACACTTGTAGTTTGCGTAATATTCTTCTGTAAATAATCAACAACCTCTTCTGGCTGAACGGTACCCCTTTAAAACACCTAGGTAAAAATTCAGTAGAACAAAAAAATTATGTTAATTCATACCCTAAGTGATGCAATAAATTATCCACAATACTTTGTAATTGAAATTCACTCATTTTTTTAAAATATCTAAACGGTGTAAACAATTTTGAATTTTTATCTATTTGAGTTTGACAGTTTATTAACCTCAAAATAATTAATGTATCGATTTTAGATCAGGGTTGTATAAAGACTGACGATTATGTAAAATCATTGCCCTGAAAACGTAGTCAACTACGTCATTAATGGACCACGAATGGGCTTTTAAAAAAATCTTTACCTGTTTTTTTTTATTGTTTTATTATTACATTAAAGACAAGGATTAAAGATTAAAGCGTTTATTATTATTAATCTTTTTAATCAAAGGTGATCAAAGGTATGAGTATAATTTAAATATCAAATATAATAGTTCAAATATCTAAAGTATTTGGTAGGATGACTGCTTAAATATAATTCAAGAAAATTTTTTAAATTATATATTCCATTTATTTTTAATCTACAGCCTTAATAGTAATAAATCTAGACAATATACATGCCAGAACGATTGTGGAACAAACAAAACAAGCTACAAATATGTAAAATGTTTCTTCATCGAAAATATCTGTAAAGGCAGGAATTTGATCGTAAATTGTATGTACAAGCTTAGAACTGACATCATTAGATTTGGAAGCGTCAGCCATTGCTAGCGTCGCTTATTCAGCTTTTTAACGGAAAGTTTTTTGGTTTTTGTAATAGCTGTACTTGCAGTACTAATTTCTTCTTTAGGTACTTTTGAACTAATGTGCTTATTTATTCCTTGTAAAACTTCCAGAACAGTTAAATTATTGAGCAAGAATTTTACACTCCTAGAAGTAAAAAGTGGGAAAGTGAAAACACATCTAAAAAATTCATACCCTACCCGTTTTCAATCAAATCAATCTTTATATAGGGCTCACTTCTGTCAGAAACAACATTGGTTTTAATGCTACAGTTCAAATTTGTTTGTTGTACCTTGGAGGACGTTATGTGAAAAAGAAAATCTCTGAAAAAATACAAATATTACAAAAAGAGAAATTGGCTTTAAATAGACTGGCTGTTAAAAAATCAATAATCTGTTTAGGCAGTTTAGGGGTTATGTTTACCTTGCTGTAACTGCGTTATGATGAAAAGGATCGAATTGAACTTGAATTTTCTTTACCGGTTGTAAATTAACTGCGTTCAGTTGCTTACATATTGCACTTATTAAACCAGCAGATCTAGTTAAACTTCCACTAAAATAAATTGACATTTTTCTATTTAAATCCTTTTTACAGACATTTAAAAAAAAATGAAAATCTAGGCAACCACAGAAAATATGAAACAATCAAGGATGGGTATTAATTTTGAATCACCATTTTTACATGTTTGGGTTTTGACCATTGAAAAGGTGTAAAAACTTGAGTTGCACAAGGGATGGTGTCGAAGAAAAATAATGTACGAATTTTTTTTTCATATAAAAAACAATTTTTTGTTGTTTTTTGTTTTTATTAATAATTCAAGTACCGTATGATCAAAAAAAAAAACGGCGTCCAGTTGGCTGGGAAATGAACATCAATGACATTTCCCATATAAATTTACATATAAAATGACAGCGATCTTCATTCCATAGCCATCGCTGACGCCGTTTTTTCTCGATCATACGGTATTTTTTTGTAAGGAAATACAAATTTTTGATAAGATAAAACCTCCTTTTTAGTTTTGGTTTTATATATGTAGGCCACCAGTAGTTTGACTATAAATAAAAAATAAAAAACATTGTGCGCGTTCAGGGAACACAGCGGCTGACCGACCGCTGAGTATTTTGCTCAGCGGCTGAATGTTTTTGCACATCAAAAGATAATAATTCAGGGACGGTCAGCGGCTGAGTGGCTGAGTAAGCGGTTTCCCTAAACGATCTCTTTTTACACGCAAAAACAGTCAGCCGCTGTGTTCCCTGAACGGGCACAATATAATGGGGATATTCGGATTGATATTTTTATACAGGGTGTCTCCATATTCCGTGGACATAGAACTATTACGAATTTTTGGAATCAAAATTAATTTACCTCTATACAAAAGTGCTTAGAGGCCATCAAACTTTAAAAAAATAAATACTTTTTTTAAGTTATTTTAATAAAAACCGTTATCCCGATTCGAATGAGATTTTGGGTGTCTATGTTTTGCTAAGCGCATAAAGCCCCGTTCTCAGAAGTGCGACTGTCGCCAGCGACACGACAAAAGAACCAATCAGATTTGTACAAAATTCAAACAGCTGTCAATTTTAAATTTAGTACAGCTCCCATTGGTCGTTTGAAGTGTCAATCAGTGTCGCTGTCGACACGACGCTGTTCTGAGAACGGGGCTTAACATTTGAATTTCATAAAAATCAAGAAAAAATACGGGCACGGTTTTACACCAGCCCCTACAAAAGTATTAATATAAATATTTTCCAATTCCACCTGGTGATTTTTTATTCTTTTAATTGCAATATGGACTTTTTTTACAAGAGACAAAAAGCGTAGTAAATACTAGAAGGAACCTTTTACGAAAAAAAAACAGTCGTCGGTATAGCTAGAAAATATTTCTACTAAAATTTTTGTAGGGGTGGGGGTACAAACATATACGTAGTAGTTCTTTGTCCAGTAATATTGGGACACCCTGTATAACCTAATTTTATTCGGTTACTGCAAAGGATTACTGTCTTGTTATTACTGTCTTAAAAAAAGGAAAAAAGTTGGCCATGACAAACCGTATGAAAAAATGAAGTATAAAATATTGTCAATTTAGTTGACGCTGATTATGGATAAGTCAAGAACAAGCAAATCTAATATTATTTTAAAAGAAGTAACTCCCCCAAAAAAGAAGAAATATGGCCGAGGATATTATGCCGAACTGCTGACAAATTTAAATACTGCCGAACTACAAAAAAGAAATTTTCCAGGCAGCCATAAGAAGACTAGCCTTATTTGGCAAGCAAGAACAGAAAGACATGCGCCCATTTTCATGGAGCTGGTGGCGCCAGGACAAAGAGTTGCTTTGGCACCGGCCGAGAGATGGATGACTTTTGAAGCAGATAAAGATGTGGTAAGATAAGAAAATCTTTATTAATAATATGCCTAGGTACTAGGGTTCAGAACCGGGAAATCCGGGTTTTTCGGTACTTTCGGTACTTAAATTTTTTTTACTCCGAATTAAAAAATTATTTTTTGTTACATGCTAAAGTTCATTGATACTTTCTAGCGGTCGAAATCAAACTCTTCTAAATAAATAGGGACGTTATCTCTTATTGTTCTTACTTCTGAAGTTCTTTTGAAGTTCCTATAATGCTTATTAACAATTATTGAAGTTTAGATATGTTATTTTATTATTAAGTATAATGTTGCTCAATATATTAGTTATATTTTATGTTACGTTTTTTTGTTACGTTCAAATTTAGTTAGAAGTTGCATGGTTCATGTTGTTTGGTGTAAATTTTAAGTTTCCTATGTTTTTTTTGTTTTTCCTTCACTTCTTGTGTTCCTTTGTGTTGATTAGGCTTCAGAACCGGGAAACCCCGGTCTCGAAAGTATCATGAATTTCCGGTTCTTTTGAGGTATCAAAGAACCGGGACTAGAAATAAAAATTACCGGTTCTTTCAGTACTTTCGGTACCAATTTTTTTTTTACTGATTAAAAAATTATTTTTTGTTACATGCGAAAGTTTATTGATACTTTCTAGTGGTCGAAATTACACTCTTCTAAATAAATAGTGTTGCTCAATATATTAATTATATTTTATGTTGTTTTTATAGGATTTGCATTTTTTTTGACTGATTATTTACTAATTATTTTCATTAAAAAACACATATTTCTATCGATTTTATTTTTGAAAACCATCCCTTCCTTGCTGACTGAGGGTGCTTCCACACTATCCTAAAAACAGCGTATCGGCGTAACGGCGTAATGACCTTGAATCGATTTTCAGCAATTCTATTAGTGCATCAGGATGATTTTTTTTAAATGGAACACTGTATCTTATTGAATTTTTGGTTTCTCTTTCAGATCATTTTACATAATCCTAAGATATGTGTAAATATATTTCGATAATTCCAGAGATATGAATAATTAAATAAAAAATATAGTATATATTTTAACCTTAAAAAATTATTACAAATACAAGGACTGTTTTGAACTCAAATCTATATAGGGTATTTATTTTAGATGGCCGGCCTATACTTACTTTGCTATAAAAATATTGTACTCTTAAATCATTCAATGTTCAAAATTCTACGCCAAACTTTCTAAAATATAAAATAATTTTTTTTGTTTTTTTTAACACCTTGTATATTATTTTTTTATTAGATGGAGAGTTATAAAATGAACATTTTTTGTATTTAAAGTATTTCAAAATTTTTAATGGTTTAAATGGGGAAAATAAATACCGAAAATCTTCACTGCTTCCTAGGAGTTCCTAGGCTATACCTGGTGCGTCTCAAAAGTGGCTCACCCCCTATAATTTTTTTATTTTTTCAGATAAAAAAACGAGATTTGGTATGTTGGTATATTACATAAATTAAGATTGATTGACTTATTCAATTGTGTTCGGTCACTTCCTGTTTCACCGGAAATGACTACAACTTTTGATTTTTAAATGGCACCCTTGGAATTTTTTACTTTATTCGATAGAAAATGACACTCTGAATTGAACGACATATTATCATATGTCAACTTTTGACAGATTTGCTCAAAAACAAATTGTATTTTAAATTTCTATCTAGAGTGACATGGCTGTTTTAAAAACACTAATTTTTAATCAAGGAGCCTTGGAAAAATAGATTGGATCGTCAAATGTTATTAGTTTCTTGTCCTGACCGGTTAAAAGATGCCCAAATCGTATTTTTAATCGTATCTCAATTTTTCAAATGGAACGGGGGGTGGCTCATTAGCATATTTGAAAAATGCATTTTTTACGAATAATTTGATACCACACACTTGGCATTTCGAGTCAAATTGTCGTTATGAACCGCATGTTACAATTTCAAATAAACCATATGCAAAAATGTTAGAAGTTGACATATATGATATGTCATTCTATTCAGAGTGTCATTTTCTATCGAGTAAAGTCAAAAATACCGAGGATGCCATTTACAAATCAAAAGTTGTAGTCAGAGAATAGGTACATTAAAGAAATGCTAACTTCATGTTAAAAAATGGAAACAGACGCCACCTGGTGTCGCCTGGCAGTACTAGCTAGATTGAGGGGAATTGGAGTAGCGGGCCTTAAAAGAGGGGAAATTTTAAAAAAAATATTTTTATAAGTATCACTGACTTACTGTTTAAAGTTAATAAACATATTTTTTATTACTTTAATATAATTTAATGTATTAGAAAATATGTCTATTAACTTTACACAGCAAATCAATGATATTATTAAAGACTTATTATTTTCAGAGAAAATTCATAGTAAATAAATTACACATTAGTAAACAATATCATTTACTTTTTAGAGCTGCGATTTATATTACAATAATATTGAAATATATATATTTTTTTAACAATGAAAAAGAATATCCCGGAACCTGAAAAAGAAAGATGATCAATAATGACTTAAATTAGTTCAAAATACATTTTGCAAATAACTAGTGAATTGGACAGATAAACATACTATTAAAAAGACATTTTAGTAGTATATTATCATCTATTTACTGATAATACATAAGTATATAATAGGTAAATAACATGCATAAGGCACTATGATACAACTACCTGTATCATGATAACACACTAACATCACAAAAAATATATGCTAATTTAAATTTCTTTAATGGTCTAATGAAACACTATCTAGCCTCAATGCATGCCATTCCAAAGGCAAAAAAAACTGTTATACCAAATAAATATAAGCTGAATAAAACATAAACCAAGCCAATGTGCATAAACAACCAAAAAATGCATCAAAAAATACTTTTATCAGATCATACCCTTGGATATATTATGTATTTTATATATCGCACATCCCGTTCAAAAGTTTACTAACTCAAAATAGAGAATATAGAGAACATTGTCAGGAGAAGTAAAAGAAAATTTAAGTTAACGCAATATGCTCCTTTTTGCATATTAATGGCCAAATAATGTAATGTTGATTTAATAAAAATTTAACTGGCATCCTTCTGAGGTATAAATCAGATTAAAAGGACATTGTTTTTGTAATAATTGTTTGTTCTGTAAACATTTTTTGAAGACAATACAGTTTTGAACGGGCTGTGCGATATAAACAAGGATCTTACTATTATTTGAGGTTATAAAGTATTTAAATAATATAAAACATAATCAAAATCATTTTTCATCATAAATTATAGAGGTACTTACGTGTTTTGATATTATTATCAGGAAATAATACGTTTAATTAAACAGGTACGCTGCCAGGCAAGTTCTATCGGCGGTCTTTGCAAAAGTTGAAATCTAAAAATACAAAACTACGTTTACATCTTAGTTGTATTTACGAATAAAGTATTTGTGTGTAATTTCTGACTTACCAGTTAATTGAATAATCGCATTAAATACATCCAAATGGTAATTTAATATTGTAAAAAGCAAAATTGTTTTAAATCACTTGCCAGGACAGCCCGGCCAGCTTCTTTGTTGACAAAATGGCCGCGGTATCATGATTTAAGCAATGTGAGTGACAAAGAAAGCCAATGCCTGGCAGATGTTGCTTTCTTTGTCGTTGGTCCTGGCACGTTTAAATTTGACTGTTGCCTGTTTTCCCATACAAGTGACACCCCCGTGGTTGTAGTCATTTCTGGTGAAACCGGAAGTGACCGAAAACAGTTGAATATGGCAATCAATCCTAATTTATGTCATATTCTAACATACCAAATTTCGTTGTTTTATCTGAAAAAATAAAAAGTTGTAGGGGTGAGCCACTTTTCAGATCCACCCGGTATAGATACTGATCTCGCTAAAATTATTATTTATTGTCATTCCCCAGCCGTCTTTGACGCCGTTTTTTTTATCATACGGTATTATCCCGGAAAATTGCAACTCTTTGTCTCTCAAGGTTTAACGTTTTTTTCGTTGTAGGCATTTCCAGTAAATACATTTAAGCCAAAGGTTCAGCATCAGCATGAAGTAGACCCGAAAACACTACCAAGGAATGTAGCTATAGAGCGCAGGAGAAGGCAGTACCAGGTAATTTTTAATGGAAAATCTAAAAACTAAAAAAAAATAAAACGGCAATTTGTAATGAGAAGCTTGCTGCAATTTATATATAACGCTAGCTAATTTTGTACCTCCGAACGCAAAGTCCAGTGATGTAATGATGATGTAATAGTATTTATTTACAACCACATATCGTCCTATTGCTGCCAAAAGTCACTAACTAACATTTTTCCGAACAATCAAATTCAATCACTAACTATGTTTTGAATCGGAGAATCGATTGCAAAAGTCATTAACTACGATTTCTGGCTATTTATGTTTTATTTTAATACCGAATAGTTACTAACTATAACATCTTTATGCAATGCAATTCATCTTTAGACGCATTTTTCTCGGAAGCAATAAAAAGTAAGTTAGTGACTTTTGGCAGCAATGGGACGATATGTAATAGGGGAGAATGCCCAACAGTGAGACAGGTCCAACAGTGAGACATTTAATCCCCTTCATTTAAAACGCGTCGAATCCAATTCCCCTTTCGAGAGTAAAACACTACCAATATACCAACTATTTTGTATCAAATATGGAACCTGCAGTGTTGGGAGATATATGTCAACTGCACCCAATACAATTTTTGAAGCGAAAAATAATTTTTAACACGTGCGTTTTCTTCAGTCTGTAAGGCCAACACTTAGTTATTTTAATAAATCCATTAGTGGAGAGGTGAGTTTAGAATGGTTTTTTAGAATATACCTCTAAGTTTTTTTGTTCAAGTAGTTTTAGAATAAAATAAATTACAAAATGGCCGACTGGTGTTAATGTCCAACAGTGAGACAAAATATATTTCCCAACAGTGAGACAGTGTCCGACAGACAGTGCACCCGTTAAGACTGGGACATAGGTACCTTTTGGGCACTCGTTGGCATTGTTGAACATGTCTATCATGTTATTGATTGTTATATAACAGAGTTTTTCTTTATTTTAAGTCGAAGTTACATTAACAACAAAAATCTATGAAACTCTTTTTTTTATTTCGTTAGTTGATTAAGTTAATTATATTTTTAGCACTTGAATTTAAATTTAAATGTCTTTGTTTAAGATAGCTCTACTTTGTTTTATGCCAAACGCAAATAAATACTCTTAACTATTTTTAAGTAATTAATAAATAGTTATTTGTTTAAAACTTCCTCTGTCTTACTGTTAGACCTTAGGGCCCAACAATGAGACAAATGCAATAATAACAATATTGTTAATTTTAAGACATGTTTTTCTCTCAATGAGAGTAGTTAATTAAAGATGCTTAGGAGAGAGTGGTTGCCTTTAAGGTATACTAAAATAGTTTATTTTGATGAAAAAATAAAATATTTTTTACGGTCTAAAAAAATGTGTCTCACTGTTGGGCATTCTCCCCTACTGACATTATACTGACTTTTAAAAAATGTGAAAGTGTCAAACTATCTACATTTCTTCTCTCTTCCATTTTCCTCACCCATTTCCCTCATTCATTTCCTTCTCCCATTTCCCTCACCCATTTCACTCACTCGGTTTTTCTTATTTCTTTCCTCATTTAATTAAGCAAAATATTCTTGTAATATCTTTATTAAATACTTATCTAACACCAACAAAAATAAACAAGAAGATTAACAATAATAATTGAAGATTTTAATACATTTTTTGTTTAAAAGTTTTGCCTGGTAAAAATGCTAGACTTCTTTGGCTTAAAACCTATACATTCTGGCGTTTTAAAAAAGCGACGAGCTTGTGATATTTTGATATGTCAGTCTTTTCCCTTTATTCTAGCATTTTCCGTATCATGCTGTACGTAGCCCAAAGAGTAGATGGCTTGTTCTACCTTGCCATGTCGCTAAAATATGCCATCAAGACTGTCTCCGAAGCAATATTCTTAGCATTTCTTTCGGCACACCATTTTTCGTATACTTCAATGCGATTTCATATATCGCCCCCTACTACGAGTTCTGGTGGAGTACCAATGTTAAAGTAGTCTTCATTATCAGAACTTTTCGACAACATTCTGGCTTTCTATGTTATATAAATTCGAAAAAGCAAACGGCTCAAGACTGTCACTTAGTTGTTTGTTTTGCTGTTGAAGGTTTGTGCCATAACAACCATTGGTACCGGTAACTATAGATATGGAAATGCCAAAACAGAAAACGACAAACTTTCGCATATTTATTTTTTTTTCAAAATAAAATGCTATCCCTATTTTTTAATTAATAATGTGGTTGTAAATAAAATATTATACAAACCTCGGAGGAAAGTTTTCATTATTGTCTCGAGATGTAGTTAGTCTCTCGACAGTAATGAAACACTTCCCTCCTCGGTATGTAATTGATGTAATATACTATTTTTTTATCGAGAATAATTGAGACTAATTAAGTTGGCTTTTTTTTGAATATGCACTGATTTGCAGTAAACATCAATTATGACAAATGAGCTATATGCGGTCTTGACATGAACTATCAATTGCAGTTGCAGCAATGTGCAAAGAATGTACACAAGACCTTCAGTATAAATGCAAAATGCGTTTTTTTGTGTTACGTGGGTTGATCGTATAACACTAGGTAACAAAGATATTGTTACGTTTTTCGTCGGTTCCGTGTGGATAGAAAGTCACAATTTATTTAAACACTATTTATTTAACACTAATTAACAAAAACAATAACGATAAAAGACTTAAATAACTATTTACAAACGATTTATAACTAAGAATTCATTTTGAATTTTAGCGCGTCAACTGTACTCGTCTATTTATAACTGCCCTCTCTAGGCCACAGCCGCCAGCTTTTATACCTACAGCTAAAGATTTCTAGAATAGTCCATAGATCGTAAGGTGCATAGAGAAGGTATCGATTGTTCTCGTATGTACTACTCCATTCCAGTGGAACTCGATTTTTCTCGAACGTCCGAATGAATCATTACGGTGTCTATTCTTTAATGCGATGTGAAGGTCATCTGAGGGCGGGACATAAAGTTAGGTTTTGTCGAGTCCACACGGGTCCGCAACAATATTTTCAGGCCCTGACCGCACCAGTGTCGGGTATTAGGGTTTTAAGATTTATTTTAAGTTTCGTTAAAATATATTTAGTAATAGTGTATAAACAGAATATAATATTTTTAATTATTTAGTGGGAAACTCTGCCACAAGTTCTGGAAAGAATGAATATTAAAAATCGCGACTTACTGCCCATCGACGTACTTTACGAAAATTTCCCATCCGCATCTGATAGATATGGACTGTACTCTTGGATACCGTTTCTTCCACTTGAATTATTTGATAATGAAGAATATATGGTGAGGTAAGTGTTATACAGGGTGGTCCGAATTGTATTCGGGAAACTTCGGAAGTATATTTTGCAGATAAAAAAAGGAAAAAAGTTCATATAAATGTGTATTTAAAATGCTTCCTTTATTTTTATTTCGATTTTTTCTAAACTGTTTTTGAACTAAAGTCAATATTGAATGAAAATTAGTGTCTGAGGGTTTTCTAACATTAGAAACTTCATATCGATGTCAATATGAGTCCTACTTGTAGAGGGCGCCACTTCTTTTTTAACAGGTTTGAAGAGTAATAACTTTTCGTCTGTACCTGTATAAAACTATTAACTTCTTGATAAAAATCGCTACGAGTAACCGTTCTCAAGATATTTGGAATGTAAATTAATATTATACTAAGGGCTGACAAAGGGTTTTTTTGGGTCGAGATTTCCGTATGCAAAAAGAGTACAATGCGGTTATAATGTACTGAAGAGAGAACAGTAAAAACGTTGCCAAACGTATGAAATAAACCGAGAAACTACATTGCTAAGAGACGTGGAAGGATACTTTATTTGTTTATTTATTAACGAGTCGTTGTAATTTTCCCTATAGCTTGAAAATGTTTAAGTGCAAGATAGAAACACTTGCATTTTTGGTAAAAATAAGAGGAATTGAGTTGATGTTCTACAGTGGTCGCGCTATTAGAACTCTGAATTTAAAAATCGATATCTCGAAATCTATTAGAAATAATTGATTGTAGTTTTTTCAAAAACTTTCTTAATATTTCTGCTATATTTTCTTCGCAGACAGTATGTGAACATCTTTATAAATGAAAAAGCTACACGATTGCTGGAAATTGCTATGCACTAAAAGTAAATGGATGGGTTGTTTAAAATTTTTGAGCTTTTCAAGCTGAACTGGTGGACGCTTAAAAGTTTAATTTCAATCGGCTAGTATAAACACGAAAGAAAGACTCGTTAAAGGGTTAATAGAGGACCTTTCAAAAGAAGATTGGGTTTTGCAAGTACTGTGAGCTTTAGGTCTAGTGGGAGTAGGGATGCTGCTTTAATAATTGTTGAAAACACTGAAACTCTATCGAAAGGCACTGAGTTCAAAAAATCAATGAATGACACCAATAGTCAGTTCGGCAATTTTCCTCAAGACAAAAACATCCACATGATGTTCTAGTTAAATAAAACATGATGATTGCATATCAGTAAAAAAGCCTTTTTTAAATTTCTTATAATTTCTAATAAAATTAAATGATTTATTAGTTTTAATAAAAGTTTAAAATATTGTCTTAGATCCTTACTATATATAGTACTATTCTTTTAAAAGTTCCTCAATATGGCCGACCTAGTTACGAAAATTGGTAATTTTTTTTTAATGAAAAATAAGTTGGCGTTAGTGAATTCAGAAATTGATTTACTCTTTGGTTAACAATAATATTTTTCAGGATTGTCAAGTTATATATATATACAGGGTGTCCCAGAAATGAGTGCAGATATTTTAAGGGGTGGTAGATCTGGCCAAAAGAAACATATTTTCTCTTTACCATTTTTAAAATAGATTGAAAATAACCGAGTTATTTAACTTTGAAAGTTTAAAAAAAAAATTGCGACATTTTGAGAGCCGCCTTTTTAACAATCCACATCCTCTATAGTCTGTCCAACGAGAAGATCCTTGACAGTGATAGATGTGTCTGTCATTTTAATTTCAAAGTAGTTTATTTTATTTTACAAAGAAATAAGTTGGTACAACTGGAACGCATAGCAGGATATATTTAAAATTTGATTGACAAGATGACAAGTGATTACTTCAAAATATTGTGAAAAAAACTGTATAAAACTGAAAAATGTAATTGAGTTATTTTATTTAATAAAAACGGCATGTGTTAATACAAAACAAACAAGAACAAGACACTACATACCAAAAAATATAAAAAGAACTATTATTTACTTTCAAGCTTTATGAAACTACCCCGCATTTATGATTATATTTATCAATATAACTTATGTACAAATACAAATTTGTAATATTCCACAGGAATAAATAAAACAACATAGGTAAATAAAATAAACTATTTTATTAATAATAATACCTACCAAATTTTATATAGTAAACGCCACGAATGTTTGGGAGTGATTCATCGGTCGCTACCATGTGAACTAATCTGTTCAAGGTCACATAAAACTTAATTCCAGTGCCGTGGTGTTTCAAGTCATATAATAATCAATATATAATCTGTTGTAATTTGTTGTTTTAACTGTCAAAGTCTTGTCAAAACATATATTTGGTTATAAATATAAACTGGAATGCCCCATTGGTCGCACTGTAAGCACACCAATGGACTGACGCACAAAAACGAATCAATCAAAGAAACGCGATATAGTATCATCTTTGTCAATCACGCTAACATTTTAGAATAAGGAGGAGCGCAGGCAGATGATTAAACCGGGCCTTTAAAAACCTACGTCTGCGGTAAAAATTTACGTTTTTAATGTAAAAATGATAGCGCGCGTGTCGATTCTAACTTCATCAAGCGATGAATCACTCCCACACATTCGTGGCGTTTACTTTACCTTAAAGGTTGATTAATTAAGTTCAATCTTAATTTTTTTAAACCAGTATACCTTTTGACATTATTTTTCTGCAGTACTAAAATCCATTATTTACCTATCGTGTGATGTCGATATTTTACAGCTACTCCAGTTTTTAGTATGTGTTTAGTTTGATCCTTCTACCATATACGAGATGCACTTATCTACGACGAAATGGTATACAAACTTTATCGATGGCAACTTCATTGGTGTATAAGACTTTCTGCCTGGGCAGCGAGTATTAACCATAAACTGTGCTCTGGGTCTACAGTTAATTTTCACTCGATTTTTCCTCCACTTGACTTCAAAAGACACAAAACACACGTAATAATACGAATCAAAATGCATCATCTTCCAAAACGCAGGGTATTTAACAAAAGTTGACACAAAATTATAACCTATAATTTGGCAAGACTTTGACAAGCGTCAAAAATGACAAAAATCTAAAGGCGAGTTCATACGCATCGGCGTTCGTTTGTCGTTCATCGTTCCGTCAAACCAATAAAATTGAAATACGATCTGTCATTTTTTAAATAAACCAATAAAACTGGTTAAAAACAACAAGACACGACGCATGACGGATTTATATTTAAACCCATCCCAAGGATATATAGAATAAGGATATTCGACTGGCCCAAAAAAAACGTGCCGTATTTTGTCGAGGAAGACGATTTCGTCACGACCAATGGGCGTCGAGTATTTGAAATTGAAAACATATAAATTGACGGTAACCTATGTTTTTTGACTCATTTCACTGACAAATGTGATGAGATTGCTATTGTAATTTATAGATCCAAAATCCAAACGTTTTTGAATAAATAATTTATTTTAAAGTTATTTCCTAGAGGTTTGGTTTGGCCTTCTATATTCTGGTATTTGTCTACTAATAAATAATATCTTATTTTGTATTTCGATGTATGGAAATCCGCAAGTTTTGTATCTGAAGCCGCAAAGAAATTTCGCTCTATAGTGAGAAAATGTTATATCTTTTAGACGCGTAGAATAACAAAATTTTCTTATTTCAGATGTTCTAAATGTGAGTGCTTAATGTCAAAAATTAAAATATATACTTGAAATATTTCAAGTTATACCCTTTGCCCTTTGGAAGTAAACAAATATTGAAGAAAGTGTTGTGCCTTCACAGAATTTAAATTGGCATTAGGAATAGATTTCCTTGATTTAGTAATGATATTGCTCATAGAAATTGATAATATACTATTTTATATTCACTTGCTCAAGTGCTGATCTATTTTTAAATTGAATATTTATGTAAGTATTATGTATAACACGATATAAATAATTTAAGGACATAAGAAATTAAAATTTCAAGTGCCAATATTGATTATTTTTCCAGTTTTATTCAAATATATTGAAATTAATATGGAAACAAAAGTTCATAAATATTAGTTTGAAAAGCCATGTCAGAAGAGTAGGATTAAAGACAAAAGTATTAAGGTAACATATATTTGCATAAAGTTTTAATAACACTGACAATTTTATTTGTTTATGTTTATTAATTAAAATTTAGTTGCAATTTATTTCATATTCTAATATTTTTGAGAAAATTTTACTTAGATACATACCTGAATATTATGCTGCTTTTTTATTTTAAAGTGTGCCGACTGTGCTGCTATTTTTATACTAGTTAACTATATAATTATATATATCAGTAGTATAGATACTTACTTTCTTTCTATGTGTACTTATATCCTTTATAGTCTTTCTAAGTGCATATAATACTACTTTTTTAAGAGAAGGCAGTTTTTAATAATCTATTGTTAATTCCCCTTATTCTGTGTCCCCTGGTTCTGCTATACAACAATTATATATTTTCTTATCATTACTGATTTTAAAAGTTTCTTTTCAAAGAATTTGACCATATATTTTTTTTTCAGAGTAATTGGGCTGTTCCTGAACAATATTGAATATAAATATTCAAAAATATGATAAACTGCATATCCTACTAAGTAGATCAATACCAAAATTCCATTAGAGAAATAAGTTAAAATTATGTTTTACTTGTATAATTTTCTTGCTATTTGTCCACCATTATTTGTGACTTAGAAATTAAATAGTCAAAAAGAATTTAGTACCAGTTTTTATTTCCCAAAAAAAATAATTGTTAAATAATTACATATTGCTTAAGATACAGTATATTATATTGTGTTTATAGTTGATAATTCTAGTTCTTAGTTGTTTATAGTTGATAATTAACAATATTTCTGATGTTAGATATTATATTAGATAAAAAATTTAATTACCAACAGCTACCTACCTATGTAGCTGCAGATTATTATATTGTGTAGTAGGTACTGTATAATTCTTTAGTTCAAGAAACAAATATCAGTACAAGTATATAACCAAAAAAATGTTGATGCAAATTCTTTGTATAACATACGTACCCCTATGGTATTCAACTTTTCATTGTTCTTTTAATTAGATCACAATAAGCACATTAATTCGTTTATTAAACAACCAAAACTAACTACTTAAATTCACAATATAAATATCACAATAAATGTATAAGCTTTGATCAATTCCTATTATTAATACCTGACGACTTCATACTTTATAACTACCAATGGCTATCCTACTAACACACTAGCCAACTAATAATAAATCTGTTCTAAAAAAAATACAACATAAAGACATCGTTATTGCAATAATATAGAAATATATTCCATGTATCATTAACTACCTAGGTATAAATACAATACCCACATCTTCTTTTAAGCGAATAGTGCATTAGGAGGCAGAAATATTGCCTGCATTGTACATCGTACAAATTGGCTAGAATTTATTAATATCCATTGCAAATATTTCTCTTTCAAAGGGTCTAAATGTTTTGTCTTTTTACTGTGTCCCTGTAATATGTTATCAATTAACAACAGTTATCAAATATGACCTGGACAATAATAATTGTTTTAACTTTTTTTCAAACTAAACTCTTTAAACAAACTATATAAATAAAATTTATCTTATAACCTAACTTGCTGCTAGAATTTCTTGTTATTCTATGTTCCTGTATTGTTATTCTTCACATTATCAATTTCTATGAACAATATCATACTAAATCAAGGAAATCTATTCCTAATGCCAATTTAAATTCTGTGAAGGCACAATACTTTCTTCAATATTTATTTAAATGTCAAAGCATATAACTTGAAATAATATATCAAGTATATATTTAAATTTTTGACATGCACTCACATTTAGAACATCTGAAATAAGAAATTTTGTAATTCTACACGTCTAAAAAGATATAATAACATTTTTCTCACTATAGAGCGAAATTTCTTTGCGGCTTCAGATACAAAACTTGCGGATTTCCATACATCGAAATACAAAATAAGATATTATTTATTAGTAGACAAATACCAGAATATAGAAGGCCAAACCAAACCTCTAGGATATAACTTTAAAATAAATTATTTATTCAAAAAACGTTTGGATCTATAAATTACAATAATTATCTCATCACATCTGTCAGTGAAATGACACAGAATATACTAACGAAAAAGAAGCCCAAGTTCCTTGTAATAAATCGGTTCCATTTTCGTAACGCCATCTCTCGACATAGCTGACATTATAGGTTAGCAAAAGGGGTGCGGGGCCGGGGGGAATTGTAAAATACACTTTTTATTTTAATTATTTTTATTCGTTATTTGTAATTTTATTTTAAAACATATTATGTGAAACAATCACATAATATGTCTTAAAAATAAAATTACAAACGGAAACAAAAGGAATTAAATAATCTGAAGTTTATTGATAAAAAAGATAGGCTATGCAAATTCATAAGTATATTAAGTATAACCTCTTTGGTATAACATTGTTAAACAAACATTAACAAATCATAACATATCAGATCATAGAACTAAAAAAGTACTATTACATAAAACAGGTGATACAATACTTCAAAATTAATTTTAACATATCAAAACCGAGAAATCAAACTGCAAACACAACCACACTTATCACAACAGAAATTAACACACGCTTCCGCGGCAAATGTCCAAGAAAGACTGATCATTCTGATTGGTCCTGGTCCGGTCGTAGCTCAAGTCGTATTGTCGGTAAGCAAAATCCCTGTCCAAAAATTTTGACGATCAGCGCCATCATCCGTCATAATTGGGAAACTTTTGCTGGAACCATTTTTAATATTTCACTTACATGGCCCTGGTGAAATGAGTCAAAAAACATAGGTTACCGTCAATTTATATGTTTTCAATTTCAAATACTCGACGCTCATTGGTCGTGACGTAATCGTCTTCCTCGACAAAATACGGCACATTTTCCTACATAGCCCGCTATAGGGAGTTGAATATCCTTCTTCTATATATCCTTGACCCATCCATAGATAAGTTAAAAATTATTAGAAACTTTTTTAATAAAATAAATATATTGGTATGGGACGTCATCTGCTTTTCTTCTGTCATCGTCTGTCGAAATCTTACCTGAGAAAAAAAACAGAGTATATATAAATTAAAATTAAACATCTATTTTATTTATTTTTTAATAAAATAGTGTGAGGTTCAAGTTAACGTCTCCTTTCTGCTGCAATGGCTAAACTGGACGGGACCTACTTGTTTACGCGGAATCCGAACCGCGGTCCTCGCCCATATCATGGTCAATGGCCTACCGACTTAGGAAGTGTCTAAATTAACTGTTACTCACGAGATATCCGATCTCATCCGGCCTTGAACCGGCGTGAATGAGCAGTGTGTATCAATAGATTTTACACTTTTCCCTTTTTGGACAACAGCACGATGCAAAGTTTCGAACCGGTCACCCGTCCATCCACTAGCATCGCCTTACGTCGCTTAACTTCGGTGTTCTAATGGGAACCGGTGTTTTTTTTTAGCTGGGCCGTTGCCCTTAATAAAATAGTATTTTTTAAAATAAAATGTACAGGGTGTAACAAGATTACAAAGTAATTAAAAAATAACTAAAAATAAATAGAGTTTTTTGTAAGTGTTTCACCTGATATCATAATTTTATTTATTTGGCAATAGTTTAAAGTACGGCTTTTGTGTCATGTATATTATAACAGTTTTTTGCCCATTAGTTTTATTATCTCGTATTACGAGTCCCAAACATCGCTGATGTTTTGTTCCACTAGAATTGCCATCCGCCCCACTGTGCGCCAGGTAAAAATATGCTATAACTCTTCTGGTAGTGTAGTGCTAGCTCTGTAAATTGGGTGCTAGGTAGTGCTAGGTGGGTGCAATAGAGTGCTAAAGTTTTAAGGGAAATATTCAACCGGGGGGGGCTAGCGTTACATTAGCCCCCCCGGTAAAAATGTCCTGTAATTCACTAGGGGTTGTGGTGCTAGCTCTGTAAGTTGGGTGCTAGGTAGTGCTAGGTAGGTGCAATATAGTGCTAAAATATTAAAGAGTTTGGACAACCGGGGGGGGGGGGGCTACTTTAACGGACCCCATATTTTAGTATGGGCGGCTATAAGTGTCTCCCGGCGCCATTTTTTTTACGTAAAAAAGGCGGAAATGTATAATTTTTTATTCAGGTGTTTTATACAGGTACGGACGAAAAGTTATTACTCTTCAAACCAGTTAAAAATAATGTAGGTGACTCTCCCTACAAGTAGGTGTCATATTGAGATCGAAATCTGATTTCCCAAAACAAAAAATTCCTTGGTACTACTTTTCATTCAAATATCGACTTTTAGTAGTATTTTCTCATGAAAATCAACTGGGTCTCAAAAATGTTTGTAAAAATATCGATTAAATATTAAATCATTTTAAAACTTGTCCTTAGAACTGCCGAGAACTGGATAGAACACGGCGTAATAGATGGCATAAGGCACCCGTTACCCGGAACCGCGTTTGTCCCAAACGAAAATTTGACGGATAAAAATAGGGAAGCTTTCAGTTTAGACGAACTGTACCACTGGGTCGACGTTGCCATTAGCGACTATAATTACGAGACCAAATGCTGGCACGTGACAACCTTGGACGGGTTCAAACGTACGTTCGAGCTGCCGAAAGTGTACCTCACGTTCAAGGCGGAAGATCCGGTGCATTTTGGCGATAGGATTATAGCTGCGATCAATTTGAGAAAGAAAACTGAAGAAATTATAAGGTAGAAATGTCTCTATACCGGGTGCGTCTCAAAAGTGGCTCGCCCCTATAACTTTTTTATTTTTTCAGATAAAACAACGAAATTTGGTGTGTTAGTATATCACACATAAATTGGGATTGATTGACGTATCCAATTGTTTTCGGTCACTTCCGGTTTCACCGGAAATGACTACAACTTTTGATTTTTAAATGGCACCCTCGGTATTTTTTTTTACTTTATTTGATAGAAAATGAAACTCTGAATCGAATGACATATCATATGTCAACTTTTGACATTTTGGCATAAGGTTTATTTGAAATTGTAACATGCGGTTCATAACGACAATTTGATTCAAAATACCAAGTGTGTGGTATCAAATTATTCGTAAAAAAATGCTTTTTCCAAATATGCTAATGAGCCACCCTCGTTCCATTTGAAAAAATTGAGATATGATTAAAAATACGATTTGGGCATCTTTTAACCGGCTAGGTCAAGACACTAAAAACATTAGACGATCAAATCTATTTTTCCAAGGCTCCTTGATTAAAAATTAGTGTTTTTAACGCAGCCATGGCACTCTAGATTGAAATTTAAAATAAAATTTGTTTTTAAGTGACTATGTCAAAAATTGACTTATGATATGTCATTCGATTCAAAATTTCATTTTCTATCAAATAAAGTAAAAAAATACCGAGGGTGCCATTTAAAAATCAAAAGTTGTAGTAATTTCCGGTGAAACCGGAAGTGGCCGAAAACAATTGGATTCGTCATCCAGTCCCAATTTATGTCATATATACCAAATATCGTTGTTTTATCTGGAAAAATAAAAAAGTTATAGGGGTGAGCCACTTTTGAGACGCACCCGGTATAGATAGAATGAATCTATACCGGGTGCGTCTCAAAAGTGGCTCACCCCTATAACTTTTTAATTTTTAGCCGACCATAAACCATTTTTTTAATTTCACTCAAAATGAGTTATTTGGGTCATAAATGACCTAAATACAAAATATTTTCTCATGGTGTCGTCTGTCCGTCTGTAACACGATAACTCAAAAACCGCTAAACCGATTTTAACCAAATTTGGCACAAAAATACTGTGGCACTGGGGGGTTGGTAAGGGGGTATGGGAAGGGGTTAAAAATTTTAAAAAATCGTAACTCCAAAATTACAGTAGCTAGCGATACGCGGTTTTCAATTTAAGATTAGGAATAATATTTGCAACAAAATTTGTAATAACATCAAAATCAATCAAAGTTGCAGTTTTTGAGATATTCCGTGTTTCCGTAGTCCGTTTTTGAGAAAATCCGTGTGGAGAACTCCAAACTTCCATCGGACGCGATCCCAGGTGGCGGATAGGGAAAATAACCGCGGACCAAAATTGGAAAAATTCCTTTACTTTGAAACTAAAGCAACTGCCTACCAAGTTTTTTATTAACAAATTTTAGTATGGGCGGCTATACGTGACCCCCGGTGCCAATTTTTTCAAATAAAAGAACGAGATTTGGTATATTAGTATATCACATAAATTAGGATTGATCTTTGAATAAGAAGACTAAGGAAGGAGCATAATGCTATCGATGTATTCATGCATGGTGGGCGGAAAAGCCACCATAAAAGCTCTCTCGGGTGGGGATCCTTGACAGTTCTGTTTGACGATTCATTTGACACATTTGAATTTGATTTGAAATTTTGTGGATTTGTCAGTCTTTACGGAGCTTATTTTATGTTATTTATAATTTATTCTACTACTGATAGTTGTATAAAGGTAGTAAATCTAGATGGAAATTGTGGCAGAACATAAATTAACAGTGACACTATCGCGATTTATCGAAAAAGACTCTAAAATAGTTGGTTGTGTAGCGTGCGGTAGATCTCGGCAAAAATTGAGTGAAATAATGGAACAACTTTTCGCTAGTAAGTGACTATATAATATACATACGTGTAGTAAACCGATCATTTATGAAATTCACTTAAATTAACTAAATTATATATTTTTCTTGCATTTTAGCTTTTATTTATTACTTGTCAAAGATTAGATGTCAAAGAATTTAGATACGTTAATTTGACTTACCTGCTTCAGTAGCGTATCGGATGTTTGGGTTAATAAATACTTATTATAACTTATCTATTTTTATTAGAATTATATATTTTTATAACAATTTTAATAACTACCAACATTTATTCACAACGTAAAATAAAACAACAAATTATTGAGTCTACCCCACGTCTACCCTACATCATAGTTTTACATTTTTTAAATAAAATTAGAACGACACTGATAAACCGGAATTTAAGTCGGCCATATTTGAGGCCCATCGCGGTGTACCTAAGATTTTTGATATGCTCCTTCCTTAGTCTTCTTATTCAAAGGGATTGATTGACGTATTGAATTGTTTTTGGTCACTTCCTGTTTCACGGGAAATTCCTACAACTTTTGATTTTTAAATGGCACCCTCTCTATATTTTTACTCTATTGGATAGAAAATGACACTCTGAATAGAATGACATATCATATGTCAACTTTTGACATTCTCGCTTAAAATACTATATCGTATTCTAAATTTCAATCTAGAGTGCCATGGCTGTGGTAAAAACACTAATTTTTAATCAAGGAGCCTTGAAAAAATAGATTTGATCGTTATTTCGAGTTAAAGTGTCGTTAAGAATCGCATGTTAGAATTTGAAATAAACCATATGCGAAAATGTTAAAAGTTGACATATCATATGTCATTCTATTCAGGTTTCATTCAAAAGTTGTAGTCATTTCCGGTGAAACAGGAAGTGACCAAAAACAACTGAATACGCTAATAACCTAATTTATGTGATATACTAACATACCAAATCTTGATTTTTTATCGGAAAAATTAGAAAAAATTATAGGGGTAAGCCACTTTTGAGATGCACCCGGTAGAGGTAAATTACGTCTATTACTATTTATTTTTATTCCAAAAATACACAGGAGTTCTGTAACTACGGAATATAGGGACATCCTGGATATATTTTTTTCTATTTTTTTTAAGGTGTGAATTTTTCATTGACTGCATGCCCCTTACTGGAACACCTACAATGAGCGATGAAATGCTGAATAGAATTATTGAAAAAGTGAGAAAAACTCGCGTTGGGAAAAATATGTATTATTTCGATTATTTTCAAACAGTAAGAATCAAATTATTTATTTATTTTTCTAATTTATCTCAAGTATTATTAATTGAGAATAGACAGAGTGTGTTGTCAGGGGAGGATGGAAAATACCCCGTCCTCCCATGCAATAGGAAAACCAGTCTACATGATGGAATAACAATATACACTCAGATGCAAAAAAACGCAACGGTGAAATTTTCGGTCAAATTTAAAGTGTTATATTTTTGTTATTTTTAGCCCTATTTTCATGATTTTTTTAACAAACTGTATATAATTATTACTTTATTTAAGTTTTTTATAAACTTTAGTATTTGGCATATTGTACAGGGTCAATCGAGGGTTGTTTTTTACCCTGTGGTTGTTTTTTACCCTAACTTTAAAACACCCTCTTTTCCTAAAATATAATTTTACTCTCAGAATCATGACTCCTGAGTTGTTTTTTGATTCATGTCAATACATTTTTTGGTTAATTTTTAAGAGCGAAATGAACTGATCACGATCAATTTGTCATTGAGGCTGCATATATCATTGCGTTATGCTTTTCCACTCTTCTTTATAAATCAAGCGAAGTTCATTTAATGAAGCTTGTACCGCTTCGCGACCTCTAACCCTCCTGCCAAGCATGTCTCAAACGTCGAATATGATGGGCAGTTCATAGTAGTGTATAGTTTACAATAATTACTAATTATAAAGCCGGCTTGTCATATTGAAAAATAACTTCGAAAAGAAATGATAATTGAAAAAATTGCAAATTGTTGGTGTCAAGGTCATTTCGCTCTTAAAAATTAACCAAAGCATATTTTGACACGATCCAAAAAACAAAATGCTTAGGAGACATGGTTATGACCGTAAACTTATATTTCAGGAAAATTTACTGACGAAATTCTTGCACAGGGTGTTTTAAAGTTAAATACGTAAAATAATTATAAATTTTAAGGCAAAAAACAACCCCTCGATTAACCCTGTAAATAAATAAATAAATAAATACCTTTATTGTCAAAAAATTTTTCAATTTGTAGACAAAGGTAAACTAACAAACAAAGTAAAAAAACAAGGTACACAAACAAACAAACAAAAGATAATACAAAACATTATACAAATAATATTGTCAGTCTTATTGATAAAATAAACATTTATAAATGTTTACAATGTCAAAGAACAAAAAAATAAAAATAATATTCAAAAATATTTAGCTAGTTTATAGTAAAATATCAATGACCTCATTTATCAATAAATTCATTTCGATATCATTAGTAAATATAGCAATAGCAAACATTAGACCAGTGTTTACAAGATCAAATTCGATTTTCAAAATATAATTTTATTCATTTACGGCATAGAAAGCCTTGTCTAGCAAATAAGAGTTCAATGCTTTGCGAAATGAAAAAAATGATGTTATGGATTTGATTTCAAATGGCAGGTGATTGTGCATTTTTTTCGAGTTGTATAATATTGAACTTTTAACTAACTCTGAGCGTGGGGTAGGTAAATAAAGATCTTGCTCCGCGTTCCTGAGTGGATAAGTGTGAGATGGCCTTTCTTGAGAAGCTGATACATGTTTACGTATTAGGCAAACGGATTCAAATATAAATAAGGAAGGAAGAGTCAATATTTTTAATTCTCTAAAAAAGCCCCAGCAATGAGTTCTGCTGTTTAGTCCCAGTGAATATCGAACAGCTCTCTTCTGGAGCTTGAAAATGCGGTCAAATTGAGCCGCACAACACGTACCCCAGAATGGAAGGGCATACCTGAGGTGCGACTCAAAAAGTGCATAATAAACAGTTCTAGCCACTGACAAGTTAAGCTCCTTAGAAACAGACCTTAATGCAAAACAGGCAGAGCTCAATTTTTTCGACAAAGCTTCGATATGTATGTCCCATTTCAGAGAATTGTCCACAACAAGTCCTAAGAATTTTACAGATTTTACGACGTCAATGGTGGTGTTGTTAAGTACAAAAGGCTGCAACGAAACTTTAGTTTTAGAAATGTTGAGACTCAGGAGGTTCGAATCGCACCAAGATTTAATGGTGATTAAGTCATTTGATATAATCCTATGAAGTGCCGTGATGTCCTTGTTGCTCCAAGTGAAGCTAGTGTCGTCCTCAAAAAGACATATTTTGCCACTGATGTTTATGTTAGCAATGTCGTTAATAAAAAGAAGAAACAAAATAGGGCCTAGTACTGAGCCTTGTGGTAATAATTGTATAATAAGTAATAATTATTTACAGGTTGCTACAAAACTCCTGTAAATAGGGCTAAAAATAACAAAAATATAACACTTTAAATTTGACCAAAAATTTTTCCGTTGCGTTTTTTTTTGCATCTGAGTGTATAAGCGATACCATTTAAACTTTTAGTTACGTAATCGAGGACGCGATTTTTAAATTCATTGTTGCCAACCATGGACATTAGGTGTGTCCGTTATTTACACAGTTGTCTAAAAAATAACAGACCATTGTAAACCCTTAATATAATAAACCTTGCCCCAAAGACGATTCGATTATCTAAATTACATGGGAATTTGCCACTTTTTACAAATATTTTTTTCTTCTCTCGATCTTGTTCTCTCGCAGCCATGAAAATCACATATCTTGTACAGAATTGAACGCTTTACTAAAAAGGTCTCTTACAATTTTTCGATAAACCTACTCCTTCAAAAGTTATTCCTACTATTTAAGTATAGCTGATTTATTTTAATAAACAATAATGATTATATTAAAACAAATCAGCTTAAATGGTTTAAACTTTATTACACTTGAAGATTTCTTAAATCCCAACCTTAATACCATCAGAATTGTATATTTTTACAGTAATAGATTAAATTTTTCAAAAATAATTATAATTTTGTCAAAAAAGTTGAAGAATTTAGTAATTTACCGAGTGGTTAACTTTAACCGTGAATAACTTTTGAAGGGGTGGGTTTATTGAAAAATTGTAAGAGACCTTTTCTGTAGAGCGTTCAATTCTGTATAAGAATATGTATATAATGGTTGCGAGAGAACAAGATCGAGAGAAAAAAAATTAGTTGCAAAAAGTGGCAAATTCCCATGTAGTTTAAATGGAAAAAATTTCCGCTGGGGATCAGGTGGTAGCTGTGTTATAAAAATGTCAAGTTTTATTTATTTATTTCCTGACATTTATTTATTTATTTCCTGACATTTTAGTGACACTTTAGTTTTGTATTGCGAGTTTTTGGTTTAAATAAATTATGTTGTGATACTTTAAGCTTAAACATTTTTACTAGCAGACCTTGCAGTCGAACATTGTTCTTTTTAGAACCTCTTTTAGTGCGAAGTGGTACAAGATAGCTTAATAACCGTTGCAAAAATTTATCGCAACCTTATTAGAACGTTTTGAAGCGGTAGTAATGACCCTTTATGTCACTTGAGTGCTGTTAAGTTAAAGATAACTATTTATATATTTATAATTAATTTATTTTTGATTCCTAAAATATTTTGATTAAAAGAAAATATGTAAAAGTGGGCAACGCTGTGCCGGTCAAGCTTATTAACGCGACTAAAAGTTTATTTGGCACTTTGAATAAGAAGACTAAGGAAGGAGCATAATGCTATCCATGTATTCAGGCATGGTGGGCGGAAAAGCCACCATAAAAGCTCTCTAGGGTGGGGATCCTTGACAGTTCTGTTTGACGATTCATTTGACACATTTGAATTTGATTTGAAATTTTGTGGATTTGTCAGTCTTTACGGAGCTTATTTTATGTTATTTATTATTTATTCTACTAGATATACATATACAGCCGTTACTCGCTGACGAGTATTCGACACACATAAAGAAAATGGTCACGCAAGGCGTTTTCTTTCATGAGCTTTTCTGTGACTGAAAAGCCCGATACGTGATGTTATCTGCCTACCGCACTCCGGACATTCAAAAATCTCATTGCTTTGTTGCCTCTCTACTTTTTGGTTGCCGCTGTTAACTGAGTTTACAACCCTTCTCCATTGAGTTCTATTGTGAGCTGCTTTTTCCCACTCATTCTGCATGTTAATTCCCTTTAAATTTTCGTGGAAAATGTCCTTGTATCTTTTCAGTTGTCCACCCGGCCTCCTCTTACCGTCCACAAGCTCACCGTAAAGCAGAGATTTTGGTATGCGGTTTTCTTGCATTCTGCATACGTGACCAGCCCATCTTAAGCGGGATTTTGTGACCATGACTTCAATACTCTCGCAGTTAGATTTTTCAAGGACCGATACGTTTGAGACATGATGGAACCACCGGACTCTTAAGAGTTGTCTAAGGTGTCTCTGTTGCAACTTGTTCAATGCGTTCATGTGTCGGCGGTAAGGCACCCAGGTTTCGCTCCCATATATCATGGTGGGGATTATAATTGCTCGGTATACTGCAAGTTTTGTTTTTGTACTCAAGTCATGATTGTAGAAAACCCTGTCTTTTAATTTCCAGAATGCCCTTGAGGCGCTACTAATCCTGTGCTGAATTTCAGAGTCAATATTGGCCTTTTCCGAAATCAAACTGCCAAGGTAATTGAATTCCGCCACATATTCCAATAGTTCTTCTCCGATTTTTATAGCATTGTTGTGATCTTCCGGGTGAGTGCACATGATTTTAGTTTTGTCGATGTTTAGCTTAAGGCTCAAAGCCTCGTATGCCCAGGTATATGTGTTCAACATTTCTTGTAATTGTTGTACCGTGTTTGCAACTAGAGTGCAGTCGTCAGCGTATTGAAGTTCTGTGATAAATTTTGTACGTGTTTTTGCCCTGAGTCTTTTTATGTTGAACAGACCGCCGTCATATCAGTATCTAATGCCCAATCCTCTCTCCTGCAGTTTGCTGTCCACTATAATGGAGAGCGCTGCCATGAATATGTTGAATAGGAGAGGCGCTAAGACACATCCCTGCCTAACTCCTGTATTTGTTAGGAATGGGTCTCTCAGTGATCCATGATGTGACACTCTTGACTTGTTGTTTTGGAGGCTTTTACACACTGTAAGAAATTTGTTGGGTACTCCGAACTTTTCCATAATTGCCCAAAGCGCATCTCTGTTCACAGAGTCGAAGGCTTTTGTTAGATCGATGAATGCAACATAAAGTTTAGACTCCTGCTCTTTTACTTTTTCCTGTAGTTGACGGATGGAAAATATGGAATCGACGGTGCCGCGGTTGGTACGAAAACCCCTTTGCGATTCTGGAAGGATTTTTTCTATATATGGGTGCAGGCGGTTTGACATTATTTTTGCAAGAATTTTTCCGCCGATAGCCAATAGCGAAATTCCCCGGTAATTTCCGCAGTCTGATGCACTTCCTTTGTTCTTAAATATATTCACTATATTCGCGTTCGAAAATCGTGAGGTACCTCTCCGCTTTCCCATACGACATCAAAGAGAGCCTTAAGATGATCCATAATTTCTTTACTTGCACACTTATAGATTTCCGCCGGAATCGCGTCACAGCCAGCTGATTTGTTGCTGTTTTATGGAGGTCTTTATTTCTTGTTCTGTTATTGGGATGTCTAATACATCGAGGCTGTTATACTGAGGTATTGTGTTTAGTGCTTCCATATTGGGGTTGTTTTCTTGGTTAAGGATATGGCTGTAATGTTCTTTCCAGTGATTTCTGATTTGTTCTTCCTCTTTTAGAAGTTCGCCATTTTGAGCCATGATTGGGCAGCTTACCTTCTTAGTTGGACCGTATACTTCTTTTACAGCCTCGAAGAATTTACGATAATCGTGATGAGTGGCGTACTCTTGAATCTGATTCGCTTTTTGTGACCACCAGTTATCCTTTACTTGGCGCAGTTCTCTTCGAAGGGTGTTGTTGGCTGCTTTAAAGTTATCTACCAGTCTTGGATTAAGTGGATTTGCAGTGACGGCTTGATGTGCTCTATGCTTTTGTTCCAAAAAAGCCTGTATATGCTGTTGATTTTCGTCAAACCAGTCTGGTTGTTTCTTTTTGTTCGACTTTCCCAGTACTGCTTCGCTGGTTTTATGAATCGCATCCCTTAATTGTGTCCAGTCTTGTTCAGCTTCCAATATTGAGATTGAAGTTATCGGTGGAAGTGATTCTTTGATGGCTTCCCGGAGGGCGTCGGCGGTATTCTTGTTCTCTAGATCCCGTACGTTCAATCTGGTCATGTTGTTTTGCTTTTTACAGCGTGGATGTTTGGGTTTTAACTGGATTTTCATTTTTGAAATTAAAAGTCGGTGGTCAGTGCCGCATTCGGCATCTATTCTAGCTTTTGTGAGCCTAACATCTTTTAGATGCATCCTTCGAACGATTATGTGGTCCAATTGATGCCAGTGGCCTGATCTAGGATGTTTCCAGGTATCTTTAAACTTGTTCATCAACATGAACCACGTATTGGTGATGCAAAGATTATACTCTGCGCATGTTGTTAATAAGCGTTCACCATTGCTATTTGCGTTTTCCATTGTTTTCCCAATACGTCAGGCCATATTTCCTGTTGTTTGCCTACACGGGCATTAAAGTCACCTAGCAAGATGATTCGTTCGTGCTTTGGAATTCGTTGAAAGGCATTTTGTAATGCTTGGTAAAATTTATCCTTATCTTCAATTTTAGCGTCAAGGGTGGGAGCGTAGGCACTAATGTTGTTGACGTAAGTTTTGTCTGATATGGGGTACCTTAGGGTCATAAGACGTTCGGAGACACCAATAGGTACTTCTGTTAACTTGGTGGCGATTTCGTTTTTGATCGCAATGCCTACACCATGAATTCTCCTGTGTGTTGCGGGGTGACCTTTCCAAAAGAAGGTGTAATGCTCCTCAGTGAGACTACCTTCATCTGCAAAGCGTGTTTCGCTTAGAGCGGCAACATCTATATTTAATCGGTGGAGTTCCTGTGAGACCAGTGCTGTTCTTCTCTCTGGTCGATTTGAATTTATCTTGTCCAGTAGAGTACGGACGTTCCACGCCGCGAACGTGAAACATTGATGTTTTTTGTTTCTCCGATGATACGCTCGAGTAGGCACCCCCGCCCGGAGATCCGATTGAGGGGGTATTTTACCTCCGGACGATAATTTTGTCCCACTCGAATGTTCCATCATTGCTGTGTGTAAGCTGCGTGAAAAGGTTTAACTGTGGCGGTTACGCTGCCGCACAGTTTTGGCTGCAACTGTAGCACGGGATGGCTAGGCACAGTGAGGACTGCGACGATAGTTCCCTTGTGCTACATTCTCGGCCGGCTAGGTGTATTTTATTACTCCTTTTCCCCAGAAGATGGTAGGTCTGAGGGTTGTATAAGGTTATACCGCCTATACTCGGACGTCAGAGCCTCGTTTGTGTAAACAGGGTGCACCACGTGAAGGTGAGGTTGACTTTTGGGTAAGCTAGGCTATATGTATCGCTTCAATACCCCTTGCACCCAGATAGTTGTATTCTACTACAGATAGTTGTATAAAGGTAGTAAATCTAGATGGAAATTGTGGCAGAACTTAAATTAACACTGACACTATCGCGATTTATCGAAAAAGACTCTAAAATAGTTGGTTGTGTAGCGTGCGGTAGATCTCGGCAAAAATTGAGTGAAATAATGGAACAACTTTTCGCTAGTAAGTGACTATATAATATACATACGTGTAGTAAACCGATCATTTATGAAATTCACTTAAATTAACTAATTATATATTTTTTCTTGGATTTTCGCTTTTATTTACTACTTGTCAAAGATTAGATGTCAAAAAATTTAGATACGTCAATTTGATTTACCAGCTTCAGTAGTGTTTGTGTTAATAAATAATTATTATAACTTATCTATTTTTATTAGAATTATATATTTTTGTAACAATTTTAATAACTACCAACATTTATTCACAACGTAAAATAAAACAACAAATTATTGAGTCTACCCCACGTCTACCCTACATCATAGTTTTACATTTTTTAAATAAAATTAGAACGACACTGATAAACCGGAATTTAAGTCGGCCATATTTGAGGCCCATCGCGGTGTACCTAAGATTTTTGATATGCTCCTTCCTTAGTCTTCTTATTCAAAGATTTGGCATGACCTGTATGATTTTATTTGTAATGGCGATATTGTTACAAAAATTCCCTAAATACAGGATTTTTTCTAGTTGAAGCAAGAATTGTTGTTGAGTCACCAGAGGACAATAGGAGAGTTAGATTTTCGAGGAAGCCAATCAGTGAACGATTATAATTTTTTCGACATAGAGAAGTGCACTATGGCTTTAAACTACAGTAAGTCAAATCAAACGACAGAGCCAAAAATTAGAATTAACAATACAAGTGATATAATTTTACTTTTATTTTTATTTCAACAATATTATTGCTTCATTTTTATAAATAATTATTATTTAAATTTGTCAATTAGAAGTCATTGACACGGGCCAAAGTAAGGCAGATTTTATTAACAAGAAAAATTACTTTGCTTGGTACACTATTTACATGGTTCCCGAAACGCACCTGGCAATGTCGTACGTAGCAGGAGAATGTATTAAAATGGGCCAGATGTCGTTATTTTCCACCACTTTTGGGGCGAAATACATTACTTTGGAAGAATTTAGCACAGTACAAAATCAAACATCGAGTATCGTAAGTTACCGTTGGTTATACAGGGTTGTTCACCACATACGACACGAAGTATTGTAGCTAAACGATGAGATTTTTACAAATTGTAAGTTTTGGATACGTTGAAGGACTGTTAGAGCTACAATTTAAAAATATTTTTACAAAATACAGAGTGTCCCAAATAAATACAAAATATCAAAGTTGTATTTTTTTAAATGGAACACCCTATATATTATTACATTTTTAGTTTCTACGCTTAAAGTAAAGGTAAATTTGATTAAGGTTTATTACACTTAAACCTTACCGTTTTTGAAATATTTTCAATTTTTGAATTGCATAAAATTTAAGGCTTCATTTCTCCGAGGGTATCAAAGTTTTTATTACTAAATATTTACTGAAGTTTATTTATTGATCAGTTATTGTGTTGCAATAATAAAAACTTTACTACCTTATACAGAGTGTCTAAAAATTAATTTTAAATAATTACTAGCTTTAAACGGCAATAATTTGTTTAATTTAAATGGAACACCCTGTATATTTTATGAGAATCAGATGCACAATTTAATTGTCTATCAAATTGTATTATACCATTTTTTACCCATCTCTTCAAGTTTTCGTAGAAAATGCATTTTCTTATAATTTAGACCTCATTTATCACTATACCCATGGAATATTGACATTTTAGATTATTTATGTACCAAATTTTTAAAGAGTACAGATACTAATATTGTCGATATAGTTCGTTTATTTCATTAAAAAAAACTGTTTAAATATTTGTTAAAAAGGACCAATTAATATGATTCCAGTATTCAAACTACATTAATTGACTGTTTGCGTTGATTAATAATAATTGCTCCAAATACTAAAAGGCTGAATTATGTATGTGTATTAGACAGTGTGGTAAAAAGTAACACCTTAAAAATGATATTTAATTTTTTGACAAATGCTTATTTATAACAACAGAGACCTTCATCTTCATAACTTATTATTGTATTGATTTCTGATTCAAATCCACATTTATTTAGAATAGTTTATTAACGAACACAATTAAGTATGTAGTTAATTAGTATTTGGGCGGAAATACTGGTGGTATATTTAATTAATGGTATACTCTTTGATAAAGATTTAAATAGTTTTCTTTTTGCATAGAAATGGGCTAGTAATATTGTCGTTTTACTAAAAACGATAATATTACCAGCCTGTACATTTTGTACATTTGTTGTTTTAAAAACAATCTAAAATATCAATATTCCATGGGTATATTTGGGTATATTGAGGTCTAAATGATAAGAAAATACATTTTCTACGAAAACTTGAAGGAATAGGTAAGAAGTGGTATAATACAATTTGATAGACAATTAAATTGTGCATCTGATTCTCATAAAATATACAGGGTGTTATATTTAAAGTAAATAAGTTATAAGCCGTTTACACCTAGTAATTATGTAAAATAAATTTTTAGACACTCTGTATAAGGTAGTATAATTTTTATTATTGCAACACAATAACTTATCAATAAATAACCTTCAGTAAATATTTAGTATTAAAAACTTTGATATCCTCGGAGAAATGAAGCCTTAAAATTTATACTGCAATTTCGCAAAATTGAAAATATTTCAAAAACGGTAAGGTTTAAGTGTAATAAACCTTAATCAAATTTACCTTTATTTTAATCGTAGAAACTAAAAATGCAATAATATACAGGGTGTTCCATTTAAAAAAATACAACTTAGATATTTTTTATTTATTTGGGACACTCTGTATCTGGTAAAAATATTTTTAAATTGTAGCTCGTATGTGGTGAACAACCCTGTATAGGATGAGTTTTAAATAAGTGCAAATATTTTTAGGCGTAGTATATTTCGACCCCAGAAACCCGAAAAAAGTGTTTTTGGTTCCCAAAAAAATTGAAAATTTGCTTTTTTTGATTTTTTTTTAATTTTTAGTTAAAAAACATAATTTCTCGATAATATGGCAACCTAGGTAGTAGACTGAATTTGCAAGAAGCAAATTTAAAAAAAAATTGCACTTTTAAGACTTACCCTGTATTTATTTCTGTTTGAATTTTTGAAGAACTTTAAAGGCACTTTCTCCATCTATCTAATATTTTCAGCGTTACGATGTTGCCGCATCATTTGAAAAGTGGTAGTATCTTTCTTATTTTAAATGGAACACCCGGTATATTATTACATTTTTGGAAACTACATTCATATTTCATAATTTTATATATTATATACTAACCTATACATCTCTAACATTTTTTGACATAATAAATAAAACATATTGTTATGTTTTTCGTCGGTTCCGTGTGGATCTTTGAATAAGAAGACTAAGGAAGGAGGGCCTTAAATATGGCCGACTTAAATTCCGGTTTATCAGTGTCGTTCTAATTTTATTTAAAAAATGTAAAACTATGATGTAGGGTAGACGTGGGGTAGACTCAATAATTTGTTGTTTTATTTTACGTTGTGAATAAATGTTGGTAGTTATTAAAATTGTTATAAAAATATATAATTCTAATAAAAATAGATAAGTTATAATAAGTATTTATTACCACAAACATCCGATACGCTACTGAAGCAGGTAAGCCAAATTAACGTATCTAAATTCTTTGACATCTAATCTTTGACAAGTAATAAATAAAAGCTAAAATGCAAGAAAAATATATAATTTAAGTGAATTTCATAAATGATCGGTTTACTACACGTATGTATATTATATAGTCACTTACTAGCGAAAAGTTGTTCCATTATTTCACTCAATTTTTGCCGACATCTACCGCATGCTACACAACCAACTATTTTAGAGTCTTTTTCGATAAATCGCGATAGTGTCACTGTTAATTTAAGTGCTGCCACAATTTCCATCTAGATTTACTACCTTTATACAACTATCAATAGTAGAATAAATAATAAATAACATAAAATAAGCTCCGTAAAGACTGACAAATCCACAAAATTTCAAATCAAATTCAAATGTGTCAAATGAATCGTCAAACAGAACTGTCAAGGATCCCCACCCTAGAGTGCTTTTATGGCGCTTTTTCCGCCCACCATGCATGAATACATGGATAGCATTATGCTCCTTCCTTAGTCTTCTTATTCAAAGGTGTGGATAGAAAGTCACAATTTATTTAAACACTATTTATTTACACTAATTAACAAAAACAATAACGATAAAAGACTTAAAGAACTATTTACAAACGATTGAGATATTTAAAGAAGTAGAATATGCATTTTTGCTGAATATGCAGAAGTTTGAATATGCATTCTACAATAGAAGAGATTATTAACACCCTGTACATTACTTTTCAGAATTAGTTCTTGTGCTGAGTTTGAAGGTAGAGAATAAACTTTACTGAATAATGTTATTGTTTCCTGAAATTTATACAGGGATACCAAAAATTACTGATCTATTTTAAGGATTTATTTTTTATAAAATCTTTGATATTTCAAATGCAACACCCTGTATTTTTTTAAATAAATCGAAGCAGATCAAATGCTCTTTCGCACTATATTAGGGTTTCCTATACCTATCTAACACAGATTTTGAATAAAAAGTGATTTTTAAATAAAATAGCAATAAAGATGGCTGGTGTCGCCATGGCAATTTTCTAGTGACAGTAACTATTTTGATATAGTTTATGGACATTATTATTAGTTTACTTAAATTTACCTACAATAGTTTAATAAGTAAGTATTCATTATTTTATCGTGAAAAATAAAGCAGTATCTGCTGGGGGAACGAATGGATATGTTACTAGTGATTTTATTTTGTGAGGAAAATAGCTTCTTGGCCTCAAGGGCTTATGCTTAAAGATATCCAAATAGGAATCTTCCTGATAAGCGTTCATTTGAAAAACTATTTGTCCTATATTCGCTGGTATGTTTGGTTTATAAAAACCTAATAGGCAAAAAGCTGTAGTTGGAAGTGAAGAAAAAGAATTTGCCGTAATTGGCTCTTTTATAAAAAATCCATATATCTACAACTGATGATAAAATAAATCAAAGAACTGCTTCTTCGTTTTTCTTGATAGAATAATAAATACATATTTAATAAATATTATTTATTAAACTATTGTAGGTAAATTAAAATAAAAGTTAACTGGTATAAATTTAAGTAAGTCCATAAACTAATTTCGATTTTAAAAATAGTTACTGTCACTAGAAACTTGTCATGACGACACTAGCCCTCTTGGTTGCCATTTTATATTATAGGTATAGGAAACCCTAATATAGTTCGAAAGAGCATTTTATCTGCTTCTATTTATTTCAAAAAATACAGGGTGTTGTATTTGAAATAACAAAGTTTTTATATAAAATGAATATTTAAAATAGACCAGCAATTATTCGTACTCCTGTATACATTAAACGAAGCAATCCAATTTTTCAGTAAAGTTTATTTCTTTGGCTTATGAGCCAGCAGAAGAATTAATTCTGAAAAGTAATGTACAGGGTGTTGACAATCTTTTTTATTATAGCATGCATATTTAAATATCTTTAAATATCTCAAAAACCAAAGCTTGTAAACATATTAAACCTTTATAATAAATTCCTTATTTTATGTCATAGAATCCAAAAATGAAATGAAATACCGGATGTTCCATAAGAAAAAATATAACTAATCTCTTCTATTGTAGAATGCATATTCAAACTTCTGCATATTCAGCAAAAATGCATATTCTACTTCTTTAAATATCTCAAGAACCAAAGATTTTAAATATATTTAACCCTTATAATAAATGTCTTTTTTTGGGCCCAAGAATCCAAAAATAAAATGAAATACCGGGTGTTCCATAAGAAAAAATATAACTTCGGTATGGATCTTACGAGGGATCTTAGTTCTGACACACCCGTCAACCGAGGCGAATGAGGTGCGCCACCCTGTATATATCCGATCTGTCTAAATCAACTCATTGGATATTACACAGGGAGAGCCAAAAAATTATTTATTCCCGTTGTAAGGATATTTGTTTCCGTTGCTTCAAGGGTGCATAAAGCGGCAACAGTGTAATGCGGAAAATAATTTAGACGGATGGAACAAGCGCCTTTATGCAGAAATCCAAATTTAAAAAATAAATCCAAATGAACGTCTAACGTACTATGGCCGTGAATCACCCTGTAGAATTATAGCCAAAACAATAAATTAAATTGTTGTTATATTACTTTAATTTTTAAACAGGCTTTAAAACAACTGAAGACGACCTGGCTGGAGACTTTAGTCTTTAATATTCGAATGTGCATTGGAGACTTGGGTAAGGGATGGTTCGATATAAACGAGCGAATATACGAGGTGTACGAAATATCCAAACTAAATCGATTCATGGAGTTGGTAAAATACCGAATGCAGGTGATCATTAAACTGTGATCAAAATGTTTCTTTTGAAATACTGACATCATTTGTAGTACACGCTAAGATTGCTAGTGGAGAATTCAATAGAACTATTTATAAATTTGGTAGAGTCACCCTGTATTCCCTGTCTAGGTTGCGAAGAGGATTTTGTTTGGGGATCCGACCTCATAACCAGCCCTTTTATATCCCATGCAATGCCCATTTTTAATTTACAGCTTAAAATGGACGAAAACGGTGCTTATTATACTACATCACCCGAATATTTTGCGGTAAGTAGTCAAAATAAAAGTAAAAAGGGGAAATCTTTCTCATTTTGAGAACACTAGATATTTAACACATTTTGACACTTTTTAGTTTAACCTTATAATTTTTTTATTTCTTCAGATAAAAAAACGAGATTTGGTATGTTAGTATATGACCTAAATTAAGATTGATTGGTGTATTCAGTTGTTTTCGGCCACTTCCTGCTTCACCGGAAATGACTACAACTTTAGATTTTTAAATGGCACCTTCGGTATTTTTTTACTTTATTCCATAAATGACACTGAATAGAATGAAATATCACATGTCAACTTTCGACATTCTCGCTTAAAAAAATCGTATTTTAAATTTCAATCTAGAGTGCCATGGCTGTTTTAAAAACAGAAATTTTTAATCAAGGAGCCCTGGAAAAATAGATTTGATCGTCTAATGTTTTTCGTGTCTTATCCTGGCCGGTTGAAAGATGCCCAAATCGTATTTTTAATCATATCTCAATTTTTTCAAATGTATATTTGGAAAAAAAAACATTTTTAAGGCATAATTTGATACCACGCACTTGGTATTTCGAGTCAAATTCTCGTTATGAACCACATGTTACAATTTCGAATAAACCATATGCCAAAATGTCAAAAGTTGATATATGATATGTCATTCTATTCACAGTGTTATTTTCTATCGTATAAAGTAAAAAAAAATATCGAGTTTGTCATTTAAAAATCAAAAGTTGTAGTCATTTCCGGTGAAACAGGAAGCGAGAAAAGCAATTGAATACGTCAACCAATCCTAATTTATTTTATCTAACATGCCAAATCTCGTTTTTTTATGTGAAAAAAAAATAAAAAAATTATAGGGGTGAGTCACTTTTGAGACACACCCGGTATAAATATATCTACTTTAATTGATAAACTTTTGTATTTGGTTATTATACAAGGTTAAACGAAGTGTTGTTTTTATCTTAACTTTAAAATACCCTGAGCAATGATTTCGTTAACATATTTTGACATTTAATGACGGTTAATTTTGACATTTGATATAATTTGCGGGCAAAATTTAAAAGACAACCCTTGTATATCAACATTTTAATTTTTTAAGGTAGTTCTTCTGAAGTTGTTCGACGAAGCTTTAATACAAACACATCAAGTCCGACAAGTGCACCCATTATTGTTGTCAAATTTAAGCTTTCCGCCGGATCTGTACCTGTCATCGGTCGGACTTTTGGCCGACGAAGTTTGTCAAGTGAGGGACAGGTTTTTGTTGGCGTACGAAAAAGCTATCATACCTCTTAAGGCATATGCCAAAGAGTTCGAAGCACATGTAAATTTGTACGTGTTAGATATACCCGAATTTATTTCGTAAGTATTGTTGTACGAGAATTGTCTTTTATACAGGGTGTTTTAAAAAACATGTGCCATCTCTGGTGAGGAGATTTCTCACGTAAAAATAAGATTTATTTTGCATAGGTCTCATTGTGCTTTCATTTCGTAGCTACAGGGTATTAAAATCTTAATATTTTTTTGATTTATTTCCAAGTACTTTTAGCGTTTCGAATGAAATCTTGATGGTGTATGTAACTATAAATGCGACATATTATTTTAAAAATGTGTCGATATATTCACCTGGGACGTGCATATGGGTTATCACAGGAATATATTTCTAAAAAAGCATGTACGCCACTGACTTTTTTTCTCTTGTTAGCAAAATAGTGTAAGCAATTTAATGCCGATTAAAAGTTCTCTCTTGATATTTTGTCGATTTTCGCCTCCTTGATGAGATAAACGCAATTTTATTAATTTGCCTTGATCCAAGTCTAATAGCAACCTTTAAAAAATTTAATATCATTAACTTGCGAAAGTTTTAAGTAAGTACTTATTGATTCTTCATCAAAAAATATGAAAAAAATTTCTATAAACATTGGTATGGAAATACATAGTTTTAGAGTTACAGGATGTTAAAACTTTTTAAAATTGGGTTTTTTGTAATTATCTTCAATACCATTATTTTTTATTTGAAATTGCTGTATGTTACTGCATTAATAAATATAATAGTAATAATATTTAATAATAAATTAGGTAAAATATATAATTTATTAATTTTATTTTTATTTTAATTTTATTAATTGTGATTATTTATAGATTACATTACGATTTTTAGAAATTATGAATCTGAGCAAAAAACAGCTGCCGATTTTAAGGAAGATATATCACAACAGTACCGATTGAAAAGGAGTCTAGAAGAAACTTTGCCTAATGTTATATTCATTGGCCCGTTTTATGTTACTGTCGACTTCTTAAGATTATTTTTAATCAACAAACGTCAAGATATTATTAATAAATTGCTTGACTTATTTGCTTTGAAAATGAAAATATGTATCGAGGATGTAAGTACTACAAGCCTTAATACTAATAGGTAGACGAAACTTAGTAAAAATAAATTTAGCTATGTTTGTACTTCAATATAGTTGCTGCAAGATTTTAAAAATATTATGACCAAGTTAAGTGTGAAGCCTGAAAACATTGAGCACATTTTTGAGATAAGAGACTGGATGGAAACCGTACCACTGACTGTCAAATCTTTAGAAGAAAATTGTAAAAGATATTTGTTGGTAAGACTTTTTGATATTAGCTATTTCTCGCTTATATACACTTTTTCAAACATGTTCTTCAGATCCTTCAATTCCATAGCTGTTAGAACGAAGTTTTACTTCAAATATTCGCACATAGTGTACGCACAATTTCCTGTACAGGGTGTCCCATTTTGGTTGAAATCATACGGTATCTCCGTTATTAGTAAAGATAGAAGGGTGTGGTTTGCACAAACCTGTCCCATTTTTTGTCAAACGGAAAATGCTGTCAACAAAATTTTCAGAGTCTTTTTCGTTTTTGAGCTACGGGGTATTTTTGAAAATTTTGCAATTTGGGACGGCGCCCGTATATTCATTATTGTGAAAGGTATCGAGAAGGTGAAAACTGATTCTTGTAGAACTTTTTACGTGGTGTAGTCTGTTTTTCCACGAAAAAAATATTTTTGAAAATATGAAAAATAAAATATGACCCTAAATACAAAAATCGAGAACGGACAAATCCGAGGATCAGAGAGGCTATCGTATGTGCTATGTGTCCATTGCAAATTGTGCCAATTCATTGATTTGGGAAATAGTCATTTAACAAAATTCTAGTATTTTAGTTGTGAGGGGAATCCCATCTTGCTGAAGGTATATTTCACGAAATTATCTAAAGGAACATTTAAAAGTTGTGGTAGAGAGTTAAGTTTCCATGATATATAGAGAAGTTATTAGTGGCTCCCATAATAAAACATGACACAGTTACCAGTATTTTTTAAAAATTCTTTTGCTTCTTTTATTATCAATCATACCCTACTAATAAAAAATATTTTTAATGAAAACTTTTAAATATTGCAGTAAATAGTGAAAATAACTATAGAGTGATCGAAAAGACCCTGTAGCTCAAAAACGAAGGTTTGTGCAAACCACATCTTTCTATCTTCACTAATAACGGAGATACCGTGTCATTTCAACCAAAATGGGACACCCTGTACAGATGTAACTGTTTCTGTAGGAATATGAGGTCCTGGACCATTTCTGGTATGCTCTGCAAAACGAAGACTTCGACAACAAATGGGAAGCTATCGGTTGGCCCCTGAAAGTTACTCAACAAATTGAAGCTACCGAGGTCTTTTTAAAGGAAGAAGAAGATAGATATTACAAATTGCAAATGAACGACGAGTTTACATTAAATGACAGAATTGAAACTTTGACTTCTCAAGTTGTTAATATGTCAGGATACAAAGATATAAGTAGGGTAAGGTATAAATTAGTGTGCTTTTAAATTAACTCTTGATCTTGCTTGATCTTGAATAACATCTTCTAAAATTATAATTATGTACCTTTAAAAAATGTTGTTATGGCCGAAATAGCCCTAGTTATGTCTCCGCTAGCAAAACCGGTGCGTAAAACTATGTTCGCTACTATAGTTGAATTCATCTAAAAAGTTTTGATTATAATTATATTTTTATTATTAGTCTGAATAATAAATTATAATACAAGTTATTCTAATACTTTTATGCCCACTTGCACCGTTTGTATAAGCTTTGTTTAAAGGCTAAACAGTGATTAACTATAATAAAATATTATATAGTGGTGCCAGTGGGCATTAGAATAATTATATAACATTTTTTCGTGTATTCGCTATTTAAATACGTGTATTTGTTTAGTTCGCTGTTTACAGTATTCTCCGATGGTGGCAGCACCGGCGGAGAATGCACCAGTCAACAAAAATTGCTTAAGTATTTAGACACGTTTAGATATCTTTTTACGAGTTTGTAATATACTTATATTATTATACAACTAGAGCAACGTATATTCTTTAAGCAAGAACCTAAAATTTTAAATTAATGTTGACTGTATATTACCCAATATATTTGAATGATTTTTTAATATATTAAGCGGAACGTAATAGATAAATAATTAAATAAATCGCAAATAGTATGGATTATTGTGTAATGCACAAGCTTGTGCGACAATCACGTTTGGGTTTAACATATCTAGGTATATTTACATGGTTTAAGAAGATATTTATAGAATATTCCGCCATTGAATATACTAAAAATTTGGCTGATTGAGAGAAAATCATCCGCTTTAATTTAAAAATAAAGTGTTTTCTTCAATACTTTATAAAGAGTATAATAAGCATAACTATAGTATTTTTAATACCTATTTAGAGGTACCAGCCGTTTTAGTAACTTAACGTATGCGGCTTCTTGCACCATCTACACCCGCATGAAAAAAATTAGGTTATGACCTTTGTCATGTCAAATGCTTGACATATTTCTTACTGCATTGGCGGAGTGACTTGAAATTTCATATTATCAGTGGCGGTTTATAATAATAAAAATTAATTTTATGAAATTCTAAAGATGTTGACATAATAAAAAAATATAGAAGAAGCGCACTAATTTTAAAAATATTGTTTTATTAACTAGATACCGAGTTTTCTTAAAAAAATACCTATATTATTTAAGATCTCGATTTAAGGCTTATACCAAAGAATATCTTAACTTATACTTATGCTTAATGTAGTAAACTATATTCAAAACGATTTAGGATCTCGATTTATGGCAATTCAAAAAGCGTCTGAAGCACTAAAAGTATAATAAATAATATAACAAGAAGTCGAGCATGCAGTAATAATATTTATTTAAGGGCTCGTTTAAGTAAAAATTCTACAGAAAAACAGGTGTAAAGAGCTTTTCGCTTTTAGCAGCATGGTATTTGTTCAAAAATAATATTCTTTTTAATCTGATTCCAGACATTTCCAATAACTGTTTTCTTCCATCCCGTTTTTTGAAATGAAAACCCATTTTTTTAATTCCCAAATATAACGAACTTTTGGAAATCTTAGTTTCTGGAGATTCTTCGATAAATTGCCGGAAAATAGTTTCTACTGTGATTTTATCCTTTCGCGCATACATTTTGTAAATTACTTCCCTCAAACAATGTAGGGTATTCTTTGTAATTTGGATTCTGCTCCGGGAAACGCTTGCAGACATATTTCTTCTAAATTCGAAATCTGTAGCTCTGTTTGGTTTTTCAAAGATTATATAATGTGCATTCCGGAACTTTTAGTGCTTCGGACGCTTTTTGAATTGCCTTAAATCGAGATCCTAAATCTTTTTGAAAATAGTTTACTACATTAAGCATAAGTTTTTTGGATTCATCAGAATATCGCATTTTTATATCTTATTTTGCGTTATGACATTAACATGAAACGTAACTTCAAAAACGTGACATCTAACAAATTATTAATAATCGACGTTCATTTTTGTTGGTAATTTTTTATTTCAACTGATTTATTAATAATAAATAAGGATAGTGTTATTCTAAATGGGTATTAAAAATACTATATTACAGTATTCAGACATTCAATTTCGCGTTGTAGGTATAGTGCATGTATTCAAAATTGCATTTTTCATAAAAATCTTGGCTTGTTCTAAAATCATTAATCCCGTTTATATTTTTTTACATTTCCCAAACCATTTTACCGAAAATGGTTGAATTTTGAAAGTCCTAAAAATGAAAAGGCTAGATGATAATATAATTTCGATTTCATTCTTTGATAGATGGTTATTATTAACCATGTTATTAACCATAGATAATGGAAATAAATTTAGATTGGAAAGCCCGTTAAAATATTTTTTAATATTTTAACGGGCTTTTATAATAAGTTTTGAGTCGCGACCGTTGTACGCAATCTGGCGCTGCTATAGTGGTTGCTAAGAACAACCGCCAAACAAAAACAGAAATCATTTTCTCTTGTCAAAGTCAGAATTTTCAAAAATTATAAAATCTTCAAAATTTAAATCGCCCTCATTGAAAAAATACCGAAAAGTGTTTAAAGCGTCCATTCTCAAAGTAATTATTGCCATCTTGTGAGTTTAATTTTACTTACTCAAACTCGTGATAATTGTGAAAAAGTGGCATTAAAAACTAAAAAACTGCGTTGTGAACTGTGAACTGTCAAAACCATCGTGGATCGTGGCATCGTCGGTTTCCAATGTTTTATAGGTATTTCACATACATGTCCTTATATCAAATAAAGTTTCGTGTATGCAATACACTGTATTTTACTTATAAAATTAAAAGATAATAATAATAAATTTGAATAAACAATATTTGCCGACATAATTCCGGAAAAAGCCGAACCGACCCGAAATTGTCAAAAGCTTTGGGTCGCGACCGTTGCAAAAATAGCTCCAAATAGTGTTTATAGTCTGTCCAACGAGAAGATCCTTGACAGTGACAGATGTGTCTGTCATTTTATTTTCAAATTAGTTTATTTTATTTTACAAAGAATTAAGTTGGTATAACTGGAACGCATAGTAGAAAATTAATATATTTAAAATTTGAGTGACAAGTGATTACTTCAAAATATTTTGAAAAAAACTGTTTAAAATTGAGAAAATCTAATCGAGTTATTTTATTAAAAACAATTACAGTATATGTTAATACAAAACAAGCAAGGGTTTATTTAAAAAAAAACACCACATACCAAAAAACATAAAAAAGATTTCCGGCTTTCAAGCTCAAGCAACTTCCTGCATTTATTGTTACTTTTATCAATATAATTATTCAATATGATTATTATTTACCTATCGTGTGCTGCTATTTTACCGACACTCCAGTTTTTGGTATCATATACAAGATAGTATACAAACTTTATTTGTGGCTAATACATCTCTCTGGCCATAATATCTGGCAAACTGTCGCTGGCGATCTCTGGGCACCGAATATTAACTGTAAACTATGGCCTGGGTCAACACTTTTTCCCGCGAGTTTTCCTCCACTTAATTTTAAAAAACACGAAACACACGTAATAACACAGTCCAAAATGCAAAATATTTATAGTCTATAAAACGAATAACTTTGAATTTGACAGTTCCCGCGGGCTTTTCTAGTGTTAATTTTATTAGGTTAGCAACTTGCGGCCATGCTGACGCAATGCCGTCTCTAATAGAACAGCTCGGAGCGAGATTTATGACGTCACGCTAGTTAGATACTACAGATTAATAAATATGTTGTAGAATACATGGAAAACATAATTATTCCTCGTATTTTTGGTTTGTATTTTAAAAATGATATAGTTTACATGAAATATACATAATATACAGTTAATAAATACAATATATATATATATATATATATATATATATATATATATAATATATATATATATATATATATATATATATATATATATATATATATATATATATATATATATATATATATATATATATTCTATTTATAGTAATAAATATTTTGGCAGATAAACTATGAACCATACAAATGCAGCAAATGTTTTACAATATGGCTGAAATCGTACTCTATAGTCAATGTAGATGGTTTCTGTGTTAAGAATAATAATTTAAAAAAATATGTGGTCATCTTTTGACAAGTTTATATTAGTCTATTAATTGCAGTAAACATTATAATATATAAATAAATTTTGTGAATGCAAATTATAATACATCACTATTAGTAGATATTGAATGTTTTTTGTTAAATTAGATCGATTTTCGAACCCCAAAATTTAAAATATATTTTGCATTTTACCCATTATCTTATGTACCACCTATTCATTATTTGTATATTGTAAAACATTTGCTGCATTTGTGTGGTTCATAGTTTATTTGCCAAAGTATTTATTACTATAAATATGTATATATTATATTGTATTAATTAACTGTATATTATGTATATTTTAAGTAAACTATATCATTTTTAAAATACAAACCAAAAATACGAGAAATAATTATGTTTCTATGAATTCTCCAACATATTTATTAATCCGTAGTATCTAACTAGCGTGATGTCATAAATCTTGCTCCGAGGCTGTTCTATTAGAGACGGCATTGGTCTAATATTTTGAAATGTCAAAAGCTGATGACATTTTACTTTTGTCAATTATGACATTTCGTGTTGATTTTTGCAAGAAGAGGAAGAACTGTCACTTGTTTTATTATTTTCCTTTTCTATTTCACGAAAGTAAAAAGAGTTACCTATCTGATTCATTCGAGCACTCAATTTAAAGAATATCAGTAACTTTTTTGATAGAGGGATTTTATATTTGCCATGTTGGTAAAAAATAACGGTCAAAATTCAAAGTTATTCATTTTATAGACTATATCATTTCTATTTGACATAATTTGACACAAAATTATAACCTATAAATTGGCAAGAGTTTGACAACTCTCAAAAATCTTAAGACGAGTTTACACGCATCGGCGTTTGTTTGTTGTTCATCTTTCCGTCAAACCAATAATATTGAAATATGATCTGTCATTTTTGAAATAAACCAATAAAACTGGTTAAAAACAACAAGAGATGACGCATGACGATAAACCCATCCATAGTAAACTTAAAAAATATTAGAAACTTTTTTTTATCAAAATAAATAGATTGGTATGGGACGTCATCTGCTTTTTTTCTGTCATCGTCTGTCGAAATCTTACCTGAGAAAAAAAATAGAGTATACATTGTCCTTATGGGCACTTTCCAATCTAAACTTGTTTCATTTATCTATGTTATATTTTTTGCTGTTGTTAAGTATCACATTTTCCGATATAATTATTATCACCCTCTCCGTAGCATTGAACTAAATACATTTTGTGTGCTTCTTTAACATTTTGAAACACCAAAAAGTATGATGCCAATTAAAATTCTGTCATTAACAATCTATCAGAGAATGGAAACGAAATTATATTTCCTTAGAAACGTCTTTTGATTTTCAAGACTTGGAAAAAATTCAATTATATTTTCATATATTTTTTAATTTTCTTTTAAACGGTATGGAAATTTTTAAAAGTATAAACCATTTTGGAACAAGCAAATATTTTTATGAAGAATGCGTTTTTCTCAACATTAACACAATAATTGCTAACAACATCTACTAAAAGAATATCAACTAGGTAGAATAGATGATTATAGCTAATGCACTCTTTGTATTGTAGACTCACGAGTATGCTTTGGAAATACGCAAAGTTTGGAAGACCATGAAAGAGGCACAGGAATTCGGGCAGTTACTCAACCAGAGGCAGAAGCTATTTGGGGCCCCGGTTGTGCCTTTCGACAACCTAACCAAATTAATCAAGGAATTTGAGCCCTATAAAAATTTATGGACTACCGCCTCAGGTAAGGTTTATATGTCTTGTCATGGCAGCTATGATGTTTTAGCATAAAATGAATTAAAAAAGGAGTAAAAAGTGAAAAATTCAGAATAAGTCTATTAAAAAATCTCTTTTTTTTTTTAATTTTAAATAGTTGAAATTCATAAATATATTTTGAACTCCCTGTAGCATCTAAGTAAAATATCTTTATATATATCTTTTTCTTCATCCCTATAAAACTCCCCTACCAAATTTTGGTAGTCCAAGTTCAGAAACACTGACAATTTTTTACCACACTGAAATCTAACATTTGTTTGAACAAATTCAAATATTACAAAACCGGGTGCGTCTCAAAAGTGGCTCACCCCTATAACTTTTTTACTTTTTCAGATAAAAAAACGAGACTTGGTATGTTAGTATATGACATAAATTAGGATTGATTGACGGTATTCAATTGTTTTTGGTCACTTCCTGTTTCACCGGAAATGACTACAACTTTTGATTTTTAAATAACACCCTCCGTATTTTCTTACTTTATTAGATAGAAAATGATATTCTGAGGGTGCAGCCACACTATCCTAAAAACGGCGTATCGGCGTAACGGCGTAATGACCTTGAATAGATTTCCAGTTATTCTATTGGCTGAAACATTCATCTGTCAGAAATTTTATCTGTCAAATTCATCTGTCAAAAATTTCAGCCAATAGAATTACTGGAAATCGCTTCAAGGTCGTTACGCCGTTACGCCGATACGCCGTTTTTAGGATAGCGTGGCTGCACCCTGAATAGAATGACATATCATATGTCAATTTTTGACATTTTCGCTTAATAAAAAAAATGTATTTTAAATTTCAATCTAGAGTGCCATATGACTGTGTTAAAAACACTAATTTTTAATCAAGAAGCCTTGGAAAAATAGATTGGGTCGCCTAATGTGTTTAGGGTCTTGTCCTGGCCAATCGAAACAAATGAGATAATGGACTTTATCGTTGATTGACTTTATTATTTTGTTATTAAGATTGGATGCGCGCTTATGAAATGTGGATGGATAATCCCATTATAAATGTGGACGCGGACACAGTGGATGTAACAGTAAACGACATGTACAAAATGATGGTTCGTCTTACCAGAGTATTTGCTGACATGGAAACGGTTCAAGTAAGTGGCCATTTTAGATTTAAAATTTCTCTAATAAGTCCTAAGCACCGAATTTTTAAAAAAATCTCGATAGAGATAGATGACGACCATTTGATGAATTATGATTAATTTTAGCTAATGCGTTTTAGCAGCATTATAGAAAATAAATTATTCATTATTTTTTTAAAATCTTATTGTATAAGTTCAAATAGTTAAAGTAATCGCAAACATTTTCCGATGCACGTCATCAATCATATCGACATTGACACTAAAGCCTATAAACCTGACTAAATAAAATTTTGGCAAAAATGTTTAAATTTGTTGTATAATTTAAGATACTGAGCAGCTCTTCATTTTACTTTATAGAGCAAATGACTGTAACAGATATTTTATTTAGATTAAAGCTGCAAATATTTGTTTAAACCGAAATTTATTATCGCTATGTTGGTCACATTGCGCCGTGTTCAGCAATGTTGTCCTTTATTATTTGACAATTATCCTAGTGTCATTATTTTGTATAATATTGTGTTGTTGAATCTTTGTGAGTAATTCTCGTTTTTTTGCCTATTTTCATAGTATTTTTTTAAAAAGTGTACTTTTAAGCACAAACAGTTCTTTTAAGAACTAAATTTTTGAGTTTTTTTATTGCATTTCTTGAAACTGTCTGTTGAAAATATCCCGAACCAATTAAACAGTCGAAGCAAAGAGCTTGTAGCTTTCCTGTTTTTTTCAAACTAATTTAAACGAGAACGTGACAATAAAGATCCGTTATTACCCTTGACTGCAGTCAGAAAAGTAAGCTTGATTGATGAGCACATTATACCACTTTCAAAGTTAGTTTTTATTAAATTCTGTGATTATTAGTTTGTGCATTAATAGCACCCTCTTACTTGTTATTACCACTTATGACGCTATATGACGTACATCAATAAATAAATAGTCCATAATAACAAACAAACAAACAAACAAACAACGCTTTATTGTGCAAAAAGCCAAAACAGCTTCATCGACAAAGCACTCACAAACAACAAAATCACAAAAAAATACAAACAACAAAAAATACACAATACAAATAATACAATTCAAAAAAATTTAAGTCTTTAAAATTACAAAAAGAATATACATGGACAATTTTAGAACAGTACGCAGTAAATAGATATAATTTTAAAGTTATAGAATATTAAATACTTGACCTTTGACCAGTGTGTGAGATGGCCAAATTATAGGTCAGGTATACAGTAGGTATATAGGTCAGGTATATAGTATACAGGTATATAGTTCAAAATTGTTCATAATCAAACATCAACAAAAAAGTCGTTTACCGCATATAGGGCTCTCTCCAGTAGGTATGATTTTAGAGCCTTGCGAAATGCGGGAAAGAATGAAAGCGATTTGATATTCAAAGGCAGATGATTGTACATTTTTTTGGCATTGTACAGTATTGAACCCTTAGCTAGTTCTGAGCTCGGGGTTGGCAGATAAAGATCGTGCTCTGCATTCCTAAGTGGATAGTTATGAGATGGCCTTTCGGAATAGCAGATATGTGCTTGCGGATTAAGGAGTCAGTATTTTCAAATTTTTAAAGAAATTCTGGCAGTGAGTTCTACTGTTCAGTCCCAATAAATATCGAACTGCTCTCTTTTGAAGTATGTTAAAACACGATCAAATTTTGTTGCGCAGCAAGTACCCCAGAATGGAAGGGCATAACGAAGATGTGACTCAAAAAGGGCATAATAGGCTATTCTAGAGGTTGAGAAGTTAAGTTCCTTAGAAACTGATCTTAGCGCAAAACAGGCAGCGCTTAGTTTCTTTGATAGAGCTTCAATGTGAGAGTCCCATTTTAACGAGTTGTCTACAAGAAGTCCTAAGAATTTCACAGAGTCCACGACGTCAATAGTAGTGTTATTAAGTACAAAAGGTTGTATAGTACTTATATATGATAGGTTGAGGCATAGGAGATTAGAATCGCACCAAGACTTAATGGTGCGTAAGTCATTGGATATAGTATCATATAGCGCCGCAACATCTGGGCCGCTCCAAGTGAAACTAGTATCGTCCGCAAAGGGGCAGATTTTACCGCTAATGTCCAGATTTGCAATGTCGTTGATAAACACCAGAAACAAAATAGGGCCAAGTACTGAACCCTGAGGGACACCACATTCTATAGGCTTACAAGAAGACATAGACGTATCAATCCTCACAAGCTGCCTTCTGTTGCCAAGATATGACTTAAGCCATTCGAGCGGCACTCCCCTGAAACCATAGTATTGCAATTTGTTAATTAAGATATTATGATTTACACAATCGAAAGCCTTAGAGAGATCACAGAAAATTGTTGCTGTAGAGTGATGGTTATTCAGGCTAGAGTATACATTATTAAAAAGGTCGAACATCATTTGTGCAACTGTTACTTAGAAATCCAAATTGATGGGTAGTATCTGAATAGTTGTTATCTGAATGGTCAGTCTGCGTCGAAATAGATTTTTTTTCTATTTGTGGGTTTGGTTTGGTACTTTTAATGTTCTTTGGAGGAATGTTCTTGGATGTCCTTTCGCTGGAGGCCAACCTTTCCAACATGAGTGCCATTTTATTTACACTCAAACGCAAATCACCCAACTCCTTTGATAAGTCTCCCTTTGATGAGTCATGAATTTGGACCTTAATAGACTCATCATGATTGTCCAGTAAAATAGATGACAAGTTGAAAATATCTTGCTTCATGTCCCTGATGGAATGGAATAAAGATTCTTGTCTACCATCGGACAAACTGGTATGGAGGCTGTGAATGTCATCCACTTTCTTGTACAAGCTCTTCCACTTGGAGTCATGGTAACTCAAAATATCGTACATCTCACTAATGACCGGAAGGAGATCATTGTTCTTCTTTAGACAGGTTCCCAGAGCTTCGACAGTGTCTAGAGAGGCTTGCGATTTTTGAACTTGAGTTACCTTGTCATGAAGATATTTTAACGTGGGTGAGTCACAGATATTGCAGAAAAATCTGATATTGTTGAACTTTTGTTGGCAGAGTATTTTTGTTGTTGTTTTATCTAACCCAGTACAGGACATACAAAAGTTCCGGCGACATTCCCCATTACAACGAAGTTTATATTTGTCCTTTTCCGAGACGACTTTCTGGCAGGAATCACACTTAAACTCAGCCATTTAGATAGTAGCAATGAACAATTTTAAATAAAAGTCAATGACAGCGGAACAGAAAAGAGATTAGGCAAATAAACCGAATATAGTAAACACACGCACAACCAAACTTAGCACGCCGCGCTGTAAGGTTCAAGTTCAATAATTATAAATAAAGGTTAATGGTATCAATACCAAGTCGAAATTTAAAACAAACAAGAATACGCAAACTAGCACGTCGTCACGTTGTCAGGTTACTAGAGTACATCAAAACAGAGAACAACGCAAATTCAATTAAAGTTCAAATAAAACAAAACAAAACAAACACTCAATGCCGGTAGCGCCAGCGAACGAAAAAACACGACCTCTGGCTAGACTGCCAAACCGATACTCAATAACGCGTATAATAATCTTCAAAATGGACTAGTTTTTGCCAATATGTAATAAGTAAAATAAGGTATAAAACAAATAAATCAATTAATCACTAAAATATTAGTTATTAAATTAAAAATAAAACGTAAATCTTTTTAAAAAATGATATAATAAATATGTTGTTTGTCAATTTTATTACTTATTATAATTAAGATTCATCTCATAAATCCATCACAATTTGGCAGTGCTGTCGCCATCGCTTGTCACTCAAAGTCGATCACGTGCATCGGAAATTGTTTTGCGATTACTCTATATTTTTTTACCTCAAGTTTGAAGTTTTATATATTTTTATATTTAGCCCTATTTCCTTGAATTTTTTAGCAAACTGTATATAAATATATCAACTTTAATTCGTAAATTCAGTTTGTTATAAACTTTAGTAGTAGATTTATTATACAGGGTAAATCGAAGAGTTGTTTTTTACCCGATCTTTAAAACACACTGTGCAATAATTTCGTGAGCAAATTTTCCTAAAATATTATTTTTCGGTCAGCCTCCTGAATGTTTTGGTTTTTGACTGATGTCAATATATGCCTTGGTTAATTTTTAAGAGCGAAATGAACTTGCCACCACCAATCTGCAATTTTTTTAACTATCATTACTTGATGATGTTATTTTTTGATATCATGAGTTGGTTTTGATGACTATTGTCGTAATGCCATATCGACACTGCATTAGAACCCTATATTAAAATTTTAAAAAACGTTAAAAAGTAACTATACAGGCTTTTAATAAATCAGGCGTTTAAATGCAAAACCCATAGAATAACTAACTGAAAGAAATGAAAACTCCTATGTTAAAGCCTGGAAACACGCGCTCGACGCGATCCAAGCGGGCTACTGGCAGAACTAAAAGTTCGCGCCATATTTTTAAATGGACCTTTACTGCCAGTTCATAAGTTTTTTACTTATATTTGGTAATTTCAATCTAGATTATGAACTTATTTGTAACAAAACATTTTACAAAATAAAAATAATGTATTTTGATACAAATAAATTAATAATTAGGTTGAAATTATCCCTGAAATTAGAATAAAACACGAAAAATTTGTAACTTGATTATTTTATTATAACATTGTTAATAAAATTACATATAACACATTCAACACTATACAAGTATATATAAAAGTTATCAGAATTTATACAATCAGTTATAAGTAATTATAAAAAAGGTTATAAATTATAAATAAATAATTCATTATATAAAAGACATATAGTTACCGTGAATATAATTTGGTATAACTTTAATCTCAACTTTAATGACCTATTCAAATAGAAACATCTTACAATTCACATTATATAATACACAAAGCCAAGGGACAAAATTGTTATTAAATCTATTCTCGATGACTCGAAGCATTTTTTTTTCAAATAAAACAGGACATATAGGGCTTATAAATAATACAAGGGTATAGAAAATATATAAATAAGTAAATACAAATATATTTTCAACCTAATGATTAATGATTATACTCGTTTAAATAAATAAATGATCTTTTTAAAATTACTTGTTTGTCTTTGCAAATTTGTATATTTAATATTTATCTAAAAGCGTACACTTACATAAATTACTGCACAACCTTTAAAATTAAGCTTTTAATATGTTATACAAATTCTTGATTCGATATAAATACACTTAAATAAAACTTTAAAATTAATGATCTTCCAAATTTCTGAGACAGCCATTTTGTTGAAAGAATTTGTTTTGATTATGAGAAATTTCATAAAAATTATCACAGGGATTAATTAATCTTATATATTAAACTACTTGGCTTTTAAATTTCACAATCCTATCGTCCAAAATACTCTAAATTCGCAAAAATCCGTAAAATATTCCCATAAAAACAAATCACAATTCACTTCCACTTCACAGAAACTGACAGACATTGCCAAATATGGAATGACGTTTATTTTTCAATTTATTTTACTGATCTAACTGATCCGGGTCACTTAGAAATTAAATTTTTATTAAATTATTTAATTATAATTGTTTCTGGCGAAAGCAACTTCATATCAATGTTTATTCATAGGGTAACAAAGCACATCGCTGTAAAATTATCAACATTTTATATAAATATTTATATTTTTCAACTACTCCAACTACTCCAATTACTCCACAGAGAATCAAACGAATTGTTAATTAAACTATACTCTGTGTACTCTGTGGATGACTTGATAAAATCATGATGAAATTAAAGTCCCTAGATGAATATCTAGGGACTTTAGATGAAATTTCTACGCAGCGCCATCTATCCCTCTACTGGCAGAAACTCCGCCGTGTTTCCAAAATTCAAATGGCAGTTTCATCCGCCTGGCAAAACCCGACAAGCCCATTGAAATAAATTTTACAGTTATTTGTAAATAACGGACACCCTAATATTTATAGGGCGTTGCCATTGCTATTCGAAATCAAATTGATGAATTTAAACCGCTTATTCCGCTATTGCAATGTATAAGAAATCCCGGAATGCGACAGAGACACTGGGATGAATTTGCCGAGAAAACAGGTTAATAAGTTTAGTTACACAAGATAATTCACAAATAAATATATTTAATATGTTGTATTTAGATATACAATTGGTCTGGTCCACCACAATTACTTTCCACGACGTTTTGGCCTTGGGGGTAGAACAATATATCGATGAAATTAAAAGCATAGCGGAAGCGGCCACCAAAGAGTACAGCATCGAGCAAACTTTGGATAAAATGTTGGCTCAATGGGAGGATAACCGTTTGGAGCTAACAGCATATAAAGATACAGGTTAAGAGTCTATTTCGCTGCATTTTCGGGTCGCTCTCAGGGGTCGGGTAAAGCGGGTGTGTGGCAGAAGGAAATATATATTATATTTCAAAAATCTGCCTAAGGCTTAGCCCCATCCTGTCGTGTTAAGCCACACCTAAAATTCCAAACACCCTGTGCTTTGATTAAGGTTTGATAAAGTTTGCAGAGCTTCAGTATTTGCCATAAAATAGCGAGCAATTTGTTACAAAACCATATAAATTATATATCACTGTAATCACGAAACTTCAATCTATTTTCGTATTGTAACGGAATTTTAAATTATGTCTTTATTTTCGAGAAAATTTGGTTTGACTATCAAAATCTTAAAAATAAAGAAGTTGTCTAAAAATGTGCTACAATACAGATATATACTCTGTTTTTTTTTCTCAGGTAAGATTTCGACAGACGATGACAGAAGAAAAGCAGATGACGTCCCATACCAATCTATTTATTTTACTAAAAAAAGTTTCTAATAATTTGTAAGTTATCTAGGGATGTGTTTAAATATAAATCCGTCATACGTCGTGTCTTGTTGTTTTTAACCAGTTTTATTGGTTTATTTAAAAAATGACAGATCGTATTTCAATTTTACTGGTTTGACGGAACGATGAACGACAAACGGACGCCAATGCGTATGAACTCGCCTTTAGATTTTTGTCATTTTTGACGCTTGTCAAAGTCTTGCCAAATTATAGGTTATAATTTTGTGTCAACTTTTGTTAAATACCCTGCGTTTTGGAAGATGATGCATTTTGATTCGTATTATTACGTGTGTTTTGTGTCTTTTGAAGTCAAGTGGAGGAAAAATCGAGTGAAAATTAACTGTAGATCCATAGCACAGTTTATGGTTAATACTCGCTGCCCAGGCAGAAAGTCTTATACACCAATGAAGTTGCCATCGATAAAGTTTGTATACCATTTCGTCGTAGATAAGTGCATCTCATATATGGTAGAAGGATCAAACTAAACACATACTAAAAACTGGAGTAGCTGTAACATATCGACATCACACGATAGGTAAATAATGGATTTTAGTACTGCAGAAAAATAATGTCAAAAGGTACTGGTTTAAAAAAATTAAGATTAAAGTTAATTAATCAACCTTTAAGGTATAAAATTTGGTAGGTGTTATTATTAATAAAATAGTTTGTTTTATTTACCTATGTTGTTTTATTTATTCCTGTGGAATATTACAAATTTGTATTTGTACATAAGTTATATTGATAAATATAATCATAAATAGGGGGTTTCATAAAGCTTGAAAGTAAATAATAGTTCTTTTATATATTTTTTTGGTATGTAGTTCTTGTTCTTGTTTGTTTTGTATTAACACATACCGTTTTTATTAAATAAAATAACTCGATTACATTTTTCACAATATTTTTAAGTAATCACTTGTCATCTTGTCAATCAAATTTTCAATATATCTATGCGTTCCAGTTGTACCAACTTATTTCTTTGTAAAATAAAATAAACTACTTTGAAATTAAAATGACAGACACATCTATCACTGTCAAGGATCTTCTCGTTGGACAGACTATAGTACAATCCTTTATCTTTAATTTCCTTCTTCATTTGTGTAAAAGTACCTAGCCAGTTTTACATAAAACGTTAAATGCCGAACGCTTATTTTGCTACTTTTTCGGACTAGTGAAATGGACTCTTAAGTTATACAGTGTGTCCCGGAAATAAGTGCAAGTAGTATAGTTCGATGGTAGAAACAAGCCTGAGAGTTTTTTTTGCGAAAATAAAAATATTTTGAAAATTTTATATTTTTCTTGACATTTTATGGAAAATATTGAAAAACTTTTGAGTGCCGCTTGTTCAGTTTCCGGAAATTTGTTTATAGTGCTTCGGGAGAATCTTCCCCTAGGAGATGCAAGACCTTGTCGTTGATGGGGAAGCTCCTGGTCAGGTGCTGGGGGGAATCCCCTCTAGCACTTGGCTTGGTCTAAGAAGCATCTCACTCATCGTCTTGTCCCTGACTGTAGTGTCGTGGCCAGGGAATTGCACCAAGACATATAACGATACCGGGCGGGGCTACGGACAGCCTCAACCTTGGGGCACCGGGGGGCACCCCATTGTATTTTACCCCTTACTTCTACATGCGGGGCTCTGTAGAAGTGGACCGACTGTCCCTAGCGACTCATAGGAACACTATGAGATCTGGTAATAATAGTAATAAAAACATCACCGGTGAAGCTGTGGGGAAACCCCCTAGCGACACTGGGAACAGTAACAATGAAAGTTCCAAGGGGCCAAACCCAAAGAGAACTACAGGAGAGGTGGCTGACACTTGCGTGAGACCATCCTCCGCAAGTGGCATACAAGCTACCACCTCCTCCAAGGGTCGGGAGCCTACCTCCAACCTCTAAACCCAACAAGCGACACAAGCTACCGTTTCGTCTACCCGGCCTGGGTCGTAGCTCCTCGACTGTGAGGGACACGGGTCTCAGTAGGAAGTCCTGGAACTGTATGATGAGTTATAACTCAAGAAAGGGGGACACAATAGATCTCTAAGGTCGCAGAGATTAACCCCCCTCCCACTTATTCTAATTCTAATTCGGGAGAATGCAATGTTGCCACCTCTTAAGTTATCCACATTCTGTATGTTTGTATAAATAATAAGTTCACATTTTTAAATTTCTACAAAAAAAAAATACTTTAATTAGTTTTGTTCACTGTAGATTTTTTAACCATTGAATTACTATTAAGAGTCCATTTCATTAGTCCGAAAAAGTAGCAAAATAAGCGTTCGGCATTTAATGTTTTATGTAAAACTGGTTAAAGTAAACGCCACGAATGTTTGGGAGTGATTCATCGCTTGATGAAGTTAGAATCGACACGCGCGCTATCATTTTTACATTAAAAACGTAAATTTTTACCGCAGACGTAAGTTTTTAAAGGCCCGGTCTAATCATCTGCCTACGCTCCTCCTACTTATTCTAAAATGTTAGCGTGAGTGACAAAGACGATACTATATCGCGTTTCTTTGATTGATTCGTTTTTGTGCGTCAGTCCATTGGTGTGCTTGCAGTACGATCAATGGGGCATTCCATTTTATATTTATAACCAAATATATGTTTTGACAAGACTTTGATAGTTAAAACAACAAATTACAACAGATTATATATTGATTATTATATGACTTGAAACACCACGGCACTGGAATTAAGTTTTATGTGACCTTGAACAGATTAGTTCACATGGTAGCGACAGATGAATCACTCCCAAACATTCGTGGCGTTTACTATAGGTATTTTTACACAAATGAAGAAGGAAATTAAAGATAAACGATTAATACTATATCCGTATTGTAGCACATTTTTAGACAACTTTTATATTTTTTAACATTTTGATGGTCAGACATCAACAAAATATTCCTTATGTTTGGACTAAATTTTCTCGAAAATAAATATACTACATATAATTTAAAATTTCGTTCCAATACGGAAATAGATTGATTATAATGGTTTAAATAAATATAATGTTTATTTCCTTCGGCCACACACCCGCTTTACTCGACCTCTGAGAGCGACCCGAAAGTACAGCTTAATAGACTTTTAAGTATATTTGCCAACGTCTACTATTTTAAATACCTCTTTTACAGTTTAGTAAACTGAAATAATGAAACACTATAAATAAGTATACACATAATTTTTTTACAGACATAAAAAAAATAAGATTAGGAAAATATTTATTCGTGACAAGACATTTTATTTCATTTCAGGAACCTACATAATGAAGATATCTGAAGAGCAACAACAAATGCTAGATGATCACATCGTAATGACTCAGCAAATTTCGTTCAGCCCTTTTAAAGGGCCTTTTGAGGATAAGATTACTGAGTGGGAGGAGAAACTAAAAATTACAGCCGAAGTGATCGAGGAGTGGATGGATGTCCAAAAGTATTACACTATAGTTCATACCAAATAAACTTTTAGTCACGCGATTAAGCTTGACCAGCTCAGCGTTGCCAACTTTTACATATTTTCTTTTAATCAAAATATTTTAAGAAACAAGAATAAATATATTATAAATATATAAACAGTTATTTACATCAATAAAACTCACCTTCTTATCAGTACTTAAGTGACATACAGGGCCATTACGACCGATTTCTCGTTCAAAATATTCTAATAAAGTTGCGATGAGTTTTTTGTAACGGCTATTAAGTTATCTTGTACACTTCGCACTAAAAGAGATTTTAAAAAGAACAATGTTCGGCTACAAGGTCTGCTAGTAAATATTTTTAAGCTTAAAGTATTCAAACCAAAAAAAAACTCGTAATACAAAACTGAAGTGTCAAAACGAATGACAATGTCAGAAAATAAATAAATAAATGTGACAACTTGACATTTTTTACAGCAGAGCTACCACCTGAACTCCCAGCGGGAAATTTAAAACCCAGTTAGTCAGCTCGGCGCCGAATATGTCTATGATTGGCCCAACAATGAATTTAAAAAACGCACCCTCTATTACGTAACTAAAAGTTTAATTGGTATCAAATATAGTTTTAAAGCATTTTAGGCAATAAATCAGCCAAAAAATAAAATACTTAGTGGGTTAAATTTGAGCTCCATTATTTTATCATTTTTATTACAGTATTCTAAATGTGAACCTTAAAATAATGATCAGGGTAACCCAGTGTTTCAAAAAAGATTTATTCAGGTTTTGCTTTGATTTGTATTTTCTTTTGGACACTGTGTAATATTTTGGACAATGCAACGGCTATTTTAACTACATATTAGAAACTATACCGGATACATTCCAATTTGGCTATCTTTTACTGAAATTAAAATTGACTGATATTCCATTTATTTTGTCTGCTGTAGCACAAAGTTAGGAAATTTTGTCTGGACATGCGTGACAAGTCGAAACAAGCTTCTAATATTTGCTAAATAATGCATTTTGCGTGGAAGACGACGATATGCTTCTTTAACAAAACTCATCTTTATTGTTTTTCCTAGATTCCAAAAATCAATTAATATATTGATTTCTGAGGGGTTCTATTAAAAAAAACACCACTTTGATGTAGGTATTACTTTTTTTGGAACGCTAAAAGAAAATCGTTTACAGGCAGTGGATGTACATGGAACCAATTTTCAGCAGTGAGGATATCACTAAGCAGCTTCCGGCTGAAAGTAAAAAATACAAAACAATGGAAAGAACATGGAAGCGAATTATGAGAAACGCCCTGGACATACCAAATGTACTACAATTATATTTTTGTCATAGTGTCACTGACGAGGGAATATATGACAGTCACTAATATCATATATTTATTCGTCTTGGCACAAGATTACTATATTAAACAGGTTGCTTTGTAACTTTGGACCAATATCAGCACTTGGCGCGATTACGTCAGCAACGGTTTTTTTTAAAATATCTATTAAAAAAGGTTTAATAATAATAACAATTACACAAGTTAAATTGTTCTTCGATAAAATCTTTATGTATCAGAGAATCGGGATCATAGTTTCATAGTTTTATAGATTTTCGAAATAAATCAGTATACATGTATATTATTTCGTATATTTTTCATTTTATTGATTTTATGGAAAGCACGGTTCAATAAAATGTTGTATCCTATATTATAGGGCTTGTCTCTCCCTACAATTTCCTGTCTCACAATGTACCGTTTGTGTCCGGGAAGAGATCATAGTTTCATAGTTGTCGATTTTCGAAAGAAATCAGTACATGTATGTTATTTCGTATATTTTTCATTTTATTGATTTTATGGAAAGCACTGTTCATTAAAATGTTGTATCCTATATTATAGGGTTTGTTTCTCTCTACAATTTCCTGTCTCACAATGTACTGTTTGTGTCCGGGAAGAGATCATAGTTTCATAGTTGTCGATTTTCGAAAGAAATCAGTACATGAATATTATTTCGTATGTTTTTCATTTTATTGATTTTATGGAAAGCACTGTTCATTAAAATGTTGTATCCTATGTTATTTCTCTCTACAATTTCCTGTTTCACAATGTACCGTTTGTGTCGGGGAAGGGATCATAGCTTGAAAATATGACATAGAATATATCATAGTTCCAATATATGAAATAGCGCCAATTTGGCGCTATTCTTGCAACGGTCGCGACCCAAAGCTTTTGATAATTTCGGATCGGTTCGGCTTTTTCCGGAATTATGTCGCCAAATATTATTTATTAAATTTTATTGAATTATTTATTTTCTTTTAATTTTGTAAATAAAATATATTGTGTTGCATACAAGAAACTTTATTTTATATAAGGACATGTATGAAATACCTATGAAACATTGGAAACCGACGTTATGCCACGATCCACTATGGTTTTTGCAGTTCACAACAGAGCTTTTTAAGTTTTTAATGCCACTTTTTTACAATTATCACGGGTTTGAGTAAATCAAATTTAAATTAAATTCACAATATAGCAATAATTACATTGATAATGGACGCTTTAAATACTTTTCGGTATTTTTTCAATGAGGGCGGTTTAAATTTTGAAAGATTTTACAATTTTTGAACATTCTGACTTTGACAAGAGATAATTATTTCTGTTATTGTTTGCGGTTGTTCTTAGCAACTGCTATAGCAGCGGCAGATCAACAAAACCAAACCAAACCAAAACAATTTCGCGACCTAAAATTTTGACGGGCTTTCCAATCTAAATTTATTGCCTTTATCTATGCTGCTGAGTACCGCACGATGACGCGCAATATGGCGACTAATGTCAAGTTACGAGGTAGCCTGTTTAATTTAATAACCTTGGTTCTGGCCAATGACTAAAGAATACAAGGACAAATAGCAACCGAGACCAAACTGTGACCATTCTTCCAAATAGTGCCGTGGCACATATTTTTCTTAACATAGCCGCTTGAAGCGATATTTATATTTTTGGTAAATATTTTCACTACGCCTCTGGTGTGTCCTGTGGTATCATACTAATTAATTACGAAAAAAACGTATTATAATGTTAACAAAAGGTACAAAACTAGTATCGACGTATAGCACATATCAAGTACATATAATATCAGAAAAATAATTATCGAATTCAATAAAAAAAAAGCTAAAAAGGTGTAGTGGACTGTTTATTTCCCTATAAAACGTAACTCCTGGATCTTTATTAGCATTGCGCCTTTTACACTTGAAAGCTGAACAAATTACCATTGTAATAAAGTTTATTCAAAGTTCACTACACACAACCCAAGAACGGTAAACTTTAACTGTTCTTGCACACAACCAACTATTAAAAATCGCTAAAATTGTCGCTGATCAACAGCTGATGATTCATTCGTTATGTCCAAAAAAATGGCGTCTAAAGGTCACAAATTTTGCTGCAGCCCGTATATGGCCGTTACATGTTCTTGTATTCTTTAGTCATTGGTTCTGGCAGACTCTTAGATTATATTAAATAAACTTTTAGTCACGTGATTAAACTTGACCGGCACAGCGTTGCCCACTTTTACATATTTTTTTAATCAAAATATTTTTGGAAACAAAAATAAATTAATTATAAATATATAAACAGTTATTATTTACATCAACAAAACTCACCCCCTTAACAGCACTTATTTTAATCCGTTTTCCAGTTCAAAGTATTCTAATAAGGTGGCGACGAGTTTTTTGCAAAGGCTGTTTAGCTGCTTCGGCATCTTGTCCACTTCGCAGTAAAAGCGATTCTAAATAGAACAATTGAAGGCCGCAAGGTCCGTTAGTAAAAATGTTTAAGCTTAAAGTATCACAACACAATTCAATTAAAACCCAAATTAAAAAGTGTAAAAATGAATGAGTATATCAGGAAATAAATAAATAAATGTGGCAACCACCTGAATCACCAGCGGGAAATTTAAATTCCAGTTAGTCTAATCGCGCTCTCGATGACGTAACTAAAAGTTTATTTGCTATCGTTTATACAGGGTGACAATTTGAAAACGAACAGTACTTAATATTGCCTCTACCGATGATAGTATGAAAATTTGGCGAAATACGTCAATTTACATATCAAGGGGGACAATTTTTGAGGCATTTGTTGTCGTGTTACTTTCAACCCTTTGACCCCCAGGGCACCTAACCCTAAAATCTTAAATGGCAACCCCTATTTCTTTTACCATTTTTGTGTTCCTTATAAAATTCTCAAAAAAATAATGCAGTTTATGTAGAATTCTATAAGAAACACAAAAATGGTAAAAGAAATAGGGGTTGCTATTTAAAATTTTAGGGGTAGGTGCCCTGGGGGTCAAGGGGTTGAAAGTAACACGATAACAAATGCTTCAAAAATTGTCCCCCTTGATATGTAAATTGACCTGTTTCGCTAAATTTTCATACTATCATCGGTATAGGTAATATTAAATACTGTTCGTTTTCAAATTGTCACCCTGTATACACATTTCATTACAAAAAACACTTTAGTACAAATGTGTACGTATTAGATTTTTTCTGTATATCTAAGATAAAAATTTATCCGCATATTTTTCAGAAAGGGGGTTATTTTATTGTAGATTATTGAATATTGTGGTGATAGAAGACTATTAGAGAGCCTTAAGGACGCTAATCATGTACTCCAAGTTATTCAAAAAGGCCTGTCCGAATACTTGGAAATTAAGAGGGTTACATTTCCGAGATTATACTTCCTTAGCGATGACGAATTGTTGGAGATTCTCTCTCAAGCACGCAACCCTTTAGCTGTCCAACCTCATCTGAGAAAGTGTTTCGAGAATATATCCAGGGTAGGTAATTTTATTTTTTTATTACTTACTTTTTTTTCAATAACAAGTGGCCGTCCTCTGCCGGAAACACTGCGACCTGTAAGACCTATTGTGTGTGTTCCCTTTCTATATCTGCACCCATTCTCCTATCCCTGTGCCCTGCACTAACTTATACAGGTCCTTGATAGGATGGGAGCACAGTTGCTCCGGTTCTAGCCTATAGCTTTTTCAAATAAAAAGTGTCGCTTGCGATCCAGAGCCTCGCTGTGACATATTATGTGCTCCGCTGTTTCAGGATCTTTATCGCAGAGTCTGCAGCAAAGACTTCCTTGATACAGGTTGGACTTGTTCAGGTAACACTTGACAGCCATGTGTCATGTCATGAGGCCTGTTGTAATCGGTACTTCATTCCCATGCCTATGAAACTCTTATGGAAGTGACAGGTTGTAGCCGATAGTCTAGTACTAGACGCACGAGGGGGCGCAATTACCAAAAAAAATAACAAAATTTAAAATTTTACCTGTTTTTACCTAGCTTGTCAATTTATATTTTATTTTGCCCGTTATTCGTAGATCGTGTTTTGAATTTGTTTTTGATTTTTATACAGCTCTGTTCTTGTGTTTTTTCATATTTTTTAAATGTAGAAAATGGTTTTTAAGTGTTGTGTTACTGGCTGTAAGAATTACCAAAATGATGCCCAAATGCATATGTTTCCGAAGGATCAAATAGTAAGTGTTAACACGTGTTACATAGTATAAACCAAGATATTCAATAAAGATGGTTTCTTATAGTTTTTTTTGTGTTTTTGATATATCCCCTTTGTCATTTTAACTTAGATCCATTTATTCGACTAAATTGGTTCTTTCTTGAATCAATTTACTTGAATAAATGGAAAAATTCGAAAAAAATACAAACTATCCGTTTTAAATTTATTTTTTATTTCGTTACTTGACCCTCGAGATGACGCCACCGCTCGGTCCGGACAAAATGTATTGCGTTTCCTATCTATACTCTGTTTTTTTTCTCAGGTAAGATTTCGACACACGATGACAGAAGAAAAGCAGATGACGTCCCATACCTATCAATTAATTTATTTTACTAAAAAAAGTTTCTAATAATTTTTAAGTTAACTATGGATGGGTTTAAATATAAATCCGTCATACGTCACCTCTTGTTGTTTTTAACCAGTTTTATTGGTTTATTTCAAAAATAACAGATCGTATTTCAATTTTATTGGTTTGCCGCAACGATGAACGACAAACGGACGCCGATGCGTATGAACTCGCCTTTAGATTTTTGACGCTTGTCAAAGTCTTGCCAAATTAGAGGTTATAATTTTGTGTCAACTTTTGTCAGTTTTGTCAAATACCCTGCATTTTGGAAGATTATGCATTTTGATTCGTGTTATTACGTGTGTTCTGTGTCTTTTGAAGTCAAGTGGAGGAAAAATTGAGTGAAAATTAACTGTAGACCCAGAGCACAGTTTATGGTTAATACTCGCTGCCCAGGCAAAAAGTCTTATACACCAATAAAGTTACCATCTTTAAAATTCATATACATACTAAACACATACTAAAAACTGGAGTAGTTGTAAAATATCGACATCACACGATAGGCAAATAATGGATTTTAGTACTGCACAAGAAATATAATGCCAAAGGTACTGGTTTAAAAAAACTAAGATTAAAGTTAATTAATCAACCTTTAAGGTACCTATAAAATTTGGTAAGTATTATTAATAATAAAATAGTTTGTTTTATTTGTGTTGTTTTATTTATTCCTGCGGAATATTACAAATTTGTATTTGTACATAAGTTATATTGATAAATATAATCATAAATGCGGGAAGTTTCATAAAGCTTGAACGAAAATAAGCAAGAAATAGTTCTTTTTTATATTTTTTTGGTATGTGATGTCTTGTTCTTGTTTGTTTTTTATTAACACATACCGTTTTTTATTAAATTAAATAACTCGATTACATTTTTTCAGTTTTATACAGTTTTTTTCACAATATTTTGAAGTAATCACTTGTCAGTCAAATTTTAAACATAATAATTTGCTGCTATGCGTTCCAGTTGTACCAACTTATTTCTTTGTAAAATAAAATAAACTACTTTGAAATTAAAATGACAGACACATCTATCACTGTCAAGGATCTTCTCGTTGGACAGACTATATTTTATATTATATAGTATCTTATCTATGCTTCATTCCTGCTAAGCATTAGCAATTCTTTTTCTGTATTAGAGCTAGGTCATTGGATAAAGGCCTTGCTGTGCCTGTCTGTTTCTCTAGAGTTTTAGTGCCCTACGGGCCATACACTTGGGTATTCTCAGTACTGGCTCTGGACCAAGATAGGATTGATCTTTGCCTAGCTAGCTCATCGGGCTTTTCGTTGCCTTTGATGCCACTGTGGCCCGGCACCCACTTTTTTATTACTTAGTATGGTAATCGCAAAACAATTTCCGATGCACGTGATCAACTTCGATGGCGACAGCGTTGCTGGATTGTGATCGATTTATGAGATGAATCTTAATTTAAAACTGACAAACAACATATTTATTATATCACTTTTTAAAGAGTTTTATGTTTTATTTTTAATTTAATAACTAATATTTTAGTGATTAATTGATTTATTTGTTTTATAGCATATTTTACTTATTACTTTATTGGCAAAAACTAGTCCATTATGAAGTCCATTCTAAGCGTTATTATGGGTTATTTATTTATTGATGTATATCTTACAACGCCGTAAGTGGTAATAACAAGTAAGAGGGTGCTATTAATGCACAAACTAATAATCACAGAATTTAATAAAAACTAACTTTGAAAGTGGTATAGTGTGCTTATCAATCAAACTTACTTCTGTGACTGCAGGGTAATAAAGGGCCTTTATTCGTTCTCGTTCAAAATAGTTTAAAAAAAAGGGAAGCTACAAGCTCTTTGCTTCGACTGTTTAAATGATTCGGCATATTTTTAACACACAATTTCCAGGAATGCAATACAAAAACTCGAAAATTTAGTTTTTAAAAGAACTGTTTGTGCTTAAAAGTGCAATTTTTAAAAAAGTACTATCAGAATAGGCAAGAAAACGACAATTACTCACAAAGATTCAACAACAATACGATATTATACAAAATAATGACTGACACTAGGATAATTGTCAAATAATAAAGGACAACATTGATGAACACGGCGCAATGTTGGCGACATAGCGATAATAAAATTCGGTTTAAACTAATTTTTGCAGCTTTAATCTAAATAACATATCTGTTACAATCATTTGTTCTATAAAGTAAAATGAAGAGCTGCTCGGTATCTTAAATTATACAACAAATTTAAACATTTTTGCCCAAATTTTATTTAGTCAGGTTTAAAAACTTTAGTGTCAGTGTCGATATTATTGATGACGTGCATCTGAAATAATTGCTGACGTTGCTGTCAGAAATAATTCAGGTTGCATATAATATAGGATGTCGCAGAAATAATATAAAAACAAATATTTTGATATTGCTTATTCTGTGGATGAGACAATGCCGACAATGGCCTTATGCAGGATGAAGAAAATGCCTTCTTAATAACTTCAAGAACTTGGAAAAAATCTTTATTCTTATCGCTTTCGGCGAAGCTCTTTATAGTCTAATGCCCACTTGCACCGTTCGTATAAACTTTGTTTAAAGGCCAAACAGTGATTAATTATACATATTTTATTATAGTTAATCACTGTTTAGCCTTTAAACAAAGTTTATACAAACGGTGCAAGTGGGCGTAAGAGAGCTAACAACGTTTTCGAGAAAGTATTTTAAGACTCTTTGATATATCTTTTACTATGCTCTCTGGAGCAGCATGCGACCCGTCTGGCTGCCGATACCCGTTGCGTTCATTACTGCGCATCGGAAGAAAATCCTATATTTTTTATTAATTTAGTCCTATAAATTCTAGTATTGAATATTAACCGAACATGTCTCCATAGCGCAGTGCGTAGAGTTTCCGACCACGAACCGATGATTCAGAGTTCGAATCCGGGTCAGGCCAAAGACTTTTATTTTATTTCCGTTTATATTCTGATAGTAAAGTATTAAATAATTCTGGTAATTAAATAAAAACAAATATTTAATACTTTACTATCAGAATATAAACGAAAATAAAATAAAAAAGTCTTTGCCCCGACCCGAATTCGAACTCTGAATCATCGGTTCGTGGTCGGAAACTCTACGCACTGCGCTATGGAGACATGTTTGGTTTATATTCAATACTAGAATTTAAAGGACTAATAAAAATATAGGATCTTCTCTCAATGCGCAGTAGGGAACGCAACGTTTACCGGCAGCTAGACGGGCCGCATGCTGTTCCAGAGAGCATATTAAAAGATATATCAAGACGTCTTGTTTAATGAAGTTGAAATACTTGTTTTTCCGACGTTGCTAGCTCTCGTACTATTAGGACATAATGTTTTTTACGTTACAGCTGACTTTCGAAGAAGATCTAAAAATTACAGAAATGTTTTCTGCTGAAGAAGAATGTGTAGCTTTAAACCCAACCTTATATCCGACGGGAAATGTTGAACACTGGATGCTAGTGGTCGAAGATTCCATGAGAAACACTATAAGAACTATATTGGGAGAGAGTTTAAAAGAAATATATGAAAAAGAGAGAAAAGGTATTTATGTAGGGTCCGGCAATAGTGCTTCGGGCATCTGTAGCTCATAGAAAAAAAATGGAAATTTTATTTAAGTGCAAACCTATAGTATGTACTAGGATGCATTTCAGGAAAATATTAGGCTGTATTCCGTTGCAAAACCAGGCGAACCAGACCGGTAAACTACGATAAAGAGCGGTTCCTGCAAAACATCGGTTTGCATACGGAACGGTTTGGCAAAATACTGGAAACGTCAAATGTTGACGTTTTCTAAATTCCAATACCTCTATTATAAAATTATTTATCTTTTATGCATTTTTAATGTATAGTAAATGCCACGAATATTTGAGAGTGATTCATCGGTCGCTACCATGTGAACTAATCTGTTCAAGGTCACATAAAACTTAATTCCAGTACCGTGGTGTTTCAAGTCATATAATAATCAATATATAATCTGTTGTAATTTGTTGTTTTAACTGTCAAAGTCTTGTCAAAACATATATTTGGTTATAAATATAAACTGGAATGCCCGACTGGTCGCACTGCAAGCACACCAATGGACTGACGCACAAAAACGAATCAATCAAAGAAACGCGATGTAGTATCGTCAGAGTATCGTCTTTGTCAATCACGCTAACATTTTAGAATAAGTAGGAGGAGCGCAGGCAGATGATTAGGGCGGGTCTTTAAAAACCTACGTCTGCGGTAAAAATTTACGTTTTTAATGTAAAAATGATAGCGTGCGTGTCGATTCTAACTTCATCAAGCGATAAATCACTCCCAAACATTCGTGGCGTTTACATTACCTATTCTCTGCTTTTACGTTTGCTTCTTCTTTTCAATGGAGTTTAATATTGAAAAAGTACTTTATTAATAAACTGTTAAACTCGTTAGACAGCTCAAGTGAAGATTTGCAGTAGCGATGGGAACTATCGAATGAATTAGACTATCGAATGGTTAATGAATGAATGATTTCAACTATCGAATGGTTTTATTCGAATAAAATCATTCATTCATTTGTATACTAAAGCATATGTGACAACCTCGCCGTGCGACCAAATGGTTATCGTTGCGCCACGACTATCGAATGCTTTTGATAAATGAAATTTAGTATTCGTTTGATTTTTGTATGCGTCAGTGCATTATTAGTTCTTCCAAATTTTTATAACTTCGCCGTATAAATACTGTGCTATTTTTGCGTTTATTAAAATAGTTAAAATACTAAAATAGTAGTTATTTTTTAATTTTATTTATTGACGATTGTGTGCATGTGCAGGTGGTCAAATTTTTTCCGAAAATTTGTGTGGTTTTCCGTGGTCCGATCTTTCAATTATTTAATTTTATATGGTATATGGTCTATTTTTTAATGGGAAATTTTGAGAAGTAGCAATTTTTAAGAGAGATGAGATGAACTTACAATTAATTTTAAAAATACATATTTGTATTTTAGATGTTTTAATAATATGAATTAGTTGAACTTAATAATCAAATTTAAGTAATGTGGTTAAGTAAATGGGGGGTTATCGAACTCAAAATATAGGGTGAGAAAATTAAAATGAAAGTTTTACACGTGCCAATTTTAAAAAAAAGTTAACGATGTTTGTATTTTGTTTATGCTAATTCTCTTACATGTAGTTTTTTTGCGAAGAAATATTTCATTTATTTTTTAAAGTAAATGCCAGTAAAAGTAAATATAATTTTTAAATAGTAATATAAAGCACCTAATATAAATAATTTTGATTTCTAAATTTTTATTTCTATTTTCCTTCCATTACACTGCATGCTTAGAAAATCAATAAATGTTTATATTTCATGATTTTAAAATTTGTTGTTAATATAACAAATTAGTTCTGTAATTATAATTATTTAATATTATTTTATATATTATAATAATTTATATATTATAATAATTTAATAAACCAACGTTGCCACACACAAAAAATTTAGAGACTAGATTATTTTTAAATAGGATCTAATATAAATAATTCTGACATCTAATTTGTTGTTTATATTTTGCTGCTACCTACTTAAAAAAATATTTATATTAAATTATTTTAAATTTTGTTGTTAATAGGTATAACAAATTATTACTGTTATTATTATTTATTAAACCAGTCTTTGCTTAAAAACATTACTAACTTTTCCTACATCCAAAATAACAAGTATTATTGCAGTGTAACAACAGAATATTAATTAAAAAAATGCAGAATATATAGACATACTAACCCTAACTAACTAAAGCCAAACAATAATATTCTTTGCTAATATCAACTAATACCAAAATATGGCAACAGCGCCCTTCATAATGTATTTTCTGTGTAAATACTAGCACCTCAATAAAAAAAATAATGTGTCCTTATCTATATCTGACTCCGCAAAAAATCAAAGATGCCGGCTTCTTTCATAGCATTGCCACCGACCGCTGTCGGGCTTCTCGGAATGAAACCTACGTCGCCGGGCGACAACTAAAATTCAGTTAATATTTTATTATAATCGATCCTGACGAATAAATGAATTAATTTTATAAATGAATGGTTTTTGCTGCCGAATTACTAGAATACAATATTTCAAGGCAGATGACGGATCTATTCGATAATTTTTATTCGAATAGTTTTCAACGAATGTTTTCTTACTAACTATCGAATTATTCGAATGAATTGCAACTATCGAATGTTTCGATAGTATTCATTCGATAGTTCCCACTACTAATTTGCAGGTCCAATATTAAAACGGATCAATAATAAATAAACAAATCTAATCAACATTTATATTTTTATAGCTTACAAAACATTCACGATTACTTGTTTTCTTGTTTTTCATGTTGTCTTTAAATGTTCCTGACTTTAAGAAACAATGGCTGCATGATAAGTTTAAATGGTCCTAAAAAGTCACTCTATTTAGTTAATGTAATTTATTTACCTTTACTGCCTACCTCCATTGCTTTTGGATGTAAATACAAAATATTATTCGAAATTTTAGAAATTAAAGAGAATTTCACTTGAACTTCCGATATTTGCTTGATTTCTGTCACATAAATGACATTGATTGACAAACAAAACCAGAAAAACCAGCCTTCTTGCGCTGGTTAGTTTGGTGACAGTTATAACCGAATCTTTCAGGAACCGTGTTCCGTAATAAGAAAACTTTCAGGAAACCGATAGAAACGGAACATAAAACCATAACCAAGGTAAGCAACGGAATACACCCTTAATAGGAGCTTCTATAGGTTGGTTCAAAAAAGTGTCAGTGGATCGGGATGATTTTTTTTGATAGTTTCAGAGATATTAATAAATAAATAAAAAATATACATCTTTCAGCCTTTCTTAAAAATTATTAAAAATACAAGGACTGTCATCAAAAATATATTAGATATTTACTTTAGATGGTCTGTACTTACTTTGCTATAAATATGGTAATCGTAAATCTTACAGGATGTTTAAAATTCTACGCCAAACTTTTTAAAATATAAAATAATTTCTATTTGTTTTTTTTTTAAATGGAACAGCCTGTATATTATTTTTTTAGTAGATGGAGAATTAAAAATAAACATTTATTGTATTTAGAGTATTTCAAAAGGTTTAAAGGTTTTACAGATATTCGCGGTTTGATATTTTATATGGCATTTTCCACAGTAAATTTTTATCAAAGCCACTCAATTATTTTTCTCGCATATTTTACCGTTGAAAGAGCCATATGAAATAATACAGGATGTATCTGCGAAACCGTTAAAATTTTTGAAATACTTTAAATACAAAAATGTTCATTTTTAACTCTCCATCTAATAAAAAATTATATACAGGATGTTCCATTTAAAAAAAAAACAAAGAAAAATTATTTTATATTTTAGACAGTTTGGCGTAGAACTTTTAATTTATTTTTAGAATGGGTTCTGTGTTGGCCTGGTCAAGTTGTCATCGCATGCAGTCAAGCATTTTGGACAGCAGGCGTGGAAAAAGGAATTGCTGACAACGCTTTAGACACTTTCCTCGAAGACGTTGTTATAATAAATTTAGACGCATTGAGAGGTTTAGTTAAAGGAAATTTGACATTTCTGCAAAGGGAAATTCTATCTGCACTGATTGTAATAGAAGTGCACTCTCGAGATGTAACTCAGAATTTGGTAAATTTGAATATTGTGAATGTGAATGATTTTGATTGGATAAGTCAGCTCAGGTAAATGAAATATTAAACTATATCTCCTTCTACTCAAAGATTTGGAATTTTTTTTTCAACTTGTCTACCTGAACATAGGAAATCCCATGTAAATTTTAAAAATGAACAAATTGCTTTATTTCCAGGAGTTCTTTAAAAGGTTTTGAAAAGTTATTCAACATTTTTAAAATTTACGTTGGCGATATAGCATACTGTATAATATTGTACATAGTAGACAATTTTGGAGTTAAAAATAATATTCAGGAAATAAATTCAGAAGTTTTGTAGTCCCTTCTAACAATTATAGTAGTTGCATGATTTTCAAGTATTGTTTAAATTTGTTGATCAAAAGTAAATGTATAGGCATGTGTATAGGCCATACCAGATAAACTTTTAGTCACGTGATTAAGCTTGACTGGCACAGCGTTGTAAAAGGACTTTTAAATATTTTATTTTAATCAAAATATTTTAAAAATAAACTAATTTAAATATATAAACAGTTATTATTTACATCAACAAAGCTCACCTCATTAACAGCACTTAATGGACATAAAGGGCCATTACTACCGCTTTCCCGTTCACAATATCCTAATAAGGTTGCGATGAGTTTTTTGCAACGGCTATTAACTTACCTTGTACCATTCCGCACAGAGGTTCTAAAAAGAACAATGTTCGACGGCAAGGTCTGCTAGTAAACATTTTTAAGGCTAAAGTCTCACAACACTCTTTATTTAAACGAAAAACTCGTAATACAAAACTAAAGTGTCAAAACGAATGATAATGTCAAGAAATAAATAAATAAATGTGCCAACTTGACGTTTTTTTACAGCAGAGCTACCACCTAATCCCAAGCGGGAAATTTAAATTCTAGTTCGTTAGCCCCACAAAACATCCCCCTTTAGAACTTCGTCTGTCATGTTAAGGAATGAAAGTAAATAATAAAGTGCCTCTCGTGTTTGTTCGCACTCAAAAAATTTCAATTAACGCCTGTATATATTTTGTAAAGTAATACATTACATTTAAATGTAACATATTACATAACAATTATGTCAATTACAGGATTACAGGCTTGTTTTCTAACATTTTTTAAATAAAACGAATTATAAAATTTCAATTTATGTATATTTGTAGTAGGTATGAAAAAAGTAAAATATAAAATGGACAAACGCTTACTTACATTGCAATAAAACTTCCACTTTTAGATTTGCAATCCAAACGCAATATTTCTATTTCACAAATAAAAATATCCGACAACACTAAAATCACTGAAACTTCCGCGGTTGATAACGAAAACTGAAAAATATAACGGCACTTTTTGTTTTGGACCTGCCTATCAACATTACGCTGTACTATTGTGTGTTTGTTGTTGAAATAATATAAAATATCTAATTATAACTTGTAAATTTTAATATTTTAACATGATTTTAACTACTTTTGACAATAACTAACTTTTTATCAAGATGACATTTTAGACGGCAACTGACATATATGTCATAATATTTGAATCTTAAATATGTATGTAATATAATTTAAATTACTATAATGCAACTTTATACTAAGAAAACATTTATACATTCACAAAATACAACAAAGTCTAATAATATAGTTTGAAAACAATGAATATTGAATTGAAATTGAAAAAGTTAGGCGCGACCGCTTGTGTCAAAATTAGATGATTAAATTTTCGCAATTTTTACACCATTTGATGACAGGTGGCGCCTCTAGTGTTTGTTCGGGCGGTTGGTCTTTTACTCCCGCTTATGGCCATTAAAGAAAAAGTTCTAAAGGGGGATGTTTTGTGGTTAGCCCTGCGCCGAATATATCCATGGTTGGCAACAATAAATTTAAAATTCGCGCTCTCGATTACGTAACTAAAAGTTTAATTGGTATTGCTGGTATATTTTTTCTCCCTGAATGAGTGTTATTTTATACTGCATAAATAATTTATTTAATACAAGTGCTTAAATGAGAAAAAACATATATTTACGTATTATATATTATTCATATCTACCTCCAGATTTTCTAAAAATAACAAACCTTACAAATAGCCTTTAATGTGAAATTCTCCCTCTTCAATATTTATGAGATTATTTTAAATTTTAATAATTCAATTTTCCTGCATCCTGTATGTTATTGGGGTAGGTACACGTTGTTTTTAGACAAAATTGCAAATAGGGCCAATTTCTATCTCTATCCAATCCAGTTGCGTAGGCTGCAGTGTAATATTTCCTTTCCTCAAGCTAAAGTTAGGCTAACAATTTATATCATTACGATAATACAGAAAATCGCATGCAAATTTTGAACTTTAAGCGATACCAAATAAACTTTTGGTCACATGATTAAGCTTGACCGGCATAGCGTTGCCTACTTTTACATATTTTTTTAATCAAAATATTTTGGGAAAAAGTAAATTAATTATAAATATATAAACAGTTATTATTTACATCAACAAAACTCGCCTTCTCAACAGCACTTAAGGGACATAAGGGCCAGTACTACCGCTTTTCCGTTAAAAATATTCTAATAAAGTTGCGATGAGTTTTTTCTAAGGGCTATTAAGCTATCTTGTATACTTTGCACTAAAAGAGATTCTAAAAAACAATGTTCAACTGCAAGGTCTGCTAGTAAATATTTTTAAGCTTAAAGTATCCCAATAATATTTATTTAAACCAAAAAAAACTCGTAATAGAAAACTGAAGTGTCAAAACGAATGACACTGTCATTCAATGTCAAATAGCAGAGCTACCACCTGAATCCCCAGCGGGAAATTTAAATTCCGGTTAGTCAGCCCGGCGCCTAATATCTCCACGGTTGGCAACAATGAATTTAAAAATCGTTTAATTGGTATCGCATATACTTTTTATTTACAAAATATAGTATCCTTATATTAACGTCCTCTTGTAGATACTACTGGATCCAAGATCAAATGAAGGTGAGAGCTGTGAACGCTGAATTTCCGTATGGTTATGAATATTTAGGAAATAGTGGCAGATTAGTTATAACACCGCTGACCGATCGATGTTACCTTACCTTAACAGGAGCACTTCATCTGAAGTTTGGTGGAGCTCCAGCAGGCCCAGCAGGTTATCATTTTAAAAGACGATGATATAATTAATTTTTAATTACATATTTCTATATCAGCTGTCTACTATAGACCAACAAACGTTTGTCATACATGTGTTCTGCATTAACTTCATATTTATGCATAGAAGAATCTACATTTTTTTGCTTGCGTTTCCCTATTTTTTTCTTTATTTAAGAATGATGGGTGCGTCTCAAAAATGTTTCACCTCTATAACTTTTTTTTAGATAAAAAAAAAGATTTAGGCTGTATTCCGTTGCAAAACAAGGCGAACCAGACCGCTAAACTACGGTAAAGAGCGGTTCCTGAAAAACATCGGCTTGATACGGAACGGTTTGGTAAAATATTGAAAAAAAACTAAATTTCAATACCTCTATTATAAAATTTATCTTTTATGCATTTTTAATGTACCTATTCTCTGCTTTTACGTTTGCTTCTTCTTTTCAATAGTGTTTAATATTGAAAAGTACTTTATTAATAAACTGTTAAACTCGTTAGACAGCTCAAGTGAAGATTTGCAGGTCCAATATTAAAACAGATCAATAATAAATAAACAAATCTAATCAATATTTATATTTTTATAGCTTACAAACATTCACGATTACTTGTTGTCTTGTTTTTCATGTTTTCCTTAAATGTTCCTGTCTTTAAGAAAGAATGGCTGCATGATAAGTTTAAATGGTCCTAAAAAGTCATTCTATTTAGTTAATGAAATGTATTTACCTTTACTGCCTACCTCCATTGCTTTTGGATGTAAATACAAAATATTACAAATTTTAGAAATTAAATTAATAAATGAGAATTTCACTCGAACTTCCGATATTTGCTTGATTTCTGTCACATAAATGACATTGATTGACAAACAAAACCAGAAAAACCAGCCTTCTCGCGCTTTTTAGTTTGGTGACAGTTATAACTGAATACTTCAGGAACCGTGTTCCGTGATAAGAAAACTTTCAGGAAACCAATAGAAACGGAACATGAAACCATAACCAAGGTAAGCAGCGGAATACACCCTTGGTATGATAGTAGATGACATTAGATGACAAATTAGGACTGATTGACGTATTTAATTTATCTTTTAACCGGCCAGGACAAGACACGAAAAACATTAGACGATCATATCTATTTTCCAAGGTTCCTTGATTAAAAACTTTTAACACAGCCATGGCACTGTAGATTGAAATTAAAATACAATTTTTTAAACGAAAATGTTAAAAGTTAAAATATGATGTCATTCTATTCATGTGTTCATTCAACGTGTCCTACCTGTCCGCAGTTCCAGCAACGAATCGGTCCCTTCTTGCCCATGTACTGGTCCATACTTTCCGAACAATCTCTTCCACAGATTCGTCGGAACATTCGTCGATGGCCCGTACTCTTCCTAAAGACCGAGAACTTTGTTTCGCGGCCTCGAATTCTAGGGCACGTGCTAAAGCATCCACCAAGTGCGTTGGGTGGGCTAGGAGAAGTGCTTGTCTTGTCTCGTTGTCACGTAAGCCGTCGGAGAATGCCTGTACTGCCAACCGCTCCATAACATTCTCGGGCGTAGCAGGGTACGCAAGGCGACCGAGGCGGGTTACACCGGCTTCAAACTCCTGCAGAGACTCATTTGCCTTTTGAATGCGATTTTTTAGCTGGGAATGATAGACATGTTCTAAATGAACTTGGCCGTACCTCATTTCTAAATGTCGTACCAATTGCTGATAATCTGCCTGTTCCGATAGTGAGAGTGTCTGCAGGATATCAGTTGCATCTCCTCGCAGTGCGATAGTCAAAGCGGTAGCTTTTTCAGCTAATGTCCAGCCGTTCGCTTTCGCAGAGGCTTCAAATTGGCAAAAATAATTGGCCCAAGCGGTTTTTCAATATTTTCTTCTAATTCCCTGGAAGATTCCTGGATTTCTGTTATCTTTTCTTCTAAATTAAGTATTTTATTATTAAAGCTGGACTGTATGTCTTTAGAATTTTCCGTGATCTTATCTTCTAAAGTATTAATTAAATCCTGGGAATTTTCCATAATTTTATTATTCAAACTATTTGTCGTTTAAATTCAAGCCAAGGTCACCTTTCAGCTCGAAGTAAAATGTGCCAGGATCCTCACCTTCCTCCACCAAAACGTCTCTCAGTCTAACTTGCAAAATGCTTTTTTTCCATCTGTCTCGCACTCTCTCTTTTCCAATATGCATTTCAGTTCAGACACTTTCAAGTCTTTCAACAATTTTTTCAGAGCCATGGTTAGTCTTTTTAATCCTCTAGTCTATCACACACCCCACACCTAACACCAATTGTTACGTTTTTCGTCGGTTCCGTGTGGATAGAAAGTCACAATTTATTTAAACACGATTTATTTAACACTAATTAACAAACAATAACGATTAAAAAAAACTTAAAAAACTATTTATAACTTATTTACAATTTATCTAATTATTTATCTAACAGGAATTTATTTTGAATTAGCGCGGCGATTGTAACTGTACGCGTCGACCGGTTGTTTTTCTCTGTCTTCCTCAGGCCTCAGGCGTTTGCTTATATATGAGAGCAACAGACAATCCAGATTTGTCTCGACAATTCTTATTCGTTCTAGAACGTCGGCGTTGCTGGGCGTATGAGTCATAGGCGAATTGGCCAGGCTTAAGGCCGAGTTCACACGGGTCCGCAACACTACTAACATAGCAAATCTAATTTTTTTTATCTGAAAAAATAAAGGAGTGAGCCACTTTTGAGTCGCACCCGGTATATTATAAATGGATAATTGCAAAAATTTCTATGGAATTGTTATGTTATACAAGTTTTCAGTTTTACTAGAGTCTGAAAAGAATTTATTGTTCTTGAACACTGATTGTTTTTGATACACAAGACTGTTATTTGCAACGGACAAGAAGTTAAATCTTAATAATTTACAATGCTTTTCAAACTGATCCCACTGATGATATATAGGCACTGGAAAAACAGAAACAACAAAAGATTTGGCCAAAGCCTTTGCCGTCCAGTGTGTTGTTTTCAACTGCTCAGATCAGTTAGATTTTATGGCCATGGGCAAATTTTTTAAGGGTCTAGCTAGCTCCGGGGCGTGGGCCTGTTTTGATGAGTTTAACCGAATCGATATTGAGGTTGAAATGCACCTTTTTTTGATAATTATTTTATTAACTCTATGTATTTAAAAACCTAGGTGTTATCGGTAGTAGCCCAGCAGATAACAACAATTCAAAAAGCGCAACAGTCAAGATTGGATAGGTTTATTTTTGAAGGGTGCGATATAGTTTTGAAGGAGTCATGTGCTGTTTTCATTACTATGAATCCAGGTATGTTATGCATCATTCTTTATATACAGGGTGGTCCGAACTGTATTCCGGAAATGTGTCCGAGATACAGTGTGTAGAAGTTTCATTTTTATTCCGATTTTTTTCAAATAATTTCTGAAGTAACGCCAATATTTGGATGAAAATTAGTGTCTTGGAGCTTTTTGACATGAGAAATTTGATTTCGATTTTTGTCAATATGACTCCTAATTGTAGGGGGCGCCACCTATATTTGTTCTAACCTTTAAATAAGAAGACTAAGGAAGGAGCATAATGCTATCCCTGTATTCATGCATGGTGGGCGGAAAAAGGACTCTAGGGTAGGGATCCTTGACAGTTCTGTTTGACGATTCATTTGACACATTTGAATTTGATTTGAAATTTTGTGGATTTGTCAGTCTTTACGGAGCTTATTTTATGTTGTTTGTTATTTATTCTACTATTGATAGTTGTATAAAGGTAGTAAATCTAGATGGAAATTGTGGCAGAACTTAAATTAACAGTGACACTATCGCGATTTATCGAAAAAGACTCTAAAATAGTTAGTTGTGTAGCGTGCGGTAGATCTCGGCAAAAATGTGTGAAATAATGGAACAACTTTTTGCTAGTAAGTAACTATATAATATACATACGTGTAGTAAACCGATCATTTATAAAATTCACTTAAATTAACTAATTATATATTTTTTCTTGCATTTTTGCTTTTATTTTCTACTTGTCAAAGATTCGATTGGATTAAATGTCAAAAAATTTAGATACGTCAATTTGACTTACCTGCTTCAGTAGCGTATCGGATGTATATGGTTATAAATAATTATTATAACTTAACTATTTTTATTAGAATTTTATATTTTTATAACAATTTTAATAACTACCAACATTTATTCACAACGTAAAATAAAAAAAGAATTATTGAGTCTACCTCACGTCTACCCTACATTATAGTTTTACATTTTTTTTAAAGAATTTAAGTCGGCCATTTTTGAGGCCCATCGCGGTGGACCTAAGACTTTTGATATGCTCCTTCCTTTGTCTTCTTATTCAAAGGTTTTAACGGTTTTGAAGAGTAATAACTTTTCGTTCGTACCTGTATAAAACTACTGAATAATAAAATGTACATCTCCACGATTTTTTATGTAAAAAATGTTTCTTGATAAAAATTGCTACGAGCAACCGTTTTCTAGATATTTAGAAATGGAAATAGTCAATACATATCATTATTGACAAAAAAATAAACATGAGTAGATAGTTATGTTATCATCATAAATTTTTCTGCGAATAAATGATGATAAAACAGTTTTTGTTGAACTTTTGGCACAAAAACACTTCAAATTTATGATTTCAGTCTAATAACTATATTTAGTCAACATTATTTAATTTATGTCAATGATGACAGGTTTGATAATTTCGATTTCAAATATCTTGAGAAGCATTACTCGTTGCGATTTTTACCAAAAGATCTTTTTTACGTAGAAAACGCCGTAAATGTATATTTTTTTACTCAGTAGTTTTATACAGGTACAAACGAAAAGTTATTATTCTTCAAACCAGTTAAAAGTTATGTAGGTGGCGCCCTCTACCAGTAGGAGTCATATTGACATCAAAATCAAATTTCTCATGTCAAAAAACTCCCAGACACTATTTTTCATCCAAAGATCGACGTTAGTTCAGAAATTATTTGGAAAAAATCGAAATAACAATGAAACTTCTACACCCTGTATTTCTGAAACTAAGAATTTTTGGACATACATTTATACGAACCTTTTTACTTATTTTCATCTGAAAAATATGCTGCCGAAGTTTCCGGAATACAGTTCGGACCACCCTGTATTTTCTCTTAATTTATGAGACGTATTGTTGAAGTGAAACTTCTTTACGCGCTCTGGAAGTTGAAATTCAAGGCCGTGACACACGAGCTAGCATCACGATACGCGTCACGAAAAGTGGTAACGATCGAAAAAGTGGTAAGCCAATGAGTTGAGATGGGTCTTTAGAGCGTCGTAACTCGTGGCTGATACTCGGAATGTTTTATGTAACGGTTAGCTTTAACGTAAGAAACGTCAAAAATTGATGTCCGATCGCGACCAAATTTGGTGGGTAGGCAATGTGAGCGACGGTGCACACGGTCCCATCCTGCAAAGTTGGATACGACGTTTTGTTTACATCTTCATCAGATTGGGACTAAGCATTTGATATTGAAGTAAAATGTGGATCGATTTCGGCATAATTGGGGACGGGCTACAGGATGACGCCTTCGACGTTTCGAACCGATGCACAGTGCTTCGAACATATGGCTCTAGAGGACAAAAATGCAAAACTTCTCTTTTATAGTAGACAATTTATTCAAACTAGGTTTATTTGACACAAATGATGAGTACTCTCATTGTACTAATTGATGATGTTCTTAGTCCCACGTTTATGAAAAAAATCTTATAAATAATAAAAATGTTGGAGCTGTGTTCCATCTAAAGAAATAATAATTTAGAGTATGAAAACGGTGTAAGTATTAAATAAATCCCTGTGATAAAAAAAGAATTGAAATAACATTAGAACATGATTCCTACAATATAAGCCTAATATAAGATAAATATGTTTTTCTTTGATGAAAAAGAAACATTAATGTTATATTTAATTAAAAAAAAACTTAAGATACTATAAATTTACTTTAGGACAACAAAATGCATAGATCGTAACTACTCTGATTCAGAAGAATCACTGCTGACAGAATCTTCCAAATTTATAGTATCCAAATCACAGGTAGATGAAGTATCCTCACATATAAGATATTTCTGTACATCATTTTCTAATAAGTTAATTTTTCGCGTTGTTACTGTTCTTCTTGCTGGCATGAGGGGTTCGGATATTAATAGTTACCTCTTTAATAGACCATATCCATATATTATTTTTTCCTTTTCTTGGGTATGAGGTTTTATAATAAATTGAAAGTTGGAAAATTTTTATGCGACGTTTCGCTCCAACATAGTGGGCTTTTTCAGGCACAAGTGGTGTCTCATTTGACTGGAAGGTTCATCAATATCTAATAAAGAACACATTTTTTGAAATACAAATAATTTTGAGTTCTTGTCCTTATGATCAAGCCAAGTATTAACCAGATCGGCTTTGCTTATCAATTTTACTCCATCTGAAAAGTATTATAAAATAAAGTTTGTCGCAAGCAGACGCAGGTGAACTATACAAAAATTAAAAGTGTATGAATATGACAACACATATATTCAATAAATACGTTATGTTTTGATATGTTTTTTTAAATGCCTTTTTGAAGTTTGAAAACGTAAAATTTTTATACCCATTTAAGAATCATCTTAAAAAATAAATAAAAACTAAACAATCACGAACTTGTTTAGAAATAAATTTAAAGTACATTCCTTGTTTAACAATATCCATAGTGGCTTTCAATTAAGTAGGTACCGTTTAACTCCATAATATACAGAACTACTATGAATGTTATTCTTTTCACTGATAAGATAATGATCGCAAAGTTTATTTTTAGTGAAAATATTTGCTAACAAAAAACGCTGTTTATGAAAAATTAAAATATACAGGATGGTTGAACATTGCTATAAGTATATGATTACATATTCAGATATTAATAAATTTTAACTTTTTTTTCGATTTTTGTCCATGGGACGAAGCACTGTGCGATGCCTCTAAATAGAAGAAATTATCAGGATTTTTCTTAATTGTGGGTCGATTGGAACCAAAATCGGTACGTGGATAGAGGTACCCGAATGGAGTCCTCAGACGGACAGATGGTTATTTTAATATAAATTTTGTGACAGTGAAACAAATTATTTATTAATTTTTATGATATTACATTTTCAACATTTCAAACTACAATTTTTCAAATATTCAATTTAATAGCTATTAGTAAGAAATTTCATTTCAAATATGCTCACATAGTCAATATACATATTAGTAAAAGTAAAATGTAAGGAGAAATGAAGAATGCGGTTTTAGGGATTCGTTGTAATTATGTTAAAAATAGAGTGTGCGTCATAAGATCTATATGAACACATTTTATGTACAGTTTTGTGACATATGTAAAACGGTAAAAGGTTTTTTACCCAAAAAAAGTTTATTTTTCCTAATAATCGATCCGATTTAAACAAAATTTGATAATATATTATTTTTAGTCTTTATAAAAAACTATTTTCTGTAAAAAATCTTACATTGAAAATAATCGTATTGCGGAGATCTCAATTATATCGAGTTAAATAAAACAAATAAATCCAAAATAATAAGAACATTTTATACTTATGGATATTATATTTTTTATTTTATTTTTACAGGTTATGCTGGTAGAACAGAACTTCCTGACAATTTAAAAGCCTTATTTAGGCCGGTGTCTATGATGGTGCCCGATTATAGTTTAATAGCAGAAATATCCCTTTTTTCGTTTGGTTTTAGTAACGCTCGGCAGTTGGCTAACAAAATTACTACCACATTTAAGTTGAGCTCCGAACAACTGAGTTCTCAGGTGAGAATATTATTTTTAAAACAATTAACCATCATAAAGCTTCATTCAGAACCTCCCAATTAGTGGAATAAGTTAGTGGTTTCAATTACACTTTATACTTTTTAGTTTACGATCAGTTACAATGTCTAAAAAACCCAATTAAAATTAATAAAATATCCTAGGAACAGCTTGCGGCGGCAGTCTGTTGAACCCATAGAGAAAGCATAATATTTAGCTTATAAAACTTTGAATAAAAAGATTAAGCAAGGAGCATATCAAAAATCTTAGATCCACCGCGAAGGGACTCAAATATGGCCGACTTAAATTCCGGTTTATCAGTGCCGTTCTAATTTTATTTAAAAAGTGTAAAACTATGATGTAGGGTAGACTCAATAATTTGTGGTTTTATTTTACCTTGTGAATAAACGTTGGTAGTTATTAAAATTGATGATGACATTCCCTATATAATTTTAGATATAAAATGACAGCGATCTTCATTTCATATCCATCGCTGACTTTTTTTGATCATACGAATGATCAATTTTTTTGAACACTCGGTATATTGAAATTGGGGTAAATACCAGATATTTTGCAAGTATGATTATTTTGTTAATTTAACGTACTATAACAAATCTTGACAACAATTTGTCGTTTCTTAGTTATTTTGTTATTTTACCCTTAGATTAACCATAAAAAATTTTACCCCACAATATACTTAACTGTATCTAAAATACAGCACAACGCAGATAGGATTCTTGGACACGCTGTATAATATTTATTTTTAGGACCATTACGATTTTGGAATGAGAGCAGTTAAGACCGTTATATCTGTGGCTGGAAATCTTAAAAGAGAAAATCCTGATATGGACGAACGTCAGATATGCTTAAGAGCGTTAAGGGATGTGAATGTTCCCAAATTCCTTAAAGACGACCTTAAATTATTCAATGGCAAGTTAATTTTATTATACAGAGTGATTCACGGCCATGGTACGCGTTAGTCGTTTAACGGAGAAGCGCTGGTAGTTTTTTTTTGAAAATTTGGATTTTCAAAAGTTTGGAGTTTCATCAACATGAAGCGACAACACTGTAACGAACACTGAAAATAATTTAGACAGATGGAGCAGGTGCCTTTATCACCGGTTCTCCATAAACGTCTAACGTAACATGGCTGTGAATCACCCTGTATATAATATACGTCAGTTTTCGGCTTTAAAAATTCAATTTGGCCACATCACAGATTGTTGGTTTACAAGTTAAGAACTTTTTTGAAGTGAAACTTCTTTACGCGCGTTAGGAGTAAAAATTCAAGGCCGTGACACACGAGCTAGTGTCAGGTAAAGTGATAACGGCAGTGTTGCCACAGCTAACCATTCAGGGTAGATCTATCCCTTTGTAAAACAATTTAACTCGCTTTGTGCCATACACGTTTAAGAAAATCACTATAATAAACTTGATAATGTTGCGGTCTGTGGACTATTCGAGAAATCTTTAGCTGTGGGTATAAAAGCCGGCGGCTGGGGCAAAGAGTAGATAAGACAAGAGACGACAGTGAACAAAGAAGTCGAATTTCGCGAGAGAGACGCAGATATATTAAAATTTAAAGGTCCCATCAAGTCCCATTTTCTCTGTTGCCAAGTATATTTCTTTGAAAAATAAACAAGGTTTTCTGAAAATAAATTAATAATATAAGAAGAATATAAGTAACGTTAATACGGAAATGTAAATTTTTAGTTTAGGTTGGTTTAGGTTCTTTTTTCGTAATGTACTGATAATATCAAAGAAACAGAATGACTAAAGTTGATCGATTTCAAAGATAAACGATAAAATCTGACAACGGCGTATTTTATTTATTCTAACCTATGATTTGAGGACGCTAATCAGCTGTGCTAATCAGGCTTAAACATAAACAAATCTGATTAGTTGTTTTCTTGCATTTTTGCCTTTTTAAAGTGTGTGTTTCAGAGTTTTTCGATATATTATCGTTTTGAGAGTTTTTAAGGTTTAATTTTAGTATCGTTTTTGTTGCGTACTAATTTGTAATTATTGTTAAATATGAATATTGAACAGGACACGAGTAGCAGGAAAAGACGAGATGGTGGCAATGTGTGTGCTTATAAAGACTGCAAAAATAGGTCTTATTCTTCGACAAACATAATATTTCACTCGTTTCCAAAGGATCCTGAAAAGTATTTTTATAGAAATATACTATATAATTATGCTATTAAACTAAATGTAATCCATAGATCGAAGACATGGTTAGAAGCTTGTAATATATTTTTACAAAAAAAATTGAGCAACTCTATTTTTTTGTACATAAACTCCACATTGTGATATTGTAGAATGGAGGGGAGAATCACCGCGACCTTATAGATCTATTGTGTGTTCATTGTAATATTACACTTGTTCAAGTCCATATGTAAAAAAAATACACGTAAATAAAACACTTCTTACAAATCGACTTGGTCACTTTATCTTGTTTACCAACGATATACAAAATATTGCTTTTATTATCTTTATTCCCCGACAAATATGTTTCTAATTATAATTTATTTTATATAATATTTAGAAAACTCATTTTTTTTTCGTTTCTATTTATTTCTTTACCCATACAGTAACTATTTATAAGCTATACAGGCAAGTTTTAATAATAGTCTATTTCAAATTTCCCGCGAAAAAGTTACGAAAATTTAAAGGGACAAGCGAGACGAGGTCACTCTCCCCACCACTCAAACATGAAAGGTACCGCGCGAACTGTCGTCTCTTGTCTTATCTACTCTTTGGCTGGGGCCTAAAGGGGGCAGACATAAATGGACGAGTACAGTTGACGCGCTAAAATTCAAAATAAATTCTTTCTAGATAAATAGTTATAAATCGTTTGTAAATAGTTCTTTAAGTCTTTTATCGATATTGTTTTTGTTAATTAGTGATAAATAAATAGTGTTTAAATAAATTGTGACTTTCTATCCACATGGAACCGACGAAAAACGTAACAATAATGTACCTCTGTGTACCAATATGTTCTAGTTGTGTGCTAGGAAGTAAATTTTTATGCATATTTTCATCGATAGGTTCGTAGCTTTTGAATAACGGTCTAGATACAGCATCTAGCTTAGTAGTGCCAACTTAGAATTAGAATTATTGGAGCTAGTAACTGGCATTTTCATTGGAGGACACTGTGATATTTATTTCAAACCAGTAATCAACGGGAATATTCGCATAATTTAACAAATTTACTGTAAATCACTAAAAATAAGAATTGTAGGTTAGGTTCAACATTTTTTCTCTTCCTAAATAAATTTAAGCGTTATTTTGGGTGGTATTCCACAAAATTTGCAGGCTTTTGAGGAAACACAAAATGTACAGATTACAGAAATAAATTGAAAATAATATTTAAGTATATTAAAACAGGATTATATGTCACTTTTTCAAACATGTTCATCAAATCCTTCAATTTAATAGCTGTTAGTAAGAAGTTTCACTTCATATTGTAACCGCAAAACATTTTCCGATGCACGTCATCAATCATATCGACATTGACACTAAAGTCTATAAACCTGACTAAATGAAATTTTGACAAAAATGTTTAAATTTGTTGTATAATTCAAGATACAGAGCAGCTCTTCATTTTACTTTATAAAGCAAATGATTGTAACAGATATTTTATTTAGATTAAAGCTGCAAAAATTAGTTTAAACCGAATTTTATTATCGCTATGTTGGTCACATTGCGCCGTGTTCAGCAATGTTGTCCTTTATTATTTGACAATTATCCTAATGTCAGTCATTATTTTGTATAATATCGTGTTGTTGTTGATTTTTTTTGGGCAATTCTCGTTTTTTTTGTCTATTTTCGTAGTCTTTTTTAAAAAATTGCACTTTTAAGCACAAATAGTTCCTTTAAGAACTAAATTTTCGAGTTTTTGTGTTACATTTCTTGAGATTGTGTGTAGAAAATATGCCGAAGCATTTAAACAGTCGAAGCAAAAAGCTTGTAGCTTTCCTGTTTTTTTTTAACTATTTTGAACGAGAACGTGACAATAAAGGTCCATATTAAAAATCCAAATTCCCAAATTACCCTTGACTGCTGATTGATAAGAATAATAAGAACATTACATCACTTTCAAAGTTAGTTTTTATTAAATTCTGTGATTATTAGTTTGTGCACTCTCTTACTTGTTAGTACCACGCATATCATAGCACCCTCTTACTTGTTAGTACCACTTATGGCGTTGTAAAATGTACATCAATAAATAAATAACCCATAATAACGTTTATAATAATCTTCATAATGGACTAGTTTTTTCCAATATGTAATAAGTAAAATAAGCTATAAAACAAATAAGTCAATTAATTACTAAAATATTAGTTATTAAATTAAAAATAAAACGTAAAACTCTTTAAAAAATGATATAATAAATATATTGTTTGTCAATTTTAAATTAAGATTCATCTCATAAATCCATCACAATCTGGCAGCGCTGTCGCCATCGCTTGTCACTCAAAGTTGATCACGTGGATCGGAAATTGTTTTGCGATTACCATATATGCGCACTTAGTGCACATACTGTTTTTTTATTGTTTTATAATTTATTTTTTATTCTATATGTATACATATAGGTATTGTTTCTGACTTATTCCCGAGAATGGTGGAGCAAGCTGTTGATTATGGAGCTTTGGAGTTGGCCATTAGAGATTCTTGTATAGCTAATAAATTGGAAGATGTAAACGGTAAGCTATAATTACATTTAATTCGATATTCAATTGTTTGGAAGAACTACCGTATAATCGAAAAAAAAACGGCGTCAGCGATGGCTCTGAACTGACGATCGCTGTCATTTATTGTCTGAGAATATCATTGATGTCGATCATACGGTATATTATGAACACAGGTTTGATACTGCTTAATGACGTCCTGAAATAATTTCTTTATATTATATTCTTTTTTTTAATGCATTTTTCAGAGTTCGTGAGAAAAGTAATACAACTATACGAAACAACAATTGTACGACATGGTCTGATGTTGGTAGGTCCAACAGGGTCAGGAAAAACAAAGGTAGGTGACTTTATAATTGCCACATGTTCTTAAGAGAATCCAGTAAACTTTTAGTCCGGTAATCTAGTAAGCTTGACCGGCACAGCGTTGCCCACTTTTATATATTTTCTTTTAATCAAACTATTTTAGGAAACAAAAATAAATTATGTAATTATAAATATGTAAACAATAATTATTATCTACATCAACAAAACTCACCTCCTTAACAGCACTTAAGTGCCATAAAGGGCCATTACTCTGCTTTACCATTCAAAATATTCTATTAAGGTTGGCATGAGTTTTTTGCAACGGCTATTAAGCTAACTTGTACACTTTGCACTAAAAGAGGTTTTAAAAAGAACAATAATTTTCGACTGTCAAGTCTGCTAGTAAACATGTTTAAGCTTAAAGTATCACAACACAATTAATTTATACCAAAATTCGTAATCGTTTAAAAATCTCGCCCTCGATTACGTAACTAAAATTTAATTGGTATCGATTATATACTTATGAAAATCTAGTAAAATACAATATTTTTTTCAAAATAATTTGTATTGTTATAAGATTCAATCTAGTATTGCCATCTTTGTTCTAAACAATACAATTTATTCGTGAACATTAAGTGGACGCTTTCGCAAGTTGGATCGTGCATAATAAAACTACACCTAATTGATTTTTGAAAACTTTCTTTTAAACATTCATATTCACAGTTACCTTCCAGTTCTAGAGCTTCAAAGGCAACACGTGCCGTTTTTTCGCTTTAGCATTTGAACTCATTTTATTGATTTGTTCAACAATAAGCGTTTTATAACGGGCTAGTTGTAGATTAATGTACAAGGTGTCCCACTTTTGTGTATTTTATGGAGTTCCTCGTTTATGAAGAGATACAAAGATACGGTTTATCCCACTGTGCAACTTTCTTATGAAACCTTAATTATGAATCGTTCCTGAAATACAGTGCGAATTTGAAAATTTTGCATTTTTCGACACCCTTCGTATCTCTGTTATTCTACAGGGTGTTTAAGAAATTACATGTTTAAATTCATTGTTGCCAGCCATGGGCATATTCGGCTCTAGGCTGATTAACCGGAATTTAAATTTCCCGCTGGGATTCAGGAGGTAGATTTGCTGTAAAAAACATCAAGTTGCCACATTTATTTATTTATTTCCTCACATTGTCATTCGTTTTGACACTTTAGTTTTGTATTACGAGTTTTTGGTTTAAATGAATTGTGTTGTGATACTTTAAGGTTGAAAATACACTTCCCCAATAAATTAACGCACCACAAAAAAATAACCAAAAGTTTAAGTTAAGTTTTTGTCAAAACCACTTATCCGATTTGGACGATTTTTTTTTGAACGAAAGGTTATTCTTTCCACAATGTTGCCATACTAACTGTATTTTGATAAAAACTGTTTTTTTACTAATACCGGGTGTAGCAATTATAACATGTTTTTTAAATAAAATTCAGTTACAATACCAAGTTAAAATTGAAATCACATTTTAGCCTTATCTTTTTTTTACATTTTGTTTTTTTATTTACTCCATTATCTTTCTTATTACATGAGAAACATAATATAATAGGATAACATAATTTCATTGCAAATTATTAACAAAAAAACAACGAAACGGAATTCAATGAAACAATTTAAACTGAAGTGTCAGTAGCGAGTATTTCCGCCTCTGCTTGACAACGACGGCCCATACTTAAAATTAGAGATCTTATGTTATTTTGGTCCAGTTCTTCCCATGTGCGAATAAGACTTTGCCGTACGTCTTCCAAAGTAATCTTCTCCCAAGAGTGTCAATATTGTGGAAAGAGTAACCTATCATTCAAAAAAAAATCGTCCAAATCGAATAAGTGGTTTTGACAAAAACTTAACTTAAACTTTTGGTTATTTTTTTGTGGTGCGTTAATTTTATTGGGGAAGTGTATTTAGTAACAGACCTTGCAGTCGAACATTGCTCTTTTTAGAACCTGTTTTAGTGCGAAGTATACAAGATAGCTTAATAGCCGTTGCAAAAAACTCATCGCTACCTTATTATAACATTTTAAACGGGAAAGCGGTAGTGATGGCCCTTTATGTCCCTTTAGTGCTGTTAAGAAGGTGAGCTTTGTTGATGTAAATAATAACTGTTTATACAGGGTGGCGCACCTCATTCGCCTCGGTTGATTATACGAAAACGGAAAGATGTAGAAACAAAATATTCTATGGGTATATGTGGGGAGACAATGTGCACAATTTAAAATTATTTTGAAATATACAGGGTGTTTCAGAGCTAAGATCCATACCAAAGTTATATTTTCTCTTATGGAACACCCGGTATTTTATTTCATTTTTGGATTCCTGGGCCCAAAAAGAGGCATTTATTATAATGGTAAAATATGTTTCAAATCTTTGGTTTTAGAGATATTTAAAGATATTTAAATTTGCATGCTACAATAGAATAGATTATTAACACCCTGTACATTACTATTCAGAATTAATTCTTATGCTGAGTTTAAAGGTAGGGAAATAAACTTTACTGAAAAATGGTATTGCTTCCTTAAATTTATACAGAGCTATCAAAAGTTGCTGATCTGTTTTAAGGATATATTTTATATAAAAACTTCGTTATTTCAAATGCAACACCCTGTATTTTCTTAAATAAATCTAAGCAAATTCAAATGCTCTTTCAAACTATATAGAGTTTCCTATACCTATCTAGCTGAGATTTTGCATAAAAGCGATTTTTAAATAAAATTGCAATCAAGATGGCTGGTATCGCTATGGTAATTTTACAGTGACATTTAGTAACTATTTCCAAAGTCGACATTAGTTTATGGACAGTATTATTTATCATTTATAACAGTTTACTTAAATTTACCTACAATAGTTTAATAAATAAGTGTTCACTATTTTATCAAGAAAAATAAAGCAGTATCTGCTGGTGGACGAATAGATATGTTACTGGTGATTTTATTTTGTGAGGAAAATTGCTTTTTGCCCTCAAGGGCTTATGCTTAAAGAAATCCAAATAGGAATCTTCCTGATAAAGGCTGATTCATGGTACACCGGGCCGTACCCGAGCCGGGCACGTTCCGTAAAGTAAGACACCGAGCCACGTCCGGACCTTCAATATATGCTACACCGAGTGGACAACGGGGATCATGTCCGTGCCGATTATATTCTAGAAAACAGGGTTGCCGCAGTGGTACATTTGTACCAAATTTGATACTTTTAATTCTATTTGGTACAGTGGTACTACATTTTCAAATCCAGGATGATTTGGTACAATAATAAATTCCCACGCGCACCGAAAATGAATAGATATTTAATAATTATTGTCGTTGATATTGCATTAAACGCGCTTACCGATACCATTCGGAGACAATCCGCATTAATTAACGACTTATTATAAACGTTGTAATGTCTATAGCGTTGCCTATATTAAATAACCCGAAGAAAAAACTTGAAAATTTACTGTTTCTAACATGCAGTTAATATTTGCGTTTTTTTTTTAATAAAATTTAAGTTTTCCAAGTATTGTGTGTAGTATTAGAATTACTTAGATTTCTTCAACCTATACATACTTATAATTGGGTTTTCTGAATTTCTATTTCATGTTTTTCGTCTCGATTTGTGTCTTTCTCCAGGAAGTTTTTTTATGTAGAAATTTATGAAGAAATTCACAGCGACAAACCGGTTAAAGTCATTTGCAGATGTATTTTGTTGTGCTTTAAAAAATTGTACCAAAGTGGTACATTTTTAGTTTATAATGTGGTACGCGCTAAAAGTTGGGTGAGGCAACACTGCTAGAAAACAGTCGCTATAGGCCCGTAGACGAACGAAGTATTTAGCCCGGGCGACTCATTTATGTTTGCCGCAACGGGGCCGGACCGTAGCGGATCCGAGGAAAAATGTACACCGACATTCCTCGGACGGGGCACGAACGCGTTCCGGCGTAGCTCGGCCCGTGCTCGGCTTAGCATGAATGCATAAGTATAAATAACATTTGACAATGTTTGGTCGTGCCTTCACCGTCGCACGGCCTCGGCCCGTCACGGTGTACCATGAATCAGCCTTAAGCGTTCCTTTGAAAAACTACTTGTCCTATTTCGCAGAGCTGGTAGTGTGGTTTCTGAAAAACCTTTTAGGCAGAAATCTGTCGTTGGAGGTGAAGAAAATGAATTTGCCATAATTGGCTCTTTTATAGAAAATCCATATATCTACAAGTCATCGTAAAATAAATCAACGAACGCTACTTCTTCGTTTTTCTTGATAGAATAATAAATACATATTTAATAAATATTATTTATTAAACTATTGTAGGTAAATTAAATAAAAGTAAACTGGTATAAATTTAAATAAGTTCATGAACTAATTTCGATTTTGAAAATAGCTACTAACTGTTACTAGAAACTTGACCTCTTGGTCGCCATTTTATTGAAAAATTGATCTTTATTCAAAATCTGAGCTAGTTACGTATAGGAAACCCTTATAGTTTGAAAGAGCATTTGAATCTGCTTCCAGTTATTTTAAAAAATACAGGGTGTTGTATTTGAAATAACGAAGTTTTTATGTAAAATATATTCTTAAAATAGATCAGCAATTTTTGATACCCCTGTATAAATTTAAGGAAGCAATAACATTTTTCTGTAGAGTTTATTTCTCTACCTTTAAACTCGGCATAAGTATTAATTCTGAAAAGTAATGTACAGGGTGTTAATAATCTATTTTCTTGTAACATGCAAATTTAAATATATCTTTAAATATCTCAAAAACCAAAGATTTTAAAATTATTTAACTCTTATAATAAATGCCTTTTTTTGGACCTAAGAATCCAAAAATGAAATAAAATACAGAGTGTTTCATAAGAAAAAATATAACTTTGGTATGGATTTTAGTTTTGAAACACCCTGTATATTTCAAAATAATTTTAAATTGTGCACATTGCCTTCCCACATATACCCATAAAATATTTTGTTTCCACATTTTTCCGTTTTCGTATAACCAACCGAGGCGAATTAGGTGCGCCACCCTGTATATTCATAATTAATTTATTTTTGTTTGCTAAAATATTT